AAGAGGGTTTATTGGCAAATCGGTAAAGTGCCTGCAAACAGGGAACTTTTGCAGAGTTGAACAAGGTTGAACAAGGTTTGCAATATCGACTGTTTTAGATATTCGGTAATGGACTCTCAGCCAAACATTAGCTTTGATTTCATCTATTTATTCCTTATCCTTTCTATCGTGACAATTTCATCCACAAATTAAATTCCATCCCACAAATTTAATTCCAACTATTTATTACCTATTCTATTTCTTTCTATCGTGACAATTTTGCTCACAAATTTATCGAAGAGGAGCTAACATATTATTGGATGAAGTAGTTGTATCAGATGCTTTGGAGTATGTGGTTTTTTATTTTTTCGACATGGTGAAAAAACCTAGGCGTGCAACCTGCAATCCAAAGGTGATCGAGGTCCTTACAGAAGACTATTAAAAGGTCTCCATTTTCCTAACTTTAAAAAACCACATAAGTTTCCAGTATCGTTATGAATCGGTACACTTTACCTGAGTTTGGTTTCACTTGGCCATGAGGAAAGCTTAGATTGGCCGTAAACTTTAATAGAAATAATCGTCCTTCGTAAAATTCATTCCTCGACAAAGGAGTGATTTATGAATAAGTATGAAACGTGGTGTGTAGAAAAGGTGTATCTCTGCGTAGACAGGTGCAGGTGAGGAAGTTTAAACATGAAGTAATGTGGTACAAATTGTTCATATCACATATTACATAAGCATAAAAACAAGTATAGAAAAAACTATTTATTGGATGTATTATGATAATAAAATCGAAGCAAATTATTGGGAAAAGAGTTAAACATATTTACAATGTTACATAATTATAACCGGTAACAAAATCGTACGCCATAATAATAATATCAGCAACTTAAAATATTACAAACTTTTAAAGATTGCACCTTGAGTACCTACTCTAATTAAATATACAAATGACAATGTTAATTTCCGAACGTTGGAGTAAACCAGATCACTATGCGAAAGAGTGGATTGCTGCACGAGACCCAGCTGATCTACAAAGATGCAGCATACGGGATATCTTCTGCAGGGATATTTTTTATTTAGTTTACTCTGACCAACACTTTTGAACATATCTATTTCATTGCATTTAATCCTGTACTACGGTTATTTTCATGTCTCAATCCCTCCTGTGTGGATTTGTCGCAGACTCGACAAATTGAGAAATTAGACATCCCCTAAGATCGTCAATTTTACGTCGTTTTTCGAATTTCATGAAAAGGTATACGTGCGCGGAACAAATTCATGCAAAAACAATATTGGGGTTTAACACGGCATTTCACTTCTCTTATTTTCAAAATTAAAACTCTGAAATATATACCTCCGAATACACCGTCTAGATCCACTGCACATGATTGTAAACGAAGTCCAGTCAGATTCAGTTCATTTTTCTAGAGTTTGCCGTTCTTGAAACTATTCTTGAGGACACGCCCCAGCGCAATCTGCCGTGACCCTTTCCCCTGCTTCCATCCCCGCCAACAAGTCGAAACTATTCTCGCAAGTCATGTCATAGAATGCGAATCTCGTAGCCTGGCTGTACTTCTCGGCACATTTTCCCCTCAGTTTACTTTCGTAAAGAACTTCTCCCCCCACCGTTAGCGTCACCACACCACCGTGCAAACTGAGCGACCAATCAGACATTTCTTCAGGATTGATTTTTCGTATAGCTGGAGGTGTCTGGCAGCTGATACAACCGGTCAGATAGATGCTTTTCCGGTTCCACTGGAAGTTTCCGATAGCATTCCCGTCTTCATCGAGGAGCATGATTGTGTTGAGTTCCTTCCATTTGATGTGGGAGTGAACTGTGATTCCGAGTTTGGAGTTTATGAGATCGTATTTCACGGTACATTCTGGGTTGGAACAGTAACCACACTCGGGAGTCCAGCAGCCGCACGTAGGGTACACTTCAGGCTCATCAATATCTTCAGGCTCCTCAGTAATAGGTTCTTCAGGGTATATGACGTCATCAATGCCAGGATCTACACTTACAGTGTTTGGTTCGGTGGGCGGAGCTGTAGTTCCAATTTGTGGCAGAGTAGTTTCCTTAGCGGTCTTGGGTATCCCACGGATGTATTCACCTGCCATGTGTTTGAAAGTTATCCTGTCCACATCCGCATCTCCAAGTGCCCGACAGCTTTTTGGCAAGCCAGGTTTTCTGGGACTAACATCACCTTCATCAAAGTTTTGTTCGTACTGAAGTTCTCCGTCGCATGTCAATTCAAGGTGATCCTCGAAAAAATTCCATGCCCAAATCTGCTCCTTCTTTCCTCCAGCGGGAAAGCTTTGGTAGGCTTGGTATCTGGCATCGCACTCTTCAACTGCAATATCATATCCTCTGTCATATTTGATGGTATTCCACACCAAACGGCCGACTTTATTATTCCAGCTTCCAGCATGAAGCGTCATCATCATAGTAGAGGCTTTATCCGTTCTGAAAAGTTCGCCATACGGTGGGTTCGTATCGTATTCGTCAGGAAGGAATGATTTGACCTCCAGAATGTAGTCTTTCAGAGGAAACATGATTCGTTCCTGATCTTGTTCTATCAGTCTCCACTCAGTTAGAGATGGATCCAGCACAGCGGAGAAGGCCATGCCAAACACCGTAGACACAACCAAGATTAGTAACATTTCCCTGTCAAAAAGACACTTTTAGAAGCTAATTCAGTTTATTTCATAGGAATAAAAAAATCTTTATAAAAAATCATAATCACGTTATTGCTTGTAGATATAAGAGTAAAATTTACTCGCGTCAAGAAAAGAACAACATTTAAATTCTGAACGCTAAAACAATACTCGCGATCAGGGCATATTTGTGAGCTACCTTTGTATAATGATAAAACTATAAAAGCCACATTGATTTATGAAAACTTCGAATCATATGTGACCCTGAGAGCAAGATCGGGCGAATCAAACTCCAGGTAATTATTGTAACATTAAAAGGTTATTAGTTTCAACTAACTTCATACAGATTAAGTTTAGAACGGTATAATAAGACAGAGCTAGTGCTGAAAAAAATCGTGGGAAATTTACAGGGTGGCTCAATTATCTACGAAATCATACTAAAGAGTAAAGATAGTTGTTTCCGTTTCCTGAATCTGTCACGGAACGCTCATAGCTTAGCTTTCGCAACCGATTTCCTCAATTCACTAGACCGTAATGAACGAGCGGATTAACTTTCAGAGGATATAGTTTTCTTGAAATAGTCAGAATATGATCGACAAACTGGAGTTTGGAAAAATTATTCTTGACGAATTAAAGATAACAACAAATAAAAAGGAACTAAAAATGTAAAATTTACACGATTGCCAAAAATAAGTTATCCTAGATTGTGAAGATCGTAGTAACGCTTTAAAAGCTTATTCGGAAGTTGGAACAACCATAGAAACTGAATTGAAATAAATAAGAGTTGGGGTTGTAAAATAACGTTCGGATAAGCACCTCAGTATCCTGGATTCCTGATCCATATTCCATATCAAAAAATAAACAGCATAAATAGCATAAACAGGGTTCTGTTGGTGTTTAATCAAATAACTATCCTCAGATAAAATGATCTGCACTCTGCACTCTGCACCCTCTTTTTAGATATTAGGTAGTACGGTTAATATATCAATTTTCATCTTCATCGCCGTGCAAAAAAGGTCAAATTATTAGTCAATAAATCGAATATAAGAGTTGAATCGAATTTAAGGGTTTTCGTCCTCAGCAATATTTTATATATCTGGTAGTATAGTTTGTATGCAAATATTTGCAGGTGATAAGTGGGTTTAATACATCAGATAAGTTTCCCGACTAGTAATTTAACTTACATGATTGTAAATTAAACGGAAATACCATCACCAATATCAAGAATTCAAATTATCATCAGTATGTGATTTTATTTTATTAATAACTCGCTCATTGCTGTCTATATCAGGAGAACGTTTGGTCCCCCAATATCTCCGGTTTGCAAACCGGATGATAGCACGGAGGTTATAAGTCGAGTCTTTCCTTGTATGTGATAACAGATGCTGGGTCGTAGATCTCGTAATCAGTAATCTTAGTAAAAGGTAAATGAGTACCAAAACGTCGATTATTTCATTTAATTTTCATCAGTTATATTAAATAATAATAATTGTGTCATACAATTCAATGTGACAGTGCAGAAAGATTTAATAAGTTCTGGAGGTCATGATTCATCTCTGTAGTTAGGGATCTGTTCACTCATCATCGGTGCACCACTGCACGAGGATAACTAAATCAGATTAACTCACTATATTTGTCTCTAACAAGATGTTTGATGTTTTCAATCTAAATAAATTTAATTTGTAGGGTAAAAATAAAATAACCCGCAGAGTACTAGCAGAACTAAGGTTCGTTTAGTGAGATGTCGCAATATCATTAAATAAATAAATTACAAACTTCATGTCACTCCAAATTTAAGTTACAGTATAGATTTATAAGTTTAGATATTTCTTCAACACTGATGGGAAAAATAACCCTAGGCAATCCTGTTACTGCTAATTGTAGATAAGAATGTAGATCAACGAATGAATTACGCACGTTAATTATAAAGACTACTACTACTAAGCTTCCATTCACGGGATAGCCAGTTACCTGGCAACGCCCGCCAAGGCGTTTCTTCTCCAAGCTCACACAAGTGTAACCGAGGATGAAGATATTCATGCATTTCTGCACGGGGAGCCCATCGAAGCTACCAACAATTAATTCAAGTAGTTTCCAAGGCCTAGGCCCTGTACCATTTGTGCTAAGCAACACCATGGTTTTGTGATCGGTCGTTCCTTTTTGGTTATATGTTGAGAACTGCCCCTGATGGGGATCGAACTTGCAACCTCTAGGATAGCAGCACAGTGGCTTAAACTGGCCAACTGCGCTACTTGGCCGGCATAGACTAAATATAGTAACAAAACAACACTTCCCCAAAGGTACTAAACCAGTTATGTTGAGCTTGAATACCCCCATCCCTCAAAATATATCACATGACCTACCTAGAGAGAGATGGTAGACGGATCCAAAGGACCGGTCAGGCTGAGCTCCGCAGGTAATGTAGATATCAGTGTCACGTGAACACAACTTACTGCCCACTCCTCCTTGTACCTGTTTAGAAGCATATTGTTAATATACAAATAACATCATATCATTAATATACAAATAACATCAAATTTGTTTTTTATTTGAAGTCTTTAAATGGCTCTTTGAATCTTCTTCTTCTTCTTCTTAGTATGGGGCTGTGGTCATGTTCAAGAAATCACTATAATTTACAAATTATTACTTTCCACATAAAATAAACAAGTATATTTTATGTGGAAAGTAACAGTTAAACTTTTAGTTTTTTCCACGGTAAAATTTTTCTACGGCTCTTTAGTCTTTAAATCATATTTCGGAGTTTGAGACAGTATTGCAGGTCATTGCTCAACGGTCTAGGAAACAAACTTTGTCTACAGTTAAAATCTCTATAAAAAGAGACTCAGCTAGTGCAATTTGTAGTTTTTTCTGCAAATTCAAATTAAAACTTAGTCACACACAAACACCAGGCTATTTGGACGATGAGCTGATATTGGTCACGATCAAAGTCACGGTAAAGTTTGAATATCATGTCTATTTAATAATTTAATAAATTTATAGCAAAAAATTCATACGATTCAGGGGACACTTCAGAAAATACTGGCGTAAATCTTGTTCATCTAAATTTAAATACTTTTTTAGGGGACAAAACAATAGATGTGGATTCTGGTGGGGAGGTGAGGCATTTTTGATACGTGATAAATATCAACCAATCAGCTTTGACTACCGACCAAAACAACAAGCCTCACCTACTCACCAGAATTGACTTCGTTACTTGAGACTCCTACCTGCATGTTATTGGTCGGGGAGAGGACATACCAAAGATTATCATTCAGCTTATTCCTTCGCTCCAAAATAGGAAACAACTCCATGCTACCCTAATCAGGTGTAATATATTGATATTTGGTAAAATAATTGCTGAGATTTATTCAGAATTACTTTTTTAATCCTGTTACTTTTTTTCGATTGTATTATTTTCTGCAGAGTAATGACACAATTCCAAATAGTCTACCGAGGTATTGAGCATAGCGCAAAAGTTTAACTTTTCTCATGGACAGATCTTTGTTCAATTGGAAAGATTCCCAACATATTAATATCTATATTTGGAATTGTTTTAATTGGCCAAAGATCTGTCGATATTGATACTTACAAAATTCTTGGCAATCTTCAAAAAAGTCAACAATCGTTGTACAATGTACATATCCAAACTTTTAACATAGATCTTTAAAATAAGTCACATTAAATCAATAAATACTAAACACTAAAGTTAACAAAATCGCATTAAACTCTCTCTCTCTGTTCATTAAACTAAAACAGGTAGCTCTGATTGACACAAAACTTCCAATATCTGGAATGCCTTTCTGAACACTTCCAGTACCACATTGGTAGGGTGTAAAACCTTATCATTTCCCTGCTCATACTCCAGATTAAGGGGTGTTGGTTTGTCTGTTTGTTTGTATGTGACAGAGGTTGTGTAATCAGATAGAGGAGTGAAGTTTTCTGTGTCAAGATCACCGACAGCTCGGTAACTTCTGCACAAACACCTGGGAATATATATTGCTTATAATTAGGAAACGGCCGAACCACGATTTTCTTTTGAACCGAACTTTTAAAATATATTTGAAGCCCGTTTAGAAAATTTAAGCTCTAATTCTATGCTTATGCGAGAATTAACGCGCATATGGGAGTTCTAGAACAATTGAACGAATTACCCTCCATGTTGTGATCTTACAATTTAAAATTTTTCGTGAGCAGAAATTTATTCTGTAGTGTAACAACGATGATTTTTGCCGAGAAAAGAATTTTACCGCTGTTATCATTTCTTGGAATTTATGAAAAGTTCAGCTATGTTTTGGTAAAATGTTTGGCGAACCGAACGTTCAAAAACAGCCGAAACCCACAATTTGAAGTCTGTGTACAGTATGTAGCTTACGTACAAAAATCTATTTTGAAAATAATTGCCCTGAGTAACAATTTTTCTTCGACCAGGTTAGAATTTTTTTCTATTTTACGGGTGAATGGAGATCAGTAATTTGTCTTCAGTAAAATAACTCAACGATTAGTTTCTATCTATTATCGTTTCTTTCTGTCAAGATTGTGATATTAATTTATCTACTAACCGGTCTGAAATGAAGTTATCCTCTGAAGGAGTCTGCTCAAGCTCCCAGACATGTCCATTACCACAGACTAGAGTACTTTCCTTTGGACAGAACTCTGATAAAGTAGCAGAAACAGCTCTGATGACTGAATCATGGGACTCCTGAAATAGTTAATCATATTACCAATCAACACTGACAGCAATTGTTCTCCTTGCACATTTTGTACCTTAATCAGGGAAAATTTAATTTTGTATTTCGGTCTACAGAGATGTCCCAGACAATTATAGTGAAGATAAAATGAATTTTGTCACTCACATGTAAAAATAACGATGACACCATACGTAAACAAATGAGAGTAATTCAATAAGTGAGATAAAGTAAAAATCATAGCTTCATTAAAAATGCTAATTTAAGAACGCACGAAACCCCTAAAAAACTATCCAAATATTTGAGAGGACACGAACATTTTTAATTTGTTTGAGTAATTAATATGTTTAAGAAGTTAACAGCTATTATAAATTAGTAATAAATTACCTACTCACCAGCGAAAGTCTAGATAAAAGTGTAGAATACAAACAAGAGGAACCATGTACCAAACTTTGTGCTGATAGTGCGTTGTTACATGATAGTAGACTCTGATTTATACACAGTTCCATCTCTTCCGAGATACATTTCGTCTGGAAAGAACGGATCTGTTAGTTCTTGTAGAGAAGATTTAAATGCAGAATTAAGCCTGAAATGGAAAGGTGGTTTTGTGTATCCTGTGACAGTTTAGATGTAGCGGTCACTTTTTTTCTTTTTTTTTTAAAGAGAGGCTGGGCATAGAAAGCCCACTAGAGGATAGCATTAAGATGCTTTGCCTACCTCTGGGATGAGGGGGGGTTTGTCGGGGACAACAGTGTGAATTGTGGAGGACGGTGGTGGTAATGATCTGAATGGGAATACCGCGCTTTGGTACCAGATGAGATTATAAATCAGTTAGGCTGCATATGTAATGTGTTAATGCGCTAAGTTACGCCAGTCTGATCCAGTTCTTCTGGTACTATTAAGCGTTTGGTGCGGTTTGTGAAGTTGACGATTGTGGTAATGTGGTGGTTGTCGAATATGTCGTTGACCGAGAGGTAGTAGTCCCGAAAGTATTGACCTCTTAGTTGGGCAATAGCTGGGCACTGTCCAAGAAAGTGTGAGACAGTCTCCTCTCCGTCTCCGCACATGGGACAAGCACTGGTGCTTGATTTGCGGATGGTGTGGAGGTGTTTGTTTAAGCCGCAGTGGCCCTAGTAGCGGTCACTGGTTGCAGTAACTGATCAGTGATTATGGAATAAATGGTTATTTCGCTCCCGTTATGTAGCCGTAATCACCATACTATCTGAAATCGTGATTTTTGTCTTCAATTTTACGATTTGTCAAACATGCTTTAAATTCAGTTAACGGTTAACGTAGTAAATTTAGAGCAGGTGTGGTTACTGGTTATATAGCCTTTATAACTGCCAGTCGCCAGAAAATGGAGCAAATCATCGCTAAATCATCCTCTTTTCTTGAGAAATTTGTAGATAAGTAGCAATGACTTATACCACCAGCTGGAATCTGGATACCCAGATCCTTGTATCCCGTATCTCGTTTCGATGTTGTTCTTTTGTGCTTTGACTGACTATTTCTCAAATGGTAAATATCAATCAAAGGAAAATGATATTATGGTTATTGTATATAAGGGTTATTTGGAATGAAAAGTCGTACTTTAGTCAGAAATGTTGGGTATTGCAGATAAAGAGTGCAAACGCTAACTTTTCACATGGTCGTCATTTGGTTTTTGGGGCCATTTTTAGTATCTACTACACGTTTTTATTCTAGTATAAAGAGTGAAGATACCTTCTTCTCGAGTCAGGATTTTAGACTCTAGAGATTTTAGAGTCTCTAGATTTAGAGTCTAGACTCTAGAGGCCCAAAAAAGCAAAAAAGATGTGGCGATGTATCAAATCAATCGAATACTCGAACGCGCTATAAATTTCCACGTGTTACCTTAGCAACACAAAGTGCGAACAATAGCATTTGTATTCAAGTTTCTGACAAGGCGTACGCGCGCGCCGTCATTAAACCGCCAAAAATTCGTAATCAACAAACATAAAATAGAATTTTATGATAATAGAATTCTATGATAATAGCATATCACTTACCCACCAGTGAATGTAGAATAATAACACCAAAATGAGTCGTATCAGTAGGTTGAAAATGCAGGAACTTCTTACCCCCAACCTCCAGTCGCTGCACACATTGAACAAACCCAATATTCCAGTGACTAATACTCGGAGATAAGCTAGTTCTACACAAAGTGGCCAGATCTTCTGCATACATAACAGAAAGTCGCTCCAATACCATGATGCCTTTTGATTCAAGATAAGTTTTCACTCGATGATGTACAACTTTCTGGCAACAAACAACATTAACCGTCCTACTTTGCAGAAAATCTTCGATTAATTTGATTGATTCTTCTACGAGAACATTCTCCAAATCTGTGTTCATATTAACAAAAGGTAAAGGTTTCACCTTCGTAAGACTCGAGTTCTTGGGGAATACAGCAACTGAACACCACAACTGACAAGTTTTCTTTTCCCGGAAAATCTTTATAATCGCTGGTTCTTTGTAAAGGGAAAACGATACCGTGATAAAAGCGTGAATCTGTTATATCGCCACAATGTCCAGAGGTTATCAATCTAATATTAGGATAGTTATTTGCAGAAATACAACTGATATACGCTTCAAGTACTAGAGATATCAGGAAACGTTGTTTGGGATAACTCAAAACTTTTGATAATTTGGGGCTGATAACAGCACCGATAACACTCCTCAAATGAACCGTGTTTTTAATGGAAAGTTTAAAACTTGACTCCTCAACAGTTTCCTCAATAATCTGAAGGCATCGTGATAATTTATTGATAGCACCTGACCGAGTTAAGCTGTTTTCTGATAATAAAGGCAGTAGCTTGAGAAGCAATGATATGGATAGTTGAGCTAGAGTTGCTTTCAAGTCGGGAACTGGGCTGGAAGTTATCATGTTGCGGTAGAACGTCATCAAGATATCGTCCTCCTGAAAATATTTATTTGTGTTATGCAATTCGATTAATTGGTTTCATCAATTAAATTATTCAACTGTGCATAAATTAAAATTAGAGTGAAATTTCTTAATTTGAAAGAAAATCGGTATATGAAATGGGTTACATGGGCCCAAGGTTACATGGGCAGAATTTATAAAATTTCGAGCTCTTTGTGACTCAATTAAGTGCTTGCATGCAGGCGAATATTTGTTAATTATGTAAAATCAACAAATCACCACATAATAAGGAAGTTGTAATTAGAGAGTTGCTGCTGCTGAGCAGTGAGCACAGCTCTCTCTCTCTCTCTCCCAATAAGGAATAATTACTGTAAACTCAGCACAATATATAGCCCGTATATCCTTCTCAATAGCCGGGCTCCGTGGCGTGAGTCTGTAATCCAGCTACTTGGAGGCGCTAACGGCTAGAATGTCTTGAGATAGGGAGTTCTGGGCTGCGCTGTGCTATGTTGAGCTGGTGTCCACGCTAAGATCGGTGCCAATATGGGCTCCACTCGGTAGCTTGAGGGGTCCAGGTTGATAGTTAGCAGCGTACTGGCCCAGGGACGAAAGTCAGCAGGCAAAAGCTGCAGTACTGATCAGTAGCGGGATAGCACCGGTGAATAGGCACGTAGTTCAGCCCTGTCAAAATAGGCAAACTGGTCGTTACTTTTGCACGATTTTACCACTTTTTTCGACGTTTTCTTGCATTCTGGATGTAGATCACTTCGAGACAGATTATTATGAGTGGGGCCCAAAACCAAGCTGAGAAACAACTGTATAGTACTGCAGGTGTTAAATAGTTAAAAAGTCTGGTATGACATGGAGTAAGCATCTAAAACATGGTATGTGTGTAGCAGGATTCGGAACCGACCGCATATCCGGCTGAATCCGGTTCCAGGCCGGATATCCGGCTTTAACATCCGGTTCCAGTTTCGGTCCGGTTTCCAAGAATTTGGGCGGAAATTTCTTTTTAAAATGTTCCTGAAATGCATGTTTTTGTCTAATTCTTATTAAGGGGCATCCAGTCAGAGCTCTCAGTGAACAGTGAATTCATGGTAGCTTGTAATATGTCAGCGAATGTTAAAGACCCGTTTATATAATATTTTGTGTAACACAAAGAAAGGAGTCAAAGCAGGTACCCCCACCAATTACATAACAATGATTTATTCATGAGCATTACAAGCGGAGGATTCCATGTCCTGCAATATTGTGGCAAACAAACCCGTTGCCAGCTCCTCAATTATGCCATTAAACAACTACGGACAATGGACATTACTCTCGGGAATATTGACACCAAGAACTTAGGACTTGTGAGAGCTGGATTTTGGGCTTCACTTCTAGAACAATGCTTACATGTGTGCTACGCAAATTATTGAAATGTGCGTTTTGATTTCCGGCAGCCTCAAATTTCCTCTTCTTATTACCCGGTTCCGGTCCGGAAAAATCCGGCAAACCGGAAAATAAACTGATATCCGGCCGTTTCCAGTCCGGCAGCCGAACTCCTAGACCGGTTGGTTCCTATGCAGGATACTGGCTCTATTTTGAAGCCATCCTATTCCTTAACCTTAACAGAAAGAAACTTAAAATATTATTATGACATCATGGAATCAATGTGTTGTTAAGTTCCCTTCTGTTAAGGTTAAGGAATAGGACGGGAATTGCAATATGATAATCGCAATATCAGGTTACAAAATCTTGCTCATGACTAACAGTCGACTATAACATATGTTTGTAACGTTAGTAACCTCACAATCTCACTGAACCATTTGACATGCATGACGTAGCACATACAACTTGTAATCTACATTATGATTAACTTTCACTATTTTCGTAGTCTCTATTACAGTCCTAACTTCAACTTGTCTTAAACTGTAGAATTAGCAATATTTCCTTAAAGCTCAATTAACGGTGTTATTGTACGACTTATTCTTTATTTTAATTTAAATAAAGTGATTACAGGCACACGGTTTCATTTATTGTATATGTGTTTACTAACTTCGCGACCTCACTGAGGAAATATGTTGTCTACTCAACCAAAATATTGTTTTGTTCTATCACTATACACGGGGTCTAAAAGTGTTTCTCCCGGTCAGGCCAGCCATAACAGGTTTATTTCCGAAATAAACTTTCTTGTACGACAGATAGCAGCTTCTAAACAACTGTTTAAGTTAGAAATGTGATAATTATTTACCACCTTTGCATTGTTATCTTATGTAAGGAAGTGTAACTCAATGTTTGACGACACAACTCTGTTTTCTGTTCATCATTATCACAAAACAATGCAAGCCAGGTTAGTGTCAGCGCTTAACAATATAATCAGTAATTATTCGAACATACGTTGAGTGATTAGTCGACTATATATTATGGTTACTGTTCACTGGTCGGACAATATCATCCTGGTACACGGTACAGGGTCAAGCAAATGATAAAACTTATTGACGTTCAAATGGCTCATTGGGTTATGTTGTAATCATTTGGGGTTTATTAAAGTTTTATTTTGTTTGACTTACGGTTGTACCATGGTTCTTCACTGAATTATGGGCTTCACTTTACCTTTGTTTGAAATGTTTAAACCCGTTGCGACTAAAAACTCATGTTAAATGATGGTTCAGAATTATCTCGAAAATCTTAGGAAAACTGCTAAAAAGCTTTAAAATTATACTCCAAAAGTACTTGTAAGTATTTAGTATGCGCAGCATGACTGGAGTTTGAGCACGATGCAACATAGAGACTAGAGACATACTCAAACCCACGTGACATACCCACGTGTTAAACTCTCATCCTACTAGATCTCAATAGTAGACCACAAGCTCTTACTAATCATGACTTATGACAATCTAACGATGTAAATTATTGTACAAAGTACTACTTTGTACAATAATTTACTTTGAAAGTAGTTTTAAGTAGAGTCTAAATCAAATTGTATAACTCAGTGGCAACTGGCAGCCATACATAAGTGAAACGAGTCTATGCATTCTATTCGGCGTTGGCAGTTCATTATCTATTCAATATTTTATTTATAGGAATCATTTGCATTTCAATTCCTTTTAAATCATGTCTTACCTTAGAACCTTAGAACGTGCTATTTGTCTCTTTTAATCACCGACTTTATCAAGTTCAACATTAATTACAGTACTAAAACAGGGTTTCTATCTTACCATATTATATAATTATGTGATTACTATATTCGTCAGAACATTAATTGGGCCAATGACTCGGATTAAGCCGCTACACCAGGTGCCCGTATCCCGTTTTACTATTAAAGTATGCTAAATTATCTTATCCACATGCTGTGAATTATAAATGGAAGGTTATTAGAATTCTAGAAATCTAGCAAGTGCATTAGCTTATATATGAGGAACTATATAATAATGGAGGTGGCAAATATTATTAAGGCAGTAATGATTCAGAAGTTATGTCGGTTTTGCCGTATCAAGTTTTTCTAGTTTAGTTAATTGTCTGCTGGCCACACATTATGTAACTTATAATACCATTACCTCTATGATTAGTCGTGTACTAGCAGGAACCCGTATTTATACGGGTTATAACCCTAAAATGGTGTCAAGACTCAAGAGACTAAAATAATTATTACCTATTTAATTCGCGTTTTTGACACCACTTGGGGATCCAAATTTTAGGCTCTAAAACTCCTATTTCTTGGCCAATTTTTATTTTTCATGCTGATCTGGAGGCCATTAAAGCATTTGACCCAGTCAAAAAAGTTTCAGTTGTATATCTTTTCAGTTGTATATCAGTTGTATATCTTTTACGGTTTTTGCGGAAAGTCGCGTTAAAGTTGCTGCCGTGGCGTCAGTAAAATGGTACGGATCCATCCATCTATCCATATACCGTGTATAATATATATCGTCTCACTTTATATAAATATATATATAGTATGATGTTGACAAATGACAATGGTATTGCGATGTATTCAAGATAAGTTATCATATATACAGGATCAAAGCCTCATGATTCAACTACAAAGGCGCAAATGTGTTGAATTATTCAGTTTTGAGGCTCCAATCCTCGGCCTTCTAAATTACTAACACTTCCCATATTGATCGTAGCCTGTGTCTTATGTTTAATGAAATGTTCTACCCAACTCCTGAAGGAAGGAGCATTATAAAGGAGCATTAACAATGATAACATGTTTGTAAACGGGCCGATGACCCAACAATTTCAGCCTGAGTTTTATTCTATATCTTCTATGTCTAGCCTCTTTTCTTACAAACATATTGTAGTTGTACATTGTTCTTTGAGGTTGCTTCATTAGCTATTAGCTAAGCTACACGAAGCACCTGTTTTTGCTATGTATTGCTGAGGATGTTTTTGACGGTTATCCTATAAACTATTGATGCTTTTGATACAAACAAGTTAAACCAAATTCTTTATGTCATATATCCTGGGTTTGGACAGGATATGCCCGCTTAAAATACTTCCATCGCGTTACATTACATAATTCTCAATAAATGTAATAGATTTGTAGTGTTGTAATTAGTTTAAAATTACGTTTTTAGAAGGTTGTATGCTTTCTTGTTGATAAACTTTATAGTGTCGATAAAGCTCTCATTATTGTAGGACTAGTAAATGACAGTTTGTGGAGTGTCATGGATAATAATTATCTTATTATTCTTCCTCTCAGGTAATCATTTGTTAACCTTATAAATACTAATTTCATAGAAAAAAAAGAAAAAAAAAGCTTTTTTGTTAACAAGCGTGGATACTGGACAAGCTTAGCTATTAGCTTTGTCGCATGTCATAAACATGTCAACATGATAAAGAAACACTCATGCAACAGTCGCTTATCATGAACATTACCTAATATTTTAAATTGTACAGTCTCTGTAACCACAGCCTCCCAGAGATAAGAACAATAAAAGGAGACACAGTAACTCTCACAGCATGTCTCTGTAACCACAACCTCCCAGAGATAAGAGCAATAAAAGGAGACACAGTAACCCTCACAGCATGGTGTGAGAGTTACAGTCTCTGTAACCACAACCTCCCAGAGATAAGAACAATGAAAGGAGACACAGTAACCCTCACAACATGGTTTTTTTTTTTAATAAACAACATGGTGTGAGAGTTACTGTCTCTGTAACCACAACCTCCCAGAGATAAGAACAATAAAAGGAGACTCAGTCACCCTCACAGCATGGTGTGAGGGTTACAGTCTCTGTAACCACAACCTCCCAGAGATAAGAACAATAAAAGGAGACACAGTAACCCTCACAGCATGGTGTGAGGGTTACAGTCTCTGTAACCACAACCTCCCAGAGATAAGAACAATAAAAGGAGACTCAGTAACCCTCACAACATGGTGTGAACACAAGGTGAAGTATCTGGGAGGATACAGCTCAGGGACCTACAGATATGTTACACTTACTGAGGCTCAAGCAGAGTGTCTCAAAAGAAATGGTACGGTTTTATCATTTGTTATATTGATATATAAGCCATGGTAGGATCAGCGTTTTGTACGCTAATCCTGCTAATTAGTACATGATTATTCTTAATAACAGGAGCAAATAATAAACCCAATAAATATCTCATTTTTATTTTAAACCCAAAATTTTGTTGTAAAATAACTATTCTCAGACTGTGGGGGTATAACGTACGAACCCTTATACTCGGGCAAGTACACATTAAGAAGAGGGACTACCCTGCACACTAGTCCTAGTGAGGAGATTTCCTGGCAGACATGCTCTAAAACAGCAGGTTAGAGCTACTGCAGTTAATTGGGCTCATGTGGGTACATTTACTGTAGCGCTGATTATATGCGATGTTTTAAACTTCATGCTGTTGTTGGAGTAGACAGACCTTGGATAGACAAACGGAAACATATCACAACCTTCCACTCAAGTCATATTATTGATCCTATCGGGATAAAATCACGCCAATCAGGCCTATACTGCTTCACACGTCATATCCTATGCAATCCTTAATCCAGATATGAAATATTCAAGATGTAACTTCAGCAAAGGAGAGAAATTGAAGTCGAAATTGAAGTCGAAATTGAAGTCGAAATTACCATATAGCTGATATTTACTGTATTAATATGTAGTTTTATGAAATAATAAACCCCCCTAAAAGGAGACTTGCCACAACATCTCTTACCTGAAAATGAGCGATGATAGATTTGGAATCAGCAGTCATAGACACGATTCCATCCTCGCAGTTCAACAGCGCAACTTTATTACCTCCCCTTGTCAACTTTAGAACGTTACAAAGTCTGGTAACGGATTCAGTTGAGGGTAACTCGCTCCTGAAACATGCACTTCTCGACTGTGTCATGCCTACAGGAATAATTAGGTAAGATAAACGATAAAAGGTAGAGTATGGTAACTGGTAGTGTAAGGAGTCTACCAGTCTTGCTCTTATCTTCCTAAACTGCCATTATTCTGGCTTAATCACAGTAAATTTACTAAATTCTAGGATTTATCTTGGGTTGTTGTTCAAATATAAATCCTTAATGTGCTGTGTTTACAGACTGACTGTTTCCCCAATGTTTACATATCATAAGATGGTTGAAACCCACGCACATTACTGTGTATCAGTGTATAATTCCTGTTAACTTCATGCTTTGAGTTTTAATTAACATTCTCTCTACATATTATATTCATGAGATGATACATTTTCGGTTCACACGTTTATTTGTATGTTTATTATGCAAAGATGAGTTTCGCAAAGTTTCTTTTTAGCTACTTTCCCAGAAATTATGTGTGCTGTGCAGGCTGCACTGCACTGCACTGTGCAGGCTGCACTGTTTTGTGTTCAGTTTTGTAAATGCGTTAGTTTAACATAATCATACAATGATTATTTTTGAAGCAACATTTAATTTGTTACCATGCGACGTCCATTAGAACGCAGAAGTATGGTTTTCGGCTTATTAAGACAGAGAAGTCCTGGAGGAAGCTCTCAGGACGACTCCGAGAACACGGATACATCAGAACTTGATAAGAAAATAGAAATGGGGCGAACATCACAACAGACACTGGAGAATAAACCAGTAGAGCAAACCTTACGAGATGATTCTGTAGAAGGACTTACAACTGGTGAAGCAAATGCGCTCGCTGACGAGATAACTGATCTTCCATCCTCGTCATCGAAGGGAGAACCAAATCAACCTGATATAATGGAGAATGGACCACCTCAAGAACCTTTAACCAGTAGGAGACACATTTCTAATTTATTAATTGAAAGACTGAGAATGTATGCAATAAGTAATTAACGCCTGTCTTGACACTATTTCTTGTATGATCATATTTAAAACTGTGTTATTGTATTCAACTAGAAACGTGCACCATAAACACAACAAAGTTACAGATTTTATTGAGCGAGATAGGTCTATGGGGAGGGAAAGTGACCTCTCCGCAATGACTACTCCAGAAATGATTATGGATCCTCACATTGACATGGACGTAAACGTTAACATGGCATTGGTTCATAAATCCCTGGAACTACTTCTTGACAACAAGTAGGGGCATGTTTTGATTGTTAACGGGGTCATTTTTATGAATCTATAGATTTCCATAGTATCTCGGAGCTGTGTATTGAACCAACTTTCGACAAGCAGCATCCATGTACATTGTATAAAGACGTTTTATAAAGGCAAACCTGTGTCTCCAAACTAAATTGACGATTTTAGATTCCTGGAAGCAGAGGACATCCTTAAAAAGCACTACGAAACAGATATGCATTTCGCTCTGGGATATGGAGCAATGCTAACGTTTCAGGTAAAAACTTGAGTATTCCAAAACATAATGTGTGCATTACACAATTCAATACCTTTTCTTTACTAACACTTTGAGCTTACTTTCTTTCTTGATAAATACCTTCGGCACTGATATGCTAAAATAAACTTGTCATTTGTCAACAGGCTATAATGACGTATGACTCTCGGGAGATTGAGAAAGGTTATGCAATACTGGCAAAGGGTTTGGAATTGACAGATTCACAGAGACAGAAAAGAACAGATTACCTCCGTATGAAGGCACCGAAATATGAAGAGGTAAGGTACTTACTGACTACCTAAGGTACCTACTACCTACTATCTTAAGCTTAGGTTATTATGTTATGCTAATTAATCTTGAAGAACAGTTCTTGACAAGGACTATGTGAGATATAAGGCTAACTTACTTAAATACATATGTAAGTTAATTTTGTCATGTCCTGAACTTGACGAAATTCAAAAGTCAGGACTCAGGAACTATAGCACCACTATTCTAATTTCAAGGTAGTTGCAACTATAACACCACTATCCTAATTTCAATGTAGTTGCAACTATAGCACCACTATTCTAATTTCAAGGTAGTTGCAGAGCTACTCTACGCTGAGACACTGCTGCTCACTTCACTCCTTTCCTTTACTCAAAGTGACTCTGTGATAGCCATGATAAAAGGTGCCGTCAAGGTAACAAGAACTAGATTCTGTAAATAACAAACAATTCTTTTTAAAGAAAGAAACCTATGTAATAGTCCAAAAAATATTTACAGTACATGACTTATGTTTATCAATTGCTCGAGTTTAAAATGATCAATAATATGATAATTTGCTGCAGGGACGAACCTCCTATGGGATCTACAGGGATTTGTATAACAAATATATACTCAAAGCTGGCATTAGCAGGCACAACAAGTCGAAAATACCGGTACGATTTACGAATACATGTATAGGATGGATTTTAAAACATAGTATAATTTTTGTGAAAATACTCGAATACAATTACCTAGTGAAATGTATTTAATTTTTGGAATCAAGTACACGCTCATTCTTAAAGAGATCATTATTTCCAGGAGTACTTATCGAACGATTTTCTCTCTGGGATTCTAATGGGTTATGGATGCTTTCATATAGCGCTTTCAATGGTTCCACCTGTGAGTAAACCTGTGATAATTTTATAAAAATTAGGCTGAGATAAAATATTAAAGAACAGCGTTCTTCAAAACTCAAGTTCAATATGAATTATATTTGTGCAATGCCATGCCAACATTGTCTCTCTCAGAAATTACTAAAGATATTAGAGCTTGTTGGATTGCAGGGAGATACACAAGAAGGGCTGAAGGCACTTTCTCAGGGAGTGGATTGTGATGGTTTAAGATCATCATTCTGTGCCCAAGTTTGTAACTCATGATGTTTCAAATTGAAACAAAGCATCCTGAGCAGTTTATTGAGGATTTATCACGTGATCTTTCTGTAAGATGCACAAGATGCTGAAAAAATATGTGATAAATTTACTTTAAGTGCTATTCTGATCAATAATTTTGGAGTGAATCAAGATAATAATGTAATTTCAATCCCAGGCAATCATCGCATATGAATCAGCTTTCAAATTCCACTTAGACCCCTACAACATGAAACTTGAAGTGGTTGATAAGCTCACAACAAAATATTTAGCAAAACATCCTGTATGTGTGTCTTTTCAATTCTTTGCTGGTAGAACTGAAATGCTCAGAAGGAATTTGCCGAGTGCTAGGCAAACTTTTGAAAAATGCATCATGTTGCAGGTATTCATCTTTCTAGTAGCAATCTGTTAAAATATTTAAAAGGAATCAGCTAGTTCTTTTATTTTGGAGAAAAAAATCCTTAATAAATAAGTTTGTCCTTGCTACAGGATGAGTGGGTCACAATGCACCATACATGCTGGTTTGAACTATTGTGGGTTTCATCATTGGAACAAAAATGGAGTGAAGCTGCTGAATATGCAGAAAGGTTGTTTGGAGCAAGCAACTGGAGTAAAACATCCTATCTCTATCTACTTGCTGCTTTTAGGCATGCCCAATTTATTGACAGTGACCCATCCAGAAAGTAAGTCATATTTGAATAAGGTTTTAATTTCTTTTGATAAGAACAATGAAACAATGACCTGTTGCTTGTACCCTACTAACAATATTTTAAAGTTCTATTTCATGAGCTCTGATGCTATAATCTTATTACATCTAGGTATGCAAAAGATCCAAATATAACAACACTGTTCAAAGATGTTAAAGAATATCAAATAAGGGTGGCAGGGAAACGACTTCAAATAGAAAAGTATTGTGTGCGAAAAGCAAGAAGTTTCAAAAATAGAAACAACTTCCTATTCTTACCAGCCCTAGAAGTATGTTAATTATCAACTTACATATTAACATAATTTATACTCTTACTCCGATTCTAGTCAATATGCTGCAAGGCCAAGGATGTAAACACAATTTAAACAGTCATTATTTCTGGTTGAAATATAGCAACTGGCATATTCTTTTATCGGGTATTTTACAAATTAATTCCCAGTACCTTTTTATTTTTAATAGGCAATGTACATATGGGGAATCTTCTCATTATTGGACGAATCAACTGCAAAAACTTTTATACAAAAATGTGATTCCAAAATGGTGAATGGTGTTACAGATGTTCAACTTTGTGCAGATGATAGAGCACTTGGACATCTTATGATTGTGAGTATAAATTTATGAATCCTGGATTCTTTGTGGTATAGTTTGCACTAAAAGCTCTCTACTTATACAGTACACGGACCTGCATTCCGGTGTTTTTGCAGGTTTCAGTTTTAAATTTCACATCTGTCAGATGCTATTGGGCATATTGCAGATATATTGGTGAATATCGCACTTATCGGAACAATATCACACCTATAGGAGGATTGGTGTGATATGCGTCTAATATAATTTCAATAGATGCCATTATTTAAGGGTTATATGACCATAAAGTGACATGAGTCAAAATGATATGCTTTAAAAGTGCCAGCTGCCTATGCAGCCAGCATAGCAGCCCATGGTCATAGTGATATAAGGAAATATTAATATTTGAATACTTACAATTGAAATAATCTTAGGGTGTATTGTGGAAACATTGCTATCTGTTAACCAAGAATAATAACGATGAAAGTAGCAGAGAATCTTGCTTACAAAAATCAGAGGATTCACTCACAAAATCACTGTCGTACGGTAAGATTTTTTATCTGTTTAAGACCATCTTTCAACCATGAAAATTCTAATAGAAATATAAAGTAATGAATGTTAATTGTTAACTTTCAGAAAAACAGATTGCTTTGGACCATTTTATTATGGGTTGGGCCAACTATGAAATGGCAGAACTTTACTGGTTAAAAGGTGATAACAGAAAAGCAATGGAATCTGTGAAAGCTTGTAAAAAAGTTTCATCCAAAGTAAAATATTCTCTGGAGAGTAGAGTAATGTTCAAGGTACACTATAATAGCTTCAATTATTTTTATTGAGCTCACAAATGAGTATTTTGTCATGTACAGCAAGATAACTAACATATGCAGAACAGTTGCTTAATCTTATCATTTAGCACAGTTTTGAACATAACACATAATCTACACAGATTCACAATCTGACAGAAAGGATCAAGAATTCAACTGGAAATACAAGTACAACTTGATACAAATATTTCCAAATCAATATCGAATCTAACCCTCATAAAAATCTTGGACAGTATTCATCGACTCCATCGCTAATTTAAATTGGATTAAAACAGCTATCCAAAATCAACATTATACATCATACATAACATGCGACCATGTACCACGTTATAATGGGTACCGTTTTTGGTAATATATTTCGTGATAAAATCAGCTAGCACTGTTTATTAATGTTTAAACAAATATCAAATATATCAGCTTAATACTCCAAATTTGCGTGCATGAACGTATAAACATTCAGTGCAGTATGACATGACTGATCAAGCAACGGTGTAACAGCAACCAGCAACTGTGTATATTTGGATTTTTTAATTGATGTGATTTACTCTTTCTATAAACATTTTGTAATCATTTGTTTAATTTTTATTGACAATTTAAATCTGTAGTAGCAAGTAGTGAAAAAATTACCTTACCATGGCACAAGAGCCTTTGCGTATTACGTTCACCTAACATAACCATGTTGCATTTACCTGAGGACCCCAGGCTTTAATGTTGTTAAATAGAATAGAGATTAGGCGGAATGACAGGCTGAGCGCGGCCCAGTAATGTTGCATGTGCTTTCATGCCGGGAGGCGGGCGCGCGCCATTCACCATTGAAAGCGCAAGGGCTCTGGATAGAGCAACGTATTACGTGACGTGCTTGTTTCATGAAGGCTACAAGCGTGTAGTTTCTGGTTAACGCAATTATGAACACTGAACAAAAAAGCCTGAGGTCACCAGGTATAAGAAGCATTATTAATGATTAAATGCGTGACACATAATGCATAACAGTCCAGTGGTTTATTGTACAACATATATAAACAAGCTTGAAGCTACATTTATCGCACTAACAATGTACAGGCGTACAGCTCGATCACAATGCAATCAACAATTAGCTATTTTATTTTCGCAAATAGATCCTAGTAGCAATTAAAGCTAAAGTTTTTTTAAATACCGTTTCAAATTGAACATAAGCTGAAACATGTTTTTTGCAATGCTAAATGCGTTAATGGGCCGCGCCGCGCATATCCAATAATGCTTTGTTAGATTGTAAATCGGCAAAATGGGCTACTGGGTTCACATAGCCATGTGCCTACGCGTACTGCGTGACGCGCTTGTTTCACAAGTAGGATAGGCACATACAGATCAGCACACATAAGATGGTACGTGTGTGCGCGCGCAGTGCTGACAATTGCGTCGTATTTAACCCCGGGTGCACGTACATCGTGTGCGATTATTTATACTTATCGAAGGCTATAAATGCCTCTTGTTTATTTTAATTTGGTATTGTTCACTTTTAGACGATAAAATACAGGAATTGCGGTATAATAATACGAATAATTAAGATTGTACAATCAAAATACATCACGAAACAGTATTAACTACCTCGCTACTTATCAACTTATACTATGTACTATGCGACAAAGATACACAATGCAATATTTATATACTTATAGAATAAACGAAACACAGTATTCAGTATTTACTAGTACTACCCCGCTACTAGTAGTAGTACTACAACTTAATGCGACAAAGGTCAAAGATATTGTATAAAATATAACTAAATAAACAATACGGTGCCCATGCCTGAGCTTTTTAAAACTGGAAACACTTCTCAGATTAATTATTTTGCTTCTCAAAAACAATTACAAACTAACAATTTTCGACGTTAAACAGCTACATTAAACATTAACATTACACTTCACAATCCGAAAGAAAGGGGCTCGTCGCTGCAGGCCTGACTTTGACTTGATCCTGAAAAAGTACATGTCATTTAGGTACCGCGACAATTGTGAATTGACCCCCCGACAATTGACCCCCTATGTAATTACACTGGGGTCAATTGTCGCGAAATCTAGGGTTTAGTACGACAATTGGCCCCCCGAAAATTGACCCACCGACAATTGACCCCCTACCTATGTAATTAAACTAGGGTCAATTGTCGCGAAATCTAGGACTTAGTACGACAATTGACCCCCATGTAATTACACTGGGTCAATTGATCGGGTTAGGGTCAGGGTCAGAGTCAGAGTCAGTGGTCAGGGTTAGGCCTAGGGTTAGGGTTAGGGTTAGGGTTAGGGTCAGGGTCAGGGTCAGGGTCAGGGTCAGGGTCAGGGTCAAGGTCAGGGTCCTGGATCAGGGTCAGGGTCAGGGTCAGGGTCAGGGTCAGGGTCAGGGTCAGGGTCAGGGTCAGGGTCAGGGTTAATTGTATTAAATTATATTGTCGGGGGGTTAATTGTCGGGGGGTAAATTGTCGCCCACCCGTCATTTAATGTAATTACATAATACAATATAATACATAATACAATGTAAATGTTGCTGTTACAAAATGTATAGCTAACATAAGCGAGCGTTTATGTATGACGTCAGCAGCCGAGGGAAAAGGGTATTTGGAAATGCTGACGGTTGCTGACAGGAGGGGGAGGTATGAGCCTTGTTAACGTCAACAAAAATACGTGAATTCAAATCAATTTTATTAGCAATAAAACGTCACTAATTTCCTTAAAATTAGTACTCGAACTGAACTCTGGTGACCAACTGCTTAAATCAGTCACACACTAATTTTCCCTGCCTCATGCCTACTACTGGAAACTGTATCTCCAGACAAGTGTCAGACGTTACTATGCAATGCATGCATGCATAGTATGCATTGGTTGCTCTTCAAAAAGGTTAGCAAAAAGATAAAGAGTGCGACCCTGATAAACTTTTGGGAGAGATTCATCGACGACATATTTGGAGTGTGGATGGGGACAGCGGGACAATTTACAATGTTTGTCGAATTGTTGAACAAACTGGCTAAATCAAACTGGCAGAACCATATAGAATCAAGGTTAACTTTTTAGACCTTACCTTGAGCTTGGACTCCGAAAATCAGATCTGGTACAAGCTATTTAGAAAGGAAACAGATGCTAGGAACTACTTGAGATCAGATACATATGTAATTTCCAACCCCACCATGTGTAGAGGACCTGGGCGAACTAAAGGAGGATCTTGCCAGATGCGGACACAACAACAACGGTGACAAACTAGAAGAAATCGAGCCGAAAGCAATACAGAGGTCTATTGAGAACCCAGGAAATCCAACCAGAGACACTGAGGATAAGACACAACAGAGCCTCGTATTTTCCGTACAACACTCTTGATAACATTAGTCTTACAAAGTTGGTTAAGAACTTAATCTGGTCATTAAGCTACTAGTAATGTTATGTGGGGATGTACGGATAGTATTTGCCACTAGGAAACACCCTTCAATCGGTAATACACTAGAAAAGAATCGACAACTGGGACAACTGGAAACCCTTGATGTAGGACAATTACAGAGGTGTAATGGACCTAGCTGCAAAATTTGCCCCGTCCTCTTTGACAAGGACTCAAAAGATCATGGTCAACAACATAGAACTGGTGCTAGACGGAACTCTAAAATGCAAGGACAAGCATGTTATCTACCTTATTGGTCATAATTATCACGGACATTACTTTCACACTGAAGACCTCAGCGTGAATAATTATGTCCGTGAAAATAATGTCTGTGGTATTAAGGTCCGTGAATAATAAAGTCCGATAATTATTTCCATTAATTTTAGGGATGATGATTAATCACTCTACACTCGACTGTCACGTGACTTTTTAAATACGTTCTCTTGGTGGCCCTGAATGACTATTCGAAATCATAGCCCTCTAATCTGATCCCAACCCTAACCCTAACCCAATCTCTAACAAAAGTATATTCTGAAACCCTAACCCTATCGAGAAATTAGACTAACTTCCTTATATGGTCATATCACGTGATCGAGACAGTTTTTCGCCAATATCTCGATAGGGGAGCATTTTAACCCTATGTCATGGTGGGTGATTCGGAATCAGCGTCCGAAAATACATCGATCGAAGTCGGTCTCAACTGTCGGGGGCCCTTTTAGAACAATCTCGAAGATCGACTGTAGAGTGATTTAGCACGCTCGTAATTTTAGTGTGCGTCCCACATAGGCGTAGATATGTCTGTAGCCGATTACTATATTAGCTAATTAGTATACTAGGACAAATATAATCACTCCTCAGTCACATTCTAGAGTTCAGAAAAAGAGTAAAAAACTGAATATCAAAAACTGGAGTTATTTCAATTTTAAAGAAGTCATTTTGGCTAGTATCCCGAACCGAGATATTATATGTGCAATTTTTTTCATGGAAGCCTTTTTACTTAGTATCCACTACAGGCACGTAGCCAGGATTTTTCTTTGGGGGGCCCTTGGCGAGCGGAGCGAGCCGACCCGTTCAATCCAGCTGCACAACAAAATGTGTTGTTTTCTTGATTTTTTATGTATGGTGTAAAACAGTGTAGAGAAGTGTACGATCGAAGAATATTTCCAGATTTAAACATGTAACAATTGTTGTTTAAATGCTACCTGAAGCTGTTCAAATGAAATTGAACTGGGAGAATCGAGAAGATTACAAGTCACAGCTACGTACAACAATCAGGGTCAGGAATGAAAAAGGATACGTAGATAGAGTTCCTTATAATCCCTGACTACGACAGGGAGCTGAAGGCAGATCTGGGAGGGTCTGGGCACAATATTATATTGCTATTATATTATCATCTGCACACTTATACTTTAACTTAGCTTAAACTAATTACAACACTACAAATCCATTACATTTATTGAGGATATGAGTATGACGTAGTTATGTCGATACGTTATTCAACTATTTATTTCTATTAGAATCTGTCTTCACTAAGTCTATTTAGAGACAATCAGAAATTTGAATCATTTATCAAGACATTATACTTATACATCACAAAACCTCCGACTTGATTTACAACTTAACTTCACAAACACTAATCATATAATACAAACTTACTCTGTCGGTTATCATACTATAATTCAAGGCAACATTAGCGTCCGTGAATTGATCTCTGCAGGAGCCCTCCCTTACTAAAACTTGTGTCTTCATCTGCCGTATTACTTAGGAATATCGCCGGTCTCAGCTTCAAACATAAAGGTATGATATTCAATAGACGCCGCTCTGCAAACGTCACCTGAAAAGGGATAAGTAGATAGAGCTCCTTATAATCCCTGACTACGACAGGGAGCTGAAGGCAGATCTGGGAGGGTCTGGGCACAATATTATATTGCTATTATATTATCATCTGCACACTTATACTTTAACTTAGCTTAAACTAATTACAACACTACAAATCCATTACATTTATTGAGGATATGAGTATGACGTAGTTATGTCGATACGTTATTCAACTATTTATTTCTATTAGAATCTGTCTTCACTAAGTCTATTTAGAGACAATCAGAAATTTGAATCATTTATCAAGACATTATACTTATACATCACAAAACCTCCGACTTGATTTACAACTTAACTTCACAAACACTAATCATATAATACAAACTTACTCTGTCGGTTATCATACTATAATTCAAGGCAACATTAGCGTCCGTGAATTGATCTCTGCAGGAGCCCTCCCTTACTAAAACTATCGCCGGTCTCAGCTTCAAACATAAAGGTATGATATTTAATAGACGCCGCTCTGCAAACGTCACCTTATCACCTACCTGAAACAGATTTTAAGATAAGCAACTAAATAAAGATTCGTTGAGATTCTGAGTTTCTGCCCTGACGGCTAACTAAATAAAATTTGGTCGGACAGACTCATCTCGCATATTAGGAAAAGCAGCTGAGGTTTAAGATATTTACCTTCTTTCAGATTTCTTTTTTAGACTGAACTAAACTTTAAACGATAACCTCTGAATGATCTGAACAACTAACTTTAAGGACATCGATCCTAAGAAATGGCCGTTTTTAAAAGCTTTAAAAAATTTCAAAGGGTCTACACAATGTCAATAACGCGCGGCCGGCTGGCGCTAGATATTGTAAAAGGCTTACGATTTTTTCCTTTATTCATCAGAAAGTCAATGTGGCAGACATAAAGAGCTAAAACTCTGTCAAAGCTTCTAGATCAATCTTTCGATACTGTTTAGGAAAAGTTAGTGGATCACCTGAAGTGAAACAAATGTTACTATCTTGCAAATGTTAACCATTTTATTTCGATTAGAATCGAATTTAACATACTTAAACTTGATATGATGTAATAATGAGGTACGTGTAAAAATCAAGGGTATCCCTCGAGCCAGTTCAGCTTGTGTAATATAACAAAATAAATAGGGAAAAATAAGGGAGAGTACCTGGTGCCATGCTGTGTCAACAGAAGCGCTGAGGATAAATTCAGTGAGCATTAGTTGGAAAGGATTGTCATCAGTTACTGTGTGAGTTAGTGTTGTGGTGGACGAAAGGATAAGCCGCTGATCAGGGATATAGGCCCCTCCTCACGAACTCTCTGCTGTGTTGGCGCAACGAGTGAGACTTTGGGGTGGTCAAAAGATGTGATGGTCCCGTCAAGTCTTGGCGAAACTCAACATAGGTCAGATAGGTAGAAAACAATGCCATTGGAAAACTCTATCCAATGCAATAGTCACATTATAGTCATTTCTAGAAAAAAAATAAACCTGGTTAATGTTGTTTAATGTGAGAGAATAAGATAAAAGAGTCGACCAATTTTTGTCAGTGTGAATATTGTCAAACAGCGGGCTCCAAAATCGTCTAGGGGGAAAGAGCCCTGAATATCAGCTATCTGCCTTAGTACCTTGGCTCTAAAGTCTAAATTATGCAGCGATGACGACATAAAAAGTCGCTTTATCGTGTGTGTATCATGGCAAATCTTGCTTTGTCAGAACTAAAAGAAGGTTTAGGAGCAAAGTAAATATCAGACTTAAGATATGAAAGCACAGAAAGACTGAGTCAAATGTACAATTGTAGCTGCTGTCCGCTATTCTGCATCAAATAAAATATTAAGGGGCCATCTACTTAGGACGTCCAGCAAAAAGGGAGGGGGAGGTGGTTTTGGAATTTCGGACAAATCCGGACAGTGATAGGGAGTGGTTTCTGAAAATCCGGACGTCCGGAAATTTTGGCAGAATTAACGAAAAAGCCGCATTTATTTCAACTCTTTGACACTAATTACGATCAGTAAGTTTAGATCCCTGTAACGAGAAGTCGTTTCCCAGAGCAGCTCATGAGAGCCGAGACACAACTCGCATATTCTGCTACTGCCTTAAAACTTATTCCATTGGATGGCTACCTACTTAAGTACCTTAATGTAACTGTGCTAAACTTGTTCGACACTAAATGTATTATTGTCTATTCTAAGTGACTACACATTTTATTAACAATGAATTTGAGTTGGTTTTATTTGTACTCTTTAAAGTAGCTGGAAATCAGGACGTCCGGGGGAGGGGGTTTGAAAATTCGGACACACCCGGACAGGGGGAGGGGGTGCTCCAGTGGCGTAACGAAAGGCCCTGCTGACCCCGCTGTGCAGGGGGGCGCCGTCTTAGGGGGGCGCCAAATCGTCGTTTGAATGTGGGACAATTTCGAAAACTTAACTAAAGTACTAGCAAAACTGCGCGTTTTGCTCTAGATACACACTTTTTTAGAGATTTTACCGGCGTATTCTCTAAAATCACCTAATTTGTTCAATTTTAGGGAGGGGCACCAAAAGGGGAGGGGGCGCCAACAGGGGGGCGCTTTTTTCGGCAGGGGGGCGCCAACATGCAACGTTACGCCACTGGGGTGCTCCCCGGGGGTGGTCTGAAAATCTGCAATTTTGACGGACGTCCCAAGTAGATGGCCCCTAAAGTCTAAACAAAAGTTCTCAAAACGTACACAACGAGAGAGTGTCAACCTACATGTCAATGAAACAGACTGTTTCATTGTTTGAGACAACACGTGTGTTTGCGCGCAATTCTGGAATAATCCGAGAGATGAACTGTAGCGAGTGTAACTTTAGTGTGCAGATGAGTGTGTACTTCGATGTATACTATTTCTGCACGTACAGGATCCTTTGTAAGGGGTCATTCACATATTTAGTTATCACTCGCTAAGGAAAAAGGGGTGGGGGAATAGGACATGGTTTATAATACACGCTTAACATGTTACTGTTTGCTAACCAATACAGCAATACTGGGGTAGGTTCACTGATAGTGTTTCTCAGAGATATAGATGGCTGTAAATTATGCTAATAAATATATAAAAATAAATATGGTCAAATGTTAAACAATGAGATGATTTAAGAGAAGCAAATATTAGTGGACTGAAATTATAATCTGATAAAGTGCAGCTGTGAACTCAAATGTATAAAACAAACTCACAATTCGGATCGAACAGTTTAAAATGAAACACAATAAGACAGAGTAATTGGTAAAATGTTAAACAATAAGCTTCACTTATAGTGTTTCTCAGAGATGGCTGTAAATTATGCTAATAAATGTCCACTTTTTGGACTGGAAACATGAAATTGTAGGGAATAAATCAATAATACTGTTTGCTAACCAATATTGGGATATGTTCACTTATAGTGTTCCTCAGAGATGGCTGTAAATTATGCTAATAAATATCCACTATTTGGACTAGAAATAATTTAGGGAGTTAATCAATAAAATACTGTTTGCTAATCAATATTGGGGTAGGTTCGCTTATATAAGTGTTTCTCAACAAAACACTTGTCCAAAATACAATTAAAATTAGAGAAAATTTACACCTTGACAACATTTAACAAATGTACTATTGCAAATGACAAAAGTGTAATAAGGTAACTGGTAACAAGTCTGCTGGTTATTCAAAATTTAACATTAAAATATGTCCCGGCCCTTTGAATCATCCGCCGAATGATCAACTGAATGATTGCAACAGACAAAGAAACAAGCAAAATTTGTTTAAAGTACCTAAAGTAAGTATGATCAAAGAAGGTATATTAGCTCCCTACAAAAATCTAATCCAATGAGAAAATAAATCTAAAGTCCAATTGCAAATGACAAAAGTGTAGCAAGGTAACTGCAGGTAACAAGTCTGCTGGTTATTGAGAATTTAACATTAAAATATGTCCCGGCCCTTTGAATCATCCGCCGAATGATCAACTGAATGATTGAAACAAACAAAGGAACAAGCAAAACTTGTTAAATGGAGTGCATGATCAAAGAAGGTATATTAGCTCCCTACAAAAATCTAATCCAATGAGAAAATAAATCTTAAGTCCAATTGCAAATGACAAAAGTGTAGCAAGGTAACTGGTAACAAGTCTGCTGGTTATTGAGAATTTAACGTTAAAATTTGTCCCGGCCCTTTGAATCATCCGCCGAATGATCAACTGAATGATTGAAACAAACAAAGGAACAAGCAAAACTTGTTAAATGGAGTGCATGATCAAAGAAGGTATATTAGCTCCCTACAAAAATCTAATCCAATGAGAAAATAAATCTTAAGTCCAATTGCAAATGACAAAAGTGTAGCAAGGTAACTGGTAACAAGTCTGCTGGTTATTGAGAATTTAACGTTAAAATTTGTCCCGGCCCTTTGAATCATCCGCCGAATGATCAACCGAATGATTGCAACAAACAAAGAAACAAGCAAAATTTGTTAAATTGAGTGCATGATCAAAGAAGGTATATTAGCTCCCTACAAAAATCTAATCCAATGAGAAAATTAATCTAAAGTCCAATTGCAAACGACAAAAGAGTAGCACTAGCAAGGTAACTGGTAACAAGTCTGCTGGTTATTGAGAATTTAACATTAAAATATGTCCCGGCCCTTTGGAGCATCCGCCGAATGATCAACCGAATGATTGCAACAAACAAAGGAACAAGCAAAATTTGTTAAATGGAGTGCATGATCAAAGAAGGTATATTAGCTCCCTACAAAAATCTAATCCAATGAGAAAATAAATCTTAAGTCCAATTGCAAATGACAAAAGTGTAGCAAGGTAACTGGTAACAAGTCTGCTGGTTATTGAGAATTTAACGTTAAAATTTGTCCGGCCCTTTGAATCATCCGCCGAATGATCAACCGAATGATTGCAACAGACAAAGAAACAAGCAAAATTTGTTAAATTGAGTGCATGATCAAAGAAGGTATATTAGCTCCCTACAAAAATCTAATCCAATGAGAAAATTAATCTAAAGTCCAATTGCAAACGACAAAAGAGTAGCACTAGCAAGGTAACTGGTAACAAGTCTGCTGGTTATTGAGAATTTAACATTAAAATATGTCCCGGCCCTTTGGAGCATCCGCCGAATGATCAACCGAACGATTGCAACAAACAAAGGAACAAGCAAAATTTGTTAAATGGAGTGCATGATCAAAGAAGGTATATTAGCTCCCTACAAAAATCTAATCCAATGAGAAAATAAATCTTAAGTCCAATTGCAAATGACAAAAGTGTAGCAAGGTAACTGGTAACAAGTCTGCTGGTTATTGAGAATTTAACGTTAAAATTTGTCCCGGCCCTTTGAATCATCCGCCGAATGATCAACCGAATGATTGCAACAAACAAAGAAACAAGCAAAATTTGTTAAATTGAGTGCATGATCAAAGAAGGTATATTAGCTCCCTACAAAAATCTAATCCAATGAGAAAATTAATCTAAAGTCCAATTGCAAACGACAAAAGAGTAGCACTAACAAGGTAACTGGTAACAAGTCTGCTGGTTATTGAGAATTTAACATTAAAATATGTCCCGGCCCTTTGGAGCATCCGCCGAATGATCAACCGAATGATTGCAACAAACAAAGGAACAAGCAAAATTTGTTAAATGGAGTGCATGATCAAAGAAGGTATATTAGCTCCCTACAAAAATCTAATCCAATGAGAAAATAAATCTTAAGTCCAATTGCAAATGACAAAAGTGTAGCAAGGTAACTGGTAACAAGTCTGCTGGTTATTGAGAACTTAACGTTAAAATTTGTCCGGCCCTTTGAATCATCCGCCGAATGATCAACCGAATGATTGCAACAGACAAAGAAACAAGCAAAATTTGTTAAATTGAGTGCATGATCAAAGAAGGTATATTAGCTCCCTACAAAAATCTAATCCAATGAGAAAATTAATCTAAAGTCCAATTGCAAACGACAAAAGAGTAGCACTAGCAAGGTAACTGGTAACAAGTCTGCTGGTTATTGAGAATTTAACATTAAAATATGTCCCGGCCCTAAGGAGCATCCGCCGAATGATCAACCGAACGATTGCAACAAACAAAGGAACAAGCAAAATTTGTTAAATGGAGTGCATGATCAAAGAAGGTATATTAGCTCCCTACAAAAATCTAATCCAATGAGAAAATAAATCTTAAGTCCAATTGCAAATGACAAAAGTGTAGCAAGGTAACTGGTAACAAGTCTGCTGGTTATTGAGAATTTAACGTTAAAATTTGTCCCGGCCCTTTGAATCATCCGCCGAATGATCAACCGAATGATTGCAACAAACAAAGAAACAAGCAAAATTTGTTAAATTGAGTGCATGATCAAAGAAGGTATATTAGCTCCCTACAAAAATCTAATCCAATGAGAAAATTAATCTAAAGTCCAATTGCAAACGACAAAAGAGTAGCACTAGCAAGGTAACTGGTAACAAGTCTGCTGGTTATTGAGAATTTAACATTAAAATATGTCCCGGCCCTTTGGAGCATCCGCCGAATGATCAACCGAATGATTGCAACAAACAAAGGAACAAGCAAAATTTGTTAAATGGAGTGCATGATCAAAGAAGGTATATTAGCTCCCTACAAAAATCTAATCCAATGAGAAAATAAATCTTAAGTCCAATTGCAAATGACAAAAGTGTAGCAAGGTAACTGGTAACAAGTCTGCTGGTTATTGAGAATTTAACGTTAAAATTTGTCCGGCCCTTTGAATCATCCGCCGAATGATCAACCGAATGATTGCAACAGACAAAGAAACAAGCAAAATTTGTTAAATTGAGTGCATGATCAAAGAAGGTATATTAGCTCCCTACAAAAATCTAATCCAATGAGAAAATTAATCTAAAGTCCAATTGCAAACGACAAAAGAGTAGCACTAGCAAGGTAACTGGTAACAAGTCTGCTGGTTATTGAGAATTTAACGTTAAAATTTGTCCGGCCCTTTGAATCATCCGCCGAATGATCAACCGAATGATTGCAACAGACAAAGAAACAAGCAAAATTTGTTAAATTGAGTGCATGATCAAAGAAGGTATATTAGCTCCCTACAAAAATCTAATCCAATGAGAAAATTAATCTAAAGTCCAATTGCAAACGACAAAAGAGTAGCACTAGCAAGGTAACTGGTAACAAGTCTGCTGGTTATTGAGAATTTAACATTAAAATATGTCCCGGCCCTTTGGAGCATCCGCCGAATGATCAACCGAACGATTGCAACAAACAAAGGAACAAGCAAAATTTGTTAAATGGAGTGCATGATCAAAGAAGGTATATTAGCTCCCTACAAAAATCTAATCCAATGAGAAAATAAATCTTAAGTCCAATTGCAAATGACAAAAGTGTAGCAAGGTAACTGGTAACAAGTCTGCTGGTTATTGAGAATTTAACGTTAAAATTTGTCCCGGCCCTTTGAATCATCCGCCGAATGATCAACCGAATGATTGCAACAAACAAAGAAACAAGCAAAATTTGTTAAATTGAGTGCATGATCAAAGAAGGTATATTAGCTCCCTACAAAAATCTAATCCAATGAGAAAATAAATCTAAAGTCCAATTGCAAACGACAAAAGTGTAGCACTAGCAAGGTAACTACGTACGTTTTGGTACGTTTTGGTGAGTTTGGCAGGGCATGCTCAGGACAACTGCATCGACTGCGTCCTCCTCCAGCTCAGCATTGAGTTATCGTTTGTCGGAGTGTAGCCCGGAACCGGTGGTGTGTCTGGGTACTGTTCCATAAATCTGCCTAGACCAACTTTGAAACTGTCTAGCAATGTGATACTCCGGAGCTCCGATGGGAGCACGTTGAAGAGCTGAGCTGCTCTAACTCTAAAGCTGTTGTCGTAATCTGTTCTTACCGACAACTGTGCGTTTTTGTTCATGGCTGGGATCTCTGCCTTAATACCATGCCTTTGATGAGACTTGAACTCGAAGCCCGTATCGTTCGGAGCATGTTCATTAAGAATTTTCCATACATGAATAATAGAATAACGCTCTCTCCGCCTCTGAAGGGACATCAACTTAAGCTTCTTCAGCCTGTCCCAGTACTGTAGATCACGGCAGCCAGATATCTTTCTAGTAAAGGATCTCTGTACAGTCTCCAGCTTTTGTATCTCTGTGACTGGTAACAAGTCTGCTGGTTATTGAGAATTTAACATTAAAATATGTCCCGGCCCTTTGGAGCATCCGCCGAATGATCAACCGAATGATTGCAACAAACAAAGGAACAAGCAAAATTTGTTAAATGGAGTGCATGATCAAAGAAGGTATATTAGCTCCCTACAAAAATCTAATCCAATGAGAAAATAAATCTTAAGTCCAATTGCAAATGACAAAAGTGTAGCAAGGTAACTGGTAACAAGTCTGCTGGTTATTGAGAATTTAACATTAAAATATGTCCCGGCCCTTTGAATCATCCGCAGAATGATCAACCGAATGATTGCAACAGACAAAGAAACAAGCAAAATTTGTTAAATGGAGTGCATGATCAAAGAAGGTATATTAGCTCCCTACAAAAATCTAATCCAATGAGAAAATAAATCTTAAGTCCAATTGCAAATGACAAAAGTGTAGCAAGGTAACTGGTAACAAGTCTGCTGGTTATTGAGAATTTAACGTTAAAATTTGTCCCGGCCCTTTGAATCATCCGCCGAATGATCAACCGAATGATTGCAACAGACAAAGAAACAAGCAAAATTTGTTAAATGGAGTGAATGATCAAAGAAGGTATATTAGCTCCCTACAAAAATCTAATCCAATGAGAAAATAAATCTAAAGTCCAATTGCAAATGACAAAAGTGTAGTAAGGTAACTGGTAACAAGTCTGCTGGTTATTGAGAATTAAACATTAAAATATGTCCCGGCCCTTTGAATCATCCGCCGAATGATCAACCGAATGATTGCAACAGACAAAGAAACAAGCAAAATTTGTTAAATGGAGTGCATGATCAAAGAAGGTATATTAGCTCCCTACAAAAATCTAATCCAATGAGAAAATTAAATTTCAATACTTTAAATTTTAATACTTTCAACACTACTATATAACAAATAATTTGAGGTATGACAATGGAAAGTCCGCTACGATGATAACAAACAGCGGTGAAGACAAGACAGCAGAAACAGAGAGTGTACAGCTACCAGACACCTGTGATCCGGAGACATCTCAACACCTGTCTTCTGAAGGTATTGCTTATGTTACACCTGTTGTTTCTCTGTTATGTGGAATCTGTCCCAAAGATCTTATATCAGAACCTTGTAGCATTCAATGTGATTCCTGTAAGACATTTTTCCATCCTAAATGTCTTGGCAAGTCTGCACCAGTGGACAGTGAACGGTGGGTTTGTCAGAAATGTAGGGATAATGTAGAGAACCAGCAGATCATTGATGCTCCTGATGAGGAAAATGATATCTGTTATAACTGTCCCGTGTGTAGGAGTGTTGTGGGGGATTCGGATAAGGCATTGGGTTGTGATGGCTGTGAAGAATGGTTCCATGCACCTTGTTTGTTTATCAGTGAAACCGAGTACGCTGAGATGGATAATGAAGAGATATGGTTTTGTGATACTTGTCAAGCAGTGAAAGCAAACAAAATTAATTGGGGCTCAATGGTTGGTGAAGAGTTGATAGCTGAGAAAGTCCAAGCTGTTTATCAAGAGATGGTGACATGGAGAAAGAATCTTTTCCTAGTTCCCAGAGGTAAATCAGGTAGCGACTTTATAAAAGAACTGACTCGGCTCATCCTCTTATTTGCAGATGCTACCAAGTGGGAAAGGCTATCGTTCGCACTGGTTCATATCTTCTTGCCAATCATGTTGCAAAAACCGTCAAGCAAGTCAAAAGCAAGAGACCATGTAACATATCTAACCAAGCGTTTGGTTAAATGGAAAAATGGAGAACTTGACGATCTAATGATGGAGTGCAGGAGTATTCAGAAAGCCTTGGTGCAGCAACAAAAAATCAGCGAGGAATCCAGGAAGAAGAGTTTCTGCCGACTAATGCTTCTTGGGAAAGTTAAACAAGCCACCAAATATGTTGACAGTTCCAATGACACCTTAGGAGTTCACAGCCTAACAGCAAACATTAAACAGGTCCTTGGGGAGAAACACCCTCCAGCTGTTAAAGCAGATCCAGTTGTTCTGCACCCTCACAGTACTCCTCCACCTCAGGAAGTGATATTTGAGAGGATTGACGCAGAGACTGTCAAGAGGGCTTGTTTATATTTGGATGGATCAGGCGGCCCAACACTAACGGACTCAGATTTGTGGAAGCATATCATCTGCAGCAAATCATTTGGCAAAGCATCGGTGACACTTGCTGAGTCTATAGCAATTGTTGCAAGGCGCCTTTGTAGAGAAGATATCCATCATAGCTGTCTGAAAGAGTTCACTGCATGCAGATTAATCCCTCTTGATAAAGGCCAGGATAAGAACGGGAAACCTGGTGTAAGACCAATTGGAATCGGCGAGATATTGCGCAGAATCATTGGAAAAGCAGTTATAATGTCTTTCAAAACTGATATACAATATGCTGCTGGCCCACTGCAGACCTGTGCAGGGCTCAAATCAGGAATAGAGGCTTCCATTCATGCAATGAGACAGATCTGGGAAGACAGTGACACTGAAGCAATACTACAGGTTGACGCTGATAATGCGTTCAATCGTCTTAATAGAGAAGCAGCCCTTCACAATGTTCATGAGATCTGTCCTCCGCTCTATCAGTATCTAAAGAACCACTACCAAAAGCCAGCAGACCTGATCATTAATACTACCGAGGACCACTACCAACTTAAGTCTGAGGAAGGTTCAACTCAGGGAGATGTAGCAGCAATGGCATTCTATGCGTTAGGGATCAAGCCTCTAGTAGATGACCTAGCCACAGCCTCCAAGCCCAGTGTTTGCAAACAGTCTTGGTATGCTGACGACAGTAGTGCTGGTGGAAAGATTAAAGGTATTAAGATATGGTGGGATACGCTGTTGGAGCAAGGACCAAAGTATGGATATTACCCAAAAGCCAGTAAGACCGTCCTGATTGTGAAGAATAGCGAGGACCTAGATCTTGCGCAGAAAGTATTCTCAGGCACTGGTATTAAAATCGAGTCTGAAGGAGAACGCCATTTGGGTGCAGCAATTGGCAGCGAAGCTTTTAAGAACAAATATGTCTCAGATAAAGTCCATAAATGGTGTCAGGACATCAAGCTGTTGTCATCAATTGCTATTGAGGAGCCCCAAGCTGCTTTGACTGCATATACTAAGGGAATTTGTCACCGGTGGACGTTCATTCAGAGGACCATCCCGGGTATAAGTCACTTGTTTCAACCATTGGAGGATTGCATCAGAACAGATTTTATTCCAGCAATCTTGGGTAAGAACGTATCAGACTTGGACCGCTCCATATTTGCATTGCCAGTCAGACATGGTGGCCTAGGTATCTCCAACCCAGTTGAAAACTGCAATAGAGAATTCACAGCCTCAGTCACCATCACAAAAGACCTCACAGACCTGATTATCAACCAGCAAAACACCCTTGAACATTACAACATGTCAATTCAAAATGACACTATAAAAAGTCTCAAGGCAATCAAGGAGAAACACTTATTTACGGTTAGCAAATCAATAGAGGACAGTGTAAGAGATCCCAACCTAAAGCGATCTCTCCAGTTCATCAAAGAGAAAGGTTCAGGATGTTGGCTTACTGCACTTCCATTGAAGAGATTTGGCTACTCCCTGAACAAGATTGAGTTCCGTGATGCTCTGTACTTGCGTTATGGTTGGGAGATCCCTAACACCCCATTTCACTGTGCTTGTGGAGAGAGAAATAATGTGAATCACACACTTATATGCAAGAAAGGTGGCTATGTTTCTATGAGACACAACAACATCCGCGATCTAAATGCAGAGCTGCAGCGTGAAGTATGCAGAGATGTAGTGACTGAGCCAGCATTGATACCCCTTGATAATGAAGAAATTGTTGGTACCAATGCTGATAGAGCTGCACCTGATGTATCCTCACGAGGTCTCTGGAGCACATTTGAACGAACATTCTTTGATGTCTGTGTTACCCACCCCAACTCACCCACATATGACAAAAAAGATATGGAACAGATCTATAAAGCTCATGAAATGAGGAAAATGAAAAAGTACAACAACAGAATCATCCAGGTGGAAAAAGGCACCTTTACTCCACTTATATACTCAACAAATGGCGGATGGGGTCAACAAGCCACAAGATACCACAAGAGACTCGCTGAAAAACTATCCCAGAAGAGAGGAGAAGACTATGCGGCTATTATGTGTTACATGCGCACCAGGATTAGATTCTCAATCCTCAGGAGCACCCTGATAGCGGTCAGGGGTGAGAGAGGGAGACGGCAATCGTATACATTGCCAGTCAGTGTAACTTCGTTTAACTTGATACCTGCCACCATGGACTATGAATGTTTCTAGACACTATCCTTTTGATATTGAGATATTGGTATTTCAGATCACGTGTACATCGTTCCTTTTAATTTATTGACACTCACAGCTATAATTTTAATCATTGAATCAGTATTTTTATCTGTGCTCTGCGTAATGCATCACATGAATCAGTTTTTAATCTATTAACTTATTACACATTTGTGCTCTGCTTTAGCATCACTTGACTATTTAAAAAAATTGTTTGTTCAGGCCATGACCTTATAGTCAGCCAATTGGCCATTGCTATATTATGTGTATATTGTCATGAGAAAATTAATCTAAAGTCCAATTGCAAACGACAAAAGAGTAGCACTAGCAAGGTAACTGGTAACAAGTCTGCTGGTTATTGAGAATTTAACATTAAAATATGTCCCGGCCCTTTGGAGCATCCGCCGAATGATCAACCGAATGATTGCAACAAACAAAGGAACAAGCAAAATTTCAAATTTGTTAAATGGAGTGCGTGAACAAAGAAAGTATATTAGCTCTCTACAAAAATCAAATCCAATGAGAAAATATTGTTTTCCGCTATTACAATCACAATCCACGGACATGACTAAAAATGACTGACACGTCCCGCGCGGCATCAGAAATATGGGAGGAAATCTGGCACCACGATTTGTGGTGCCAGTTGTGGCCATGGATAGAGCCCTCTTTGCCGCCTCCGGCTTGATACATGTTTCGTATCCCAATATCAGAGATAACATTTAACTGTTTTGGTGGCGCGCGCGCACCATCTCAGTCAATTACTCCCATATTTGGTCAAATTGGATAATAGGGACGCAAAATATGCGTCCCTCCAAAAAGTCCGATTCCCTTCATGGTATGCCCCTTTTTCCGCCTTCGGCGGCGCGCGCTTCGCGCGCGAAAAGTGGCATGCAACGTATGTCAACCTCCGGCGGTCGCGCGCTACTGCAAGCGAGAGGGCTCTGGTTAGAGCAAGCTACTGGGCTTTGCCGAGCTACAAAGAATTGACATCGTCAATCAAGCTTTTTCATTTTAGCTTAGCAACAATATCGATTAAATAAATTAGCTGGGCTAAGTTTGTAGCGCGATGCACTACTAACTGGGCCGCACATCAGATAATTCTTCTCGCAAGATAGATCTCGGTAGATCGGCGAGGTGCACCATAATTGGGCCTCGCCGAGCTACGAAGGATTGACAGATCGTGAATCAAGGCTAAACCGTTAACGGGTGATTCACATAGCCATGTGTTATGTGTATACGCTTACTGCGCTTGTTTCACGCGCGCTACTGCAAGCGAGAGGGCTTTGGTGAGAGCAAACGGGTGGTACTCGTAAAATATTTGTTCCAAATATTAGGGACCGTCGACGGGTCCAACTGTACTCGGCGCGCGTCCTGGTATGTTATAAACTTACAACTAAACCGCTAAGAGTAAAAATATAATCGCTCGCGCTTATAGGAATGATTGATCATGCAATTAACGGTTGTGACATATATTCAATCAAATAAAGCTTACTGGGGTCTGGGCCGTACTCAGCCTGTCATTCCGCCGAATCTCTATTACTCTAGTAGCAGGGCATAGTTGAGTGTGCACTTCGATGTACACGATTTCTGACAACACAGGGTTGTTTGTTAGGTCATTCTAAACCAGAATCGTTTAGGTGGACAATTTCTTTCGCTAGAGACAACCCTACAGGGCAAATTTTCTAAATTACCCTCAGTCGCGTATACGGGATTTTTGTATTTCGGCTCCTGAAGGTCATGGAGACTTTATTTTTGGCGTAAAATTACCGCAGTGGCCACATTTATATACAACTTATTAATCAATGTATGGTCTAAAATTGTTTGTTCCCGAGATATCTGCAAAAAACTAATTTAAGCTCAGGCGTAGGCACAAATTTCATCAAATTCGTATCTCAGCTTCTGAAGGTCTTAGCGACTCAAACTTTGGCTTAAAATGACCGCAATGCACATGTTTATATTGACACTATAAAGGTCATAAAGGTCCAAAATGCTTGCTTTTGGAAAAAAACCAGAAAAACTGATTTTCACTGAGGCGAGTGAAAAAAATCTACTCTAGAAGCTAATTGAAATCGAGTATGCAGTTTGGTGTCTACAACTTTTCTAAAAACCAGGTCCTCTGTAAGGTCATTCTGGATCAGAATTGATAAGGTACGCAATTTCTATCAGTAGTTCCAACCCTAGGGGGGAAATTTCTAAATTACCCTCAGGCGCAAATATATGACTTTTGTATCTCGGCTTCAGAACGTTGTAGGGGCCTCTCTTTTAGCTCAAACTAACTGCAAAAGCCACATTTACATACTAGCAACAAAGCTACATAGGGTTTATAGTGCTTAGCTTTGGAGATATTCATTAAAAACTGTTTTAACTTTCGTGCATCCTAAAATAGTAACATCAAACATGTAATTAATTTTGGTATCCTGGGCTAAAACAGTCTTACAGACACTTTACTTGCAGCACAGCAAAATTTTCAGCATGAACACATTCAGATAAAATTTATGGAGCAACACAATTCAGTTTCAGAAGCTCCTTCCAGCTATCTTATCTTATCCCCAAATGTATACATCTAACCGTCTCTCTGGCTACTTCAAACTATTTCAATACCCAAATTTATACATCTGACCATCTCCCTGGTTGCTTTTAAGGCTCGACCGGGACCGCTTGTTTGGCCGGGACTGGGACTGGGAAAAAGTGCCAGGACCGGGATTAAGACTGGGACCGGGATTAGGGATCGGGATTAAGCCGGGATCCCGGTCTTAACATAAGTTGGGCTCTCTCCAGTACTGTTTGGCTATTATGGCTTATCAACTCCAATCCAACCTCATGCAGTAGAATCTACTTCTAGTTTCCTTCAATCCTGCTACCTCCACTCTAGCTCCTTCTAGCAATCTCTGAATACTATTTCCTGCTCTATCTAGCTTCCACCAACACCCAATAATTGTTGTTTAAATGTTACCACTAGCACCTGCAAATTCTAGCCCTATCCAGCAACCTAAGATTTACTCCTACTCTGTTCAGCTATCGCCAGCACCTGCAAATTCTAGCCCTATTAAGCAACCTCAGACTACTTTCTGCTCTATCCAGCTAACACTAGCAAACGGTACCCACAAATTTTAGCTTCTTCTAGCTACTTCGGGCTACATCCATCCATATTCAGTTGGTTGAGCACTCTCAAATTCTATCTGTTTTTACCTAATTCATGCTACCTCTGCAGGCTCCAGCTAGAATTTGAGGGTGCTTGTGCTTTCTGTATTATATAGCATAATGTAGTCTGAGTTTGCAGGATAGGACTAGAATTTGCAGGTGCTGGTGGTAGCTGAACAATAATTAGTGGGTGTTGGTGGAAGCTAGATAGAGCAGGAAGTAGCATTCAGAGGTTGCTAGAAATAGCAGGTTTCCTCTTCCTCAATGAGCTGGGAATTGTTGAATGCAGCTGAGGCAGCCGGAAAGAGCCAGAATAAATTGTTGCTGGCGGTACTATAAAAGGCAAGAGGTAGCTTAAGTTAAGTTTGCTAGAAAGAGCAGAGGTTGGAGGGGCCAGGGGGCCTTGCATTAGTAGCTAAATAAATGTAGCCGAAGTAGGTCAAAAGAGCTGGAATTAGTGGTTTCTGCCCACTGGTGGTACCTGTATAGATCAGGAGGTAGCATTCAGAGGTTGCTAGAAAGAGCTAAAATTATAACGTGCTGGTGGTAGCTAGGTAGATATAGGCATGGCATGGAGGTAGCAGAATTAAAGGTAGCTAGAAGTAGATTCTACTTCATGAGGTGGGATTCAAGTTGATTAGCCATAATAGTCAAACAGTACTGGAGAGAGCCCAACTTGTGGTAGCTATAACGAGATAGTTAGATGTTCATGTATAAATTTGGGTATTGAAATAGTTTGAAGTAGCCAGAGAGACGGTTAGATGTATACATTTGGGAATAAGATAAGATAGCTGGAAGGAGCTTCTGAAACTGAATTGTGTTGCTCCATAAATTTTATCTGAATGTGTTCATGCTGAAAATTTTGCTGTGCTGCAAGTAAAGTGTCTGTAAGACTGTTTTAGCCCAGGATACCAAAATTAATTACATGTTTGATGTTACTATTTTAGGATGCACGAAAGTTAAAACAGTTTTTAATGAATATCTCCAAAGCTAAGCACTATAAACCCTATGTTGCTTTGTTGCTAGTATGTAAATGTGGCTTTTGCAGTTAGTTTGAGCTAAAAAAGAGGCCCCTACAACGTTCTGAAGCCGAGATACAAAAGTCATATATTTGCGCCTGAGGGTAATTTAGAAATTTTCCCCCTAGGGTTGGAACTACTGATAGAAATTGCGTACCTTATCAATTCTGATCCAGAATGACCTTACAAAGGACCTGGTTTTTAGAAAAGTTGTAGACACCAAACTGCATACTCGATTTCAATTAGCTTCTAGAGTAGATTTTTTTCACTCGCCTCAGTGAAAATCAGTTTTTCTGGGTTTTTTCCAAAAGCAAGCATTTTGGACCTTTATGACCTTTATAGTGTCAATATAAACATGTGCATTGTGGTCATTTTAAGCCAAAGTTTGAGTCGCTAAGACCTTCAGAAGCTGAGATACGAATTTGATGAAATTTGTGCCTACGCCTGAGCTTAAATTAGTTTTTTGCAGATATCTCGGGAACAAACAATTTTAGACCATACATTGATTAATAAGTTGTATATAAATGTGGCCACTGCGGTAATTTTACGCCAAAAATAAAGTCTCCATGACCTTCAGGAGCCGAAATACAAAAATCCCGTATACGCGACTGAGGGTAATTTAGAAAATTTGCCCTGTAGGGTTGTCTCTAGCGAAAGAAATTGTCCACCTAAACGATTCTGGTTTAGAATGACCTAACAAACAACCCTGTGTTGTCAGAAATCGTGTACATCGAAGTGCACACTCAACTATGCTCTGCTACTAGAGTATATTCTATTATGTTTATGAACATGATAGCCTGAGGTCCCCAAGTAAAATAAAGCTTGCCTAGCTTTGAGCTTATTAATTTGTTGCTTGCTTTTCTGATTTCTCAATTAGTGCAAAAAGAGATGATCATGATGATTAATTATTTTACACTTACTTACTGGGCGGCGCTTTATACCTGGGGACCGCTTTATTATACCTGCAACCTGGGGACCCCAGGCTATTATATTTATGTTTATAATAGAATAAAGATTTGGCGGCCGAATGACAGGCTTAGCGCCGCCCATACCAGTAAGTAATAGACTATCAAGCTAGGTAAATGCAATGTCTGCAGTTGGAAAATCTGCTACTTTTTTGTTATAAGTTCAAATTCCAATCTTTGAACTTGAAAATAAAAAATGAAGAAACTTTAAATTTCAAGTAAAAATTTGGTAAACAAATTAGGAGAATCAAGATCAAGAAATGATAAAATGATTCTCCTTTAAATAGTTTATTAATATTACACTGTTCAGTTGTGAGTTTTAAATAACATTGAACATATTTTAATTTGTTTTCGTTACTATAAATAATAGTGCAAGTAGACAGTAGTAGAATTGCTATGGGCTAGTACAAAGTGTGTGCATGTTTTTTTAACTAAAGCTGCTACAGTCTTTCGGAGGTATTGATTTACATCCTCTAAAGAGGTGAAATTGTCGGCTCTTACGATAAATTCGCTCACCCAAAAATTTCACGTGACTTTGGTTTTTATGGTTTTGCAGCCGTACAGAACGGTTTTACATAAACCCTAATCCCAACCCTAACCCTAACCATAACCCCGAAGTTATCCATAACCCTTATCTCAACCGTAACCCTAATACGAGCCCTAAACAATCGAATTCATGTTTTACTAGCCTGTCACGTGACCAAAACGGTTTTTTGCCCATAACTCTCCAGGGAAGCATTTTTACCCTACGTCATGGGGGTGATTCGGAATCAGCGTCCAAAAATACACCGATTTGGATCAATTTCATACCCCAAAGGACCTTTTCAAAAGAATTTTCTTAAAATTTGGGTGAGCGATTTAGTAGGAGCGGAAATTGTCATTTATGATTTATGATTACTCTTTCAAGTCCTAAAATTTGTCGAATAGTTTATTGAGAACAAAGAAGATTGGTAGCCAAGAGAAGATTAGAAAGCTGACGTTTTTACAGTTGATCACAAGGACTATGGTTGTTATGGCTACAGAAGACGTTGCATACGCTCATCATGTGACCCGACACCTTCAAGGGATAAGTGTAGAGTTCTGTTTCCTGGGGTACCTGACAAAACATTAACTTCGTCAAATTGAATATCTAAGGAATATGAGTGCATCAGAAATTGAGGATTTCTCCAAAAACTTTTTTAGGAAAGTTGTCGATTTAGATAAAGTGCTCACCGGTAAATGTGTAAGTTCCCCGTGAGGGTTTGCAGGATTTGGCTGTGAAAGTCAGATTGAGGAGCACACTGTCTGCTCTGGTAAACTCTCCGGAGGAAGGGCTGATCACAAAGTCTCCTTCAGCTGAACAAAACAGTAAGTCAGCTGGGAATGCGGAGAACAAAGAAAAAGGGGAAATATTAACCGAATTTGTCGAGTTTATTTTCTGGAGTGAAAAAACGAAACAATAAGAAAATCAAACTTACCGGTATCACCAGAGTACACTGATGTCCACCTCAGAGGAGAATTACTGGGATTAATCAATCTGACAGTCAGGTGGGAGGTCTGTCCAACAAGACATGTCCCAAACTGTACAGTTCCTGGGGAGATGTAGAAAGTGGGCAGCACGATCCTGCAGTGAACTGGGATATTCTGCTGGTGTCCGTTGTTGTAGTTGAGGAGGAGGTGTGAGTGGAGGTGGTAACGTTTCTCTGGTACCTGGTCACGTGGTCACACAGATTAAGTCAGGTGATCACACAGATTAGGTCACGTGATCACACAGATTAGGTCACGTGATCACACAGATTAGAATAAGTTCTGTGTTTCTGGTTTCATAGAGACAAGGCGAACAGCTGTACAGATAATAAACAATTTAATTTGTTGTTACTCCATCAATTCGTAATTTTGCAATTTAACTAATATTAACCAAAATCCCGGGATCTCATTTAATTGCACAAACCTGTTGAACGATAGTCTCAACAGATCCATCGGAAAGATTAACCTCGTGCGTTTTGTGAAGTAATTGTTCCTCGACATTTACCTCAACCCTTCCTTCCTCTGACTCTACAAAACCACCTGCAATCGAATTATTCTGGTAATAACATACCAAAAACCAAAATACAACTGATATTTCCTTAGTAACTGTTTCCACCAGCACTATGTTCCAACTTTCAACTCACGAAATCTTTTCAACACTAAGTTATAAATCAATTTTTAGATAAATACAGTTTTCAACCGATCTCAAACAATGTCAAAAGCGCAACTTACATTATATCTTAATAGCTATACGTACCCTCTGATTTATTGAACTCCAAACGGAACGATTGTTTAGAAGAGCCAAGAAGGGACGAGAGAAGTTTTTCAGAGAGCACAAGACCGTGATCAAGTTTTATCTTCTGTCTGGGTGTCAGAGTGTACTCTACTTTATCATCCAGCAGGGTGAACGGCAGGGATGCTGAAATCTTAAACAGGAGGTGCAACTTACTGCCGTTTAAGAGTGACATCTTGTGAATCTTGGTGTGCTCCCTAACCCTGGAGTTGATGATTCCAGCCATGAGCTTGAACGTGAATCCATGCTCCTCAGCTGTTACCACCACTTCTGGTACCTCGACTTTGCCTGTCATCATGATCTTCAGAGGAGGAACCTGCTCGCCTTGTGATCTGGTGCAGAGACCTGAGTTTTTGTTCCCCTTTAGACTCTGATAAGCCAAAGCGAATGAGTGATAATTTCCGTCACATTTCCCAATTCCGTATTTAGGGTCAAATAGCAGTGTAACCTTGGAGCTGCCCCTAGCAGGGATAACACATTGGTCCGGAGAGAAACTGAAGGGGCCGGTAGAGCGTTCCCCTTCGTGGGGCACCACTTTCAAACGTATCAAATCACCGTCCTCTTCCACTTCTTCTTTATCTCCGGACTTGTCTGGGAAAGCATCTCCGATATGGAAGTTCAAATCTATTAGTGTATCATCCTCTGGGACAATATTAAAGGTTTCCCAATCAAGTCTGATATTTACCGGACCTTGGTTGCTAATATGGACCGTGCGAGACACTGGCTGCTCGTTGAGCGGGTAGCTTCCAAATCTGACCGTAGGTTTATTGTTGTTGGAGAGCTTGTAGTACAGGGGTGAGTTAATCGCGTTTAGCTTGATCGGTATCTCGACAGCTTCCATATCTCCGACTTGAGATACTAAAACGTCACTGTACTGACCCCACATATCACAGTTAGCGTGTATTGTTACTATGGTAACTCCATTACCAGGAAGGTATCCAGAAGCAGGGCTGGCAATGAAACACGCTCCTTTGTTGTCTTTCAGTTGTCCTTTCCAGTATTCCTGATCGTTTTGCTTCCTGCTCTTAGACTTGGGATCCAGTAGAGCATTGCTCCTGGTCAGTAGGTTTGAAGCGGACCTGAACGTTCGTTCAGACAAGTTTGTCATGCCTCTAGCAGAGAGGGGTGGTGGCACAGATCCTGCCCCATCGAAATGAATCACTCGGAGATTGAAGCTGGTTGAAATGTGGGACTTGTTGATTATCTTCAGGACTCTGGATGTTGGTGTCAGTATTTCGGTAGTGCCGAAGTCCAAGATGGGTGCTTCAAGCTGCTCAGCTCCTGTTTCTGGTGCTATCTGGTCAACATCAGGGGTCTCGTGTACGATGTGCAGACCCCGAACTTCTGCCTTGATTCCTAGAGCTAGAACTTTCCCGCCGTCCATGTTGAATACCACAGTAAAGTCTTCAATTTTAGCTGCTTCTCGGCCCGTGAATTTGAAGGGGATAGTGTGGGTGCCCCCTGCGTATATCGAGCTACTCATCTTATCGAATTCGATGTGCCCAAACTGTTTATCTCTTCCTTCAGCCTGAAAATGTTTAAAATTAATCTATATTTCGAAATTTTATATGCATAATAATAAAGTCAAACAAGAGCTGAATCAGTCAGAAAGGTTTGGGATGATAAACAGTATCACAAAACTTACACTTGCTACAGTAAAGGACGAATCTGCAAAGTTCAAGCTCTCAAAAACAATTTGGCTCTTGACTGGCACACCCATATAAATCACACCAAGGTCGATAGAAGATTGTTTTAGTACCACATTTGGCTCTTGAATTTCTCCTACCACCCTCAGTTTGCTGAAAAAATAGTTGGCCAATAAGTACATTAAAACAATCCGCAAAGTATGACAAAACTAATCTCAATTTATCAAAAATATCCGTCTTCAGGAGACGATGGAAGCCAATAGAATACCGAACTAAAACTCACTTTCCGGTCCCGTTTTCTACGGTACATTCAATGAAAGACTTAAGGGATCTTGGTAGATGAGGTCGGAAGATAACATGAAGAGCTCTAACTTCGTAGGGTCCAATCTCACCCCCGGTCTCTGAAAACTGGAACTCGGACTGACCCTGAAAAATACACAGATATTCAATCGGAACAACAAACTTGAACATAACTATGAATAGTAGGAATCATTTCAATTCCATTCATTAAATATAAAACCTGAAAATTCTTAAACTATGACAATAGATCAGAATCAGTTAAAAGTCTTACATAATCTTTGTCGACGCAATGATCAACTTCAGCCAAACTCCATTTCGCATGAACTCCGTCATGATTGATTATCTCAAACTGTCGCTGTACTGAACAGTTCTCTCTGAAGTGAATGAAGCCGAAGTCTATAGCCGGATCCTCTCTATCTCCGGAAATCGTCACCCGTGGTCCACGGAATTTGGCCTGGGATGAAAAGGAGTTTTATAACTTCGTGGGCCGTGGCTTCAGTTATCTTTGCTTATTAGTTTACATGGCTGGTAACTGCCGTATTTATTTCGGCTTGTAAGTTGTAGGCTGTAGCGGTTATATTAAAAATTGTGAGAAATTTAAATTTAGTTACAAAGTTTGGTGCGCGCTTGTTACCATGGAGATAAGACCGCGCGCGTCCAATATTGCGCGAAAATAGGGGTACTTTGATACCTAAAATATACAAAAACTAGCAATAGAAAACATGTGGTATGGAAAGGTCGTAAACAAGATTTGATAATACCTTGAGGAAGAGTTTCAGAGGCTTGTCAACATTTTCCAATGAACAAGTAAGATGTATCTCCTTATCACCCGCTGATAGGCTCTCAACATCAATCTGTACGGTTCGACTTGATCCCGCTCCTGAAAGAATAGTAATCATCAGTTACATTATACGCTTAATTAGGACTAAGGGAACGGTAACAAGCAAATAGTTCTTATAATCAACTGAATTGGCTAATAAATCAACATACCGACAGTAAGAGATTCAGGGTGAACACACACTTTGAGATCTCCTTCCGGCCATGACCATCTCACATTCGTATCACTCAAACTCTCATTAACAATCTTGACAGTTTTGGACACCATGTTACCCACAACATTTTCACCAGGAATTACCAGAGCTGGAGGATCTAGTTTTATCTGGTGTGGCTGAGTCAGGTGAGTCAGGGTGATGTGCAAGGCGTCAAATCGTTCTAGAACGATGCCAGATGGCAACATTGCTGGTATGTCGTCAACCCAGAGGCGTGCCATGTTTTCGTATTTTCCTGCCTAAAAAAAGTGAGAGTTGTCCGAACAATGTATATATTCGAACAGTTAATCAAAAAATGCTTGATATATCAATCCTAACTATATGTGTTGACACATTTATAATAATTAGTGTTAAGTGGTGCACGAACATTTTGAGGATTGCATGTGATGGAGAAGGTAGCTTCAGCGGCTGGATCAAGTATTCCAATGGCAGGAGATATTTGGAAAGGAGCTTGAGGATCAGCACTCAGCAGGACAGATTCACCTTTCTCTTCCTCCGTCAATATTTTACAGACCTCCCAGTTGAAATGAAGAGGAACGTTCCTGAAAAAATACTAATAATTTAGATAGGAATGATACGACTTATCAAGCTAAATAGTCCAATGAAATTCATTAAAGAGTTAACTTGAACATGAATAAACAGAAAATGGTTCCATCCATGTTTATTACTTACACGCAATTTCTTAGAATAAATATTTTCTCCTCTGTGGTGCCAGGATTTTGATCCTCAAAGTTGATGGTGACAGGCTCGACAGATTCCTCATTTCTAATGTCATAATCCACTGTACTTTCACCTGTTAATGTCAATTTTGTATCACCTTGTTTCTCAGACCTGGGTCCAAAACTCAAACAATTTACTTGAACAGTCCAGTTTCTTGTCAGTAACTAAATAAAGAAACAATATCTAACCTCCGCTGACAGCAATGGTTTGAACTCTACAAGATTGAGACTCGGCAGTAAGCGAGTAGTCATGTTGTGTACAATTGTCCACTGTCAGAGTGAACTTTGTTGTACTGCGTGCAACCTAAATCCAAGGTTTTTTACTATCTTATATTTTCCTCTTTAAATAAACAAATTTCTCATAATTGACTCTTTCATATTCAAATTTATTATTTTCATGAATTCATTTTTCTTTCTAATATTAATGTATCTGATATTTTTCACCCACAATTTCTGAAATCATCTTACTACACACCTCACCCGGCCGAAACTCTACATCAATAACAACTTCATCTCCAGTATCCAGAGCAAAGGAAGTGGGTGTCACTGTAAAACCGTTACTTTCAAAAGTGAACTTGGGTGGAAGTAGGTCATTGAACAGGAACGGATCCGAAATAGTGCCTGAGAGAGATGAATTTAAGTATTTGAACATTAGCTGTGTATTCACTCATATCATAAACTACTTACATACACTGTGTTGAGACAAATTATATAATTGTTTTTTACTAATTGGCTGTTGCCAAGGCAGCATATTCCTTAGTACATACATAGACTATTGCAGTGAAGTTAGATAGAACGGAAGTCGGACTAACACAAATCACGTGACAATAACAAATATTTCGCACCGTGAGGGTAGAGTTGGAAGATTCCGTGTCCTCCGGAGTTTTTACATCTAAACTGTGTCTTTAAAGTGCCGTTAACAAGACAATAACCACAATCCAGTATGTCAGGTACTGTGAGGTTTTGATTATCACAAAAAAAGTATATTTTTTCGCTCTCGTGAGTGGGTATATCGTAATTGATTATTGGGGACGAAACGAGAGTCTCCACTCATTTCGTCCCCAACAACCAATGTCACAAAAAATGAAGTAAACAAACTGACAGTCTAAACTGACAGTATAATACAGCTAGTATATTATGATAATAAACAACAGAACTAAGCGGAAGATAACAGATAACCACATGATACTCACGTGACAGTTTGGGTGGGGGCCGCTCTCCAACTAGCGGTACATTAGTCAGAGCACCACCCTGTGGTATGATCTGTAACTCGTCTAGGTGGAGTCCCAGACTCCCGGGCAGGAATGTGACCGTGTACTCTACTGAGAGTCCCGGAGCTATAGCACCTTGTGAAGGGTCAGCACCTGAAGTTTACTGGTAGTTTACTGGACTGAGTAGTGACTAGTGAGTCATAGAAATATAATAGTGTAGGTTTAGAAATAGAAAAGTGTAGTTTTTAGTCGATACCTGTGTCACCTCATACATGAAATGATTTCCGATCGAATGCAGTTTAAAATTTTAAGAGCAAAGTTCAACTTAACTTACTTTTGCTTAATATAACTTACTTTTGCTAATAGTAAAATACTTCGTTCTGGGTGGCAACACTTTTAGTTGTCTACTAGAATTACTGACATTCTTTATCTTCAGTTTCTGTTCATAATTCTGCGAAAAAATATTTCATTTAAACTAAATTTCATATTTTTGCCCAATAACAGCCGTAAAAGACAAATCAGTCCCAGGCTTCTCAAAATGGAAGTACTAAAAGTGTAATTACTCATAACTGATAAGCTGATAATATTACCTCGCCAATCTTGTAGTTTTCGAAATGTATCTTAGATGGTACGGTGCAGAAGATTTGTTCTTCCGTCTCATCTTTTCCGAATCTTTTCGTCTTCAAGAAATGACTCTTTGCTTGCAGTTTCTCAAGTCCCTGGAAGTAATTAGTTACCGTAACTGGTCTCACACTAGTGACAAGACAATACATACTATGTAGTAATATTACGAATCAGCAGAACAGGAGCTCATTTTTTGCAAATATTTAAAATTATTGTTTACCTTTTGTTCCTCGATTCGAACATCAGGATGCATACTATCTCTCCAGGCATTCCTTGTTGGAGCCTGTACTTTAATATAACCTGCAGAACCTGTTTATAAGACGTTAGAATTCCAAAATATTTGGCATTCCGGAACAAAGAGTACACCAAAACAGAAAGCATTCCCAACATGACAGTAGGTATTCCAAAAATTGAACAAAAACAATAAAAAGTCAGAAGAGTCATTCTTCCAGAACAAGTTCTCGAAACTGTTAGAATTACACTTGTTTGCAAACAAGAGCAGAATAGAATTTTAGAACATTTCACAGTCAACACTTCATTACACAATTTACAAATAACATACCAAAACACTAATTTGATGGAACTTTACTAGCCTGCAGACAAAGTTGAACGTTTAATTTTAGCTGGAGCTAAAAGAGCCGTGTCTCTGTTTATGGGTATCATACGTGCTCTCTCGTGTTCCTCCATTACCTGGGTACGGGTTATATTGGATCTGCATTGGAAATGCAAGTGTAAAATTAATGGGATTCTAAGCGTTACTATCAGGAGATCAAACAAGGATAAGAAGGCTCTTTATAAAACATATTCAACTGAAAATGTATAGTCTACTAGAGCTCTTATACATAACTTCAAGTTTCGGTAATGGCTAACGATAGCTCCGGCTAATCGAACATTATCTTATTATCTATGCGACCGATATCATATGTACATGGCCTGGCTCAATACTCAATAATCAATACATCATGTCTCGCGAACCATATTACTATGTCATGGGTGTAGTGCCGCAGTGACAATCACAATATCAAATCAGTGTTAGTAAATTCAGGCAGGAAACTTAGATATTGTAACATTAAAAACCACTTTAAACTCTTTACCCTGTGTGACACACTGACCTCGGTATTTTTCATGAAGTTGGGAAGTTCAGGAACAGAGGGAGGGTTAAGAGAGGGTGGGGAGGGTCGGAGGTAGGATCCCGGAGTCAGAAGGTTGTACTTTGCTAACATTTCCTCGTCAAGATAACTGGAGATACCCACGTGACCTGGGGAGACTTGGAGGTTGTTTTTACTAATCACCAACTTTTAAGATTGTTAATTATGGATAATTTTAACAAATCTGATCATGTAGCAATGGTGGTGGCCAATAACTGCACCGTGGTTATTGAAAAGAAGAATACATTAACCCCATTAACAGAAAGAATATTGATGGTCGACGGCGATTGGGATGGAGATTGGGACCCATCCATATTATCCCCGATTACTCAGACTCACGTTCGGGGATCCCCAAATTATTCTGAGACTCTTCACTCTGAAGCACCATGTTTTGCTCTGACGCCAAGTTAAAAGCGCTAACCATGTGCTCCTCTACTGTCTTCAGCGCTGCAAGTCTCTCCGTTCTCTCAGTTCTTATCTAAATTTAGAATAATGTTGAAACTATTTGATGTGGAGTGATTCACTATTAGTGAATGGATAAAATCTTTGTAATTCTCCAGTAGAAAGATTGCCTGATTTGTCCCAAGATAGAAACATGGTTCGAAAAATCGACAATCGATCACCACTGATAAGATAATTTAATATAACGATAACTTAGAATATGGTTTGATATGGTTTGATATGGTTTATATGTTAAAGGTAATACCTCGTTAAGAAGTTGAACATAGTAGTCATGAAAGTCTGGGTCGTGGGTCCTACTTGTCTCTAAATTAATGATAGTGTCGTCTTGAAGCACATCTTGGGAGTACAGATCCCCGAATACACTTGATAACACATATGACACGTCCTGAAATAGGTTATTTTATCGACTGAGCTGTTTGAGATATTGACAGATAGAAACGCTATAAACATCCAGGAATGCAGCACTTATGGTTAAATCCTATAACATTAAATAATCAAAATATTCGTAAGGATCTAACTTGGTTTCTTGGTGATGATGGGCGGGCAGGCCGCATGACGGGTTCTCTAGAACAATCATCTGGTCGCTGATGGACGAGTGCATGATCCATCACGTGACTATGTAAAAAGAATGATGTATATGATATGATATAATCTACTATACAGACGAAGTATGAAATTATATGATTGCAATTTATGCTAAATTATTTGATCTTCATACAATTTGATATCGCTACTTGTTGATACAGTTAAACACATCAACTCTAAAAAATCTCAATAATGTCGTACTTCTATAATCTCAAATTATCATATAAACACAAAAGTATAAGTATGATATGCATGCAGCAGCAGCAGCACAGCGGCATAACTGTCGGAGTTTTTACAGTTCATCAACAGCACAGCAAAATACCAAAAGCAGAGTTTGATGCAAAATCATCATTCATCAAACTTTATCTTTAATTGTATCTATCTCAATCTTCATTCTTAAAATCACAGCTTGTACAGCTCCAGCACATTTTAATTGGAATCAAATTTAAAGCAAACTTTTACTATGATGATCCGCCACGCGCTGATTTAGCACTGTTAATGTTTATCTCCTCTTTCTCTAGAGGATCAACACAGTGAAGAAAATCTGGTCGCCGTCTGTTTTTTCTATCAACATACTCTCTGAAAGACATTGCACCATGCATCGTTGCCAGGGTAGAGTCTAGCTCTCTGCTTTTCAGTTTTGCTTCAGAGACAGTTTTCATGGTGTCCTCCTGAGGATCACTTAAACCAGTTGGAGTATTTTTGTGTCTCCACAAGTCAACTGGTAAATACCAGGCACCGTATTGATGTCTTATCCAGTGATTCCGGGAAACAATTCCCTTGTGACTGCTAGGGGTGTCGCCTCGTCTGATTGTCAAATTCTTAATTCCATATTGGAGGAGACTTGGTAAATCAGGTGATACCATTGCTCCATTGCGGAGCTCCAAAGGAACATCAGAGAGTTGAACAACATGTATAGGGACAGAGAGGGCTGGTTTTGTTTCATATCCACTTGCAAACAAACTGAAGATAGTACTCTCTTCAATATTATTGATATGAGCATCATTTGGATCCCCTCCAAGTTCTCTTACCCAGTCACAAAAGTCTTTGGTGACACTTTGAATCTTGGTGTGCCCTGAGCCTCGCTCTTGGACTCCTGGAGAAGAATTGTTATCATCAAAAGGTTCCTCTGATGGGTACCATCTAAAAGAGCTAATAGGCAGAGAATTTTCATTGACAACACTCGTTTTGCTTTCGGAGTCTAATTGGTTTGGCACTGGTGATTCCTGTGACACTTTTGATTCCTCTGCTTCGGAAACAGCATCATCTCTTGGTGAATCATTTTCAGTTGACTCAGACAAATCACTGGAACTATCTTGACGAACCTCAGGATCTAGAGCTTCCACGATTTCCTCAAAAAGTTCAGGTGCAACAGCATCTTCATAATGTGGAAACACTGCAAGGGGATGACCAGTCAGACCCTCCTCAATAACATCAATGTACTGCATTTGTGCTTCTTTTCGAGGAACTTTCTTGGAAAATGCAATTGTCTGCTTGTCTAAGCTTTTGCTGATTCTTGCAGAGGGCTCCCTGTTTTGATTGAGAGGAGGTAAATTTCTTGGTGCCATTGCTGGATGGCGTGAGCCATCTTTCTTTGTCAAATAGGGTTGAGCAGACATTGTCTCTCGAGGGATACCAGTCCTGTAATCATCACCACCATCCTTTACAAAGACCCAATTACTTGACAGCAATGCACCAGATGGTTTGGTTGACAAATACTTCTGCCTCAGTCTCTCAGAATACCATGGATAGTGCTTGGGAAGCTTGTTCTTTGATGGGATGGTCCATAGTTCATATTTTTGTTCAGCCATACCTGAAGTTCATAATAACTGAAGTAAATATCAGATTTATAAAGGAAGGGAATTGATAATCATATATTCAAAATATACACAATTTCGTGACATCCTTTTAAAATTGATGACTGATTATGAACCTGAGCAAGGGTTGGTAACGAAACTTTTAAAACCCTAACCTTAACAAAACATTTGATCCACTTCTCTACTCATGTGTGCACATGGTCGAAGTGCATCAATTGAATGATCAGTTTACTGATAAATTTGTTTTACTGACTTGTTCACACATTCTTCCAACTAGAGCATTGTTAACCACTTTTCATGCAAGAAAATATCTATATTCATTATTCATAACATATTTTAGTGGAAGTCTTCAAAATACTCAAACTCAGGTTTAATTAGCACTATAAAGTTTAGGATATTTATAGCTTATTATAACCATTGATACAAAGGCCATAATTTTTCACCAGCTCACCAATATCCATCGTGAAGTTGCATTTTATATCCTCAAACTATACAATATAAACTTGAGTATACTATAGTGTAGACTTTCTGTCACAACAAGACTGCAACCCATAGTAACAAATATAAACAGAACCCATAATGTCTGCTAAAGACTAACTGAAATAGCGTTTCAGTGTGTGCTAAAGCTTTCAGGCACGCACATTCCTTGCCGTTAGTTACCTGTCCCTTCAAAATCAAACTAACAGACAGTGGCGTAATGTTGCCTGTTGGCGCCCCCACTGAAAAAGCGCCCCCATGTTGGCTCCCTAAAATTGAAAAAATAAGATGATTTTAGAGGATATGCCGGTTAAATCTCTAAAAAAGTGTGTTTCTAGAGCAAAACGCGCAGTTAAGTACTGGAGATAAGTTTTTCAAAATAATCCCACATTCAAACGACGATTTGCCCCCCCCCCCCCCCGCCTTTATTGTTTCATTGAGGTGCCCTCAAGTTATAGTGAAAAATATAGAAAAGAAATCAGTCAGAAATGTTATATAAAGATCTACCAAAATCAGGAGCACAATAGCATCAAAACTTAAGCTTCTTGACTACTCTCATAGAATTCGTTTTAAAAAGGTACTCCTCACGGGTCCGTATATAGCCGATTTTGCAGATTTAAGTTACAGAAAAACTAGCGGACCTAGCAGCAATATCGGATAGCTAGCGGAAACTATCGGATGTGTTAATGAAGCTAGTACTATTCTCCGCTAGTTTGCGCCGGTGTCCGCTATACTCCGCTAGCCATCCGCTAGGTATAAATGCTGCATTTTAGTGCATCTCCGTTAGGCGGCCGCTAGCTTCCGCTGGCCATCCACTGACTTTTGTATAACTTAAATCGGGCAATACGGACCCGTGGATCCTAACGCATGCTGCCAACAATGACTGTCCCGACAGTCTAACACATTGAGACGATGGTCAAATGGAAGCAAAAGCAGGCAAAAGGAGTGCTGGAATGTACCAATTGCACTAAAAACTCGAAAGGTATTCTTGTGAAAATATGACAATAATTGCTTCAGCGCTCGATTTTCATAGTACAGTATAAATATGCGCGGCGCGGCTACAATTTTAGTTTCATTTTAAAATAATTTTTAGCTACAGTTGTATTAAATGCATTTATATAAGTAATAATAACAAAATATATAAAAACAATTGCCCACGAAATAGTACTAAAGCACTGCATAACTAAAACATAAAATGTGCGCCAAAATCCCAAATTTTAAAGATATTTTAAAATTTCTATTTAATGAAAAATAAAATGATTTACTAAATTTATATATATCATATATTATGTATTATTTTTATTCTTCTGGTGTAATTGTTTTTATATCTATTTATTTAAATTTTTCGATACAAAATTAAAATTAATTTATTTAAAAAAATTAAAAACCATGTTTCTAAAATTATATTTTGAGCCAAAAAAATTGTTTTGCAATTTGGATTTTTTTGTAAGTTTAAAATCTATCAAGTCGCGCACCAAGTTAATGGAATCGTTATCGGTTTTATTAATGGGTCTTATTAACGTGTTTTTATTTGTAGGTTTACAACCTACAGGGCCGACGCGCGCCGAGTTGGAACAGATATTTTACGAGTATCACCCGTTAAGTTTTTATTAACGGTCTTATCAGCGGTTGATACTCGTGATCGTACATAATTTTTGTTCCAAATATTAGAGACCGTTGACAAAACCAATTATAAACTTACAACGACAGTCTTGTTAATATTTGCAACAAATTTTTTTGTTTTCTGATATATTACATTTTTAGCAAATATTCATTGCATTGTTGGTTTTAACTTTTGTTGTATTATACACAAAGTACATTTTATCAATTCATTAAATAAATTTATATTATATACAATATATGTTCTCCTTTAAGTTTTTGAGCCATATAATACAGATTACAGCCTCTACCTCTACGTATATTTATTTCCAATCGTGAAATTTTTTAGACATTAGAATATTGATTTATAAGCCTGATTGATTTTCGGTCACAGCTACAGGAGATGGAACACCCTGAAATTAACACAATATATAAGTTTAATATATCTGTAGCTTATGATAACCATCAACACAAAGGCCATAATCTTTACTACAGAATGTTTACTTTCAAGTTGCATTTTCCATTTTATATCCTCGAATTACACAACATGAATTAAAGCAATTAGTGCAGAATTTCCATTATGTCACAACAAGAATGCAATCCATAGTAACAGCCCTAAACAAAACCCTTTATCTCCGCCAGCAAATGTTCATATTTGGTCCAAATGTGTTCTACAAAATCTCATCTGAAATAGCGTTTTAGTGTGTGCAAAAGCTTTCAGGCCACCACATTCCTTGCTTTGTAGTTGCCTGTCCTTCCACAATCTAATTAGCAGCCAAGGACAAAAATGTGTACACCATGTGGACATTATATTTAAATGAATTGTTACATTTGTTGATTCTGTAAAATGTTTCATTGAACAATTTCTTGTTTCACTGACTGCATGTTGCACACTCCAGTCACAAGCCAGGGACCCCAGACCACTTTACAAGTTTTGAAACCTTGGCCTTGTTCCAGACCAACGAGAAATTTACTGCCTCTTCTGTCCTTATCATTTGGAATAACAAATGTCTCACTTGTCTTCTCTTCATTGTCATTTTAAACTGTAGTGTATATTACATAGGTTCATAATCATTTGCTCAATTATTTTTCATTAATGTATGAACAATGAATAATTGATAAACAATTTTACCGTTCTCATGATATCTTGATCAATTACTTTCTGACTAATTATTTCTTTAAGGTTTCATTCTTTAGCTCTCACATTTGTCATGGCGGCACCGGATCACATGCTGAAAGAAGCTGAAAAGATTATGAAATTGCTAGATGATATGCACGAGAGCAATCCTGATGAGTATCAGCAATTTATTAAGAAAACCTTGGAGGAAGGAAAATCAGAAATGAAAGTAGCAGAATTTAGATTTTCTATTCATGGCATGAGTAAGAAGGACTCGAAGAAGGTGTTTATCAATGTTTGTGGATTTCCTCCTGTACCTGCGCCGAAAAGCGATGATGATCCAATTTCTGTTCATGGCGGTGAATGTTATGAAGAAGTTGTTAACGGAAAAGAAAGCATCATCGAATATTTGGGCATCAATCCTAAAGTATTAGATGAAGTTGGTTCTGATAAATCACTGCAAAAAATGCTTATAAAACTAGCGATTGATTTTTACAATGACACAAAGAAATATAATATGTCTTACAATTGTGGGTTTTCACAAAAACTGGTGGGAAATCCTTTAAAAGTGAATTCTGCCTTTACAAGATCACCGACTGACCGAAATCATACCAAGGCATCAAGCAAATCTGAACCCACTGAGGTTAAACTACCATTTGATGATATTAAAGATGAAGATGATATGAACTTTGACAAGGACTTCAAGATAACAAGTGACACAAAGCAAAATAAGACAAATCTTATCAGTGAGCTGAATTCTTCAAACCTCAAAGAAATCAAATTTTCAACCGAAATCCTCTCAGAGCCTAGGCATTGCATCAAGCTGAAAGCTCATATTGATTTTATTGATTCTCTTAATGACATTGATCTAGAAATAGTTGATGATGATATTGTTCTGACAACTGATTCTTTCTCAGTAACTCGTTGCAAAATTCCACAGTTTGAAAGGATTATTGAGGAGAGCATCAGAGCTAAGTTCAGCAAAACAAAACGACTCACTATAACAATTGACCTGAAAGAGTCTTGATGCTGTGTTCAATTTATTGAGATACTGAATTTATTAACTATTTTCTATGCATTTATCATGTTTCAGTCAACCAATTAGTATTCATCAGCTCTTATAATTTTTTGAAGGATGCTTTATACTTAATTATTACATTGATAATGTCGTTGAACTCTCAAAAAACTCTTTGTTTACTTGATTCAATACTTAATACTCATTCTGAAGTCTTAATAAATTTGTAGATCAGTAAATTAACTTCAAGTAGTGGCCACTTTGAAATCCATATCCGAATAACCTTGTAATAATTGTTAGAAAAAGAACAATGCTGCAGCTACAAGAAGAGTCTATACCATCTCTAGATGAAGCAAACACACAAGAAATCCCTACTATCGAGATTACCCCCGATGCTGAGGAAAATGCAGCAGAGATTGTTGAAGAAAATCAAGGTACAACTACAGACGAAACATTAATATTATCCAAGAAGGCTGACCAGCGAAATCCTGCATGGATATCTCAAAGTGGAATATGGTTGTGGTTAGGGTCAGCAGTAGGGCGTGGTTTGGGTTCATGCCAAATTCCGCTGGTTGGGCTTCTTGGATGCTGCCTAAAAATACAGATTGCTTGCACTCTGCAGTTGTTGATTACTGATTAATGACAGGTGAACCTCTTCATATCACCTCTATATGAATGGGCTTTGTATTTGTTTCTTAGGATATTTCATTTTTGAGTTGTCACTGTTTTTTTCAAATCATACAACATGTGTATTTGCAGCTGACCAATCAGAGTTGATTAGTTCAAAAAAGAATAAGAAGATGAAATTTGGGAAAGTACTGAAAGGTAAGATGAAAGTGGCGAAAATGAAGGGGAAGGCCAAGAAAGGTTCGACTGGAAACGAATCAGAAAGTGTTGCTGACGATTTGGTAATTGAGAGTAGTAAGGTAAGTCTAAAAGAATTGTTTGATTGTACTGTTGTGTGTACTGTACAACTATACACCGTACATACTTACCACACAATTCACCATTTTGACTTAATTTAATAATTGGAATGGATTCTAGTGTAGTTAATTTTAACTGATATTGCTTTTCAGTTTATCTACAATTTAAAACTGTGATTTCTGATTTCAGGTTATAAATGAGGAAGATATCAGCGAGAGAGATGGTAAAAGTATTGATGAACCTGTTCCATTAGGTTAGTGTATTTTAAACTCTTGTTTTAGGAGATGATTAGACAGATGATTATTTGTATCTTGAATTTTTGCATTATGCACATCTGTAAAAATATCAACCTTGCAGAAGACGACATTGCTGAGACAAATGAGGCAGAGGAAGACGCGGGAGAAAGCAAAACTAAATCTGAAAAGGCAAAGAAGAAGTTCAAAAACAAGTTTTCAATGCTTGGAAATAAGTTGAAATCTAAGGGAAAGTCCAAAATGAAAGGGAAAAAGGTATTTTAATAACTGTTATCAGTTTGGTTTTTTTTTGTAAATCCTGTTTATTTGATGTACATCGTATAGTACCCTTTCCAAAATATCGACGTTATGGAAATCATCTTATTATTTTGTTAACAGAAAACCGCTGATAAAGACGCTCTCGTGGAGGCTGAAGAAGAGGAAGCAGATGGGGACAAGGGAGAGGAGGAGGATGAAGAAAAAGTGGAGGTAGAAGAAGATGAGGATGTTGGAGCTAAACAGATTGATAGTGAAGATGAAGCTGAGGAAGAACTGGACGAAGAGGAACCTTCACTCAAAGATGGTAATTATTTTTTATCAGATCACTTTGTGCAATAATTGTGACTCTTTCAATTTAGAATTTTATTTTATGTTATTTCTTTGTTACATGTTGAAACAGTTTGTTATCGTTTCGAAAAGCCTAGCTATATTTTAATTGGTGATGCCCCCAGAACAAGAAGTTGCTACTCCAGAGAAAACACCAGATTCCCCAATGGGAACAAAAATTAAAACCGTTTCATCTGGTCAAACTCTCGAAACATCACCTGTCTCACCAACTGATAGTTCTAAGTTCGAAAATGCTCGGGAAGCAAGGAGGCAGGCCCGACGGAAACTTCTTGAAAAAATGGAAGATGAGGGGAAGTTGACGAAGGATGATTCTAGAGTGACAGTGATAACACCTGAGCCGTCAAAAAAGGTTGAGACAGTTGAATCTCATACTGAGGATATTCCTAAAAGGAGAAATCGACGACGAAAGGTTTCACATCTTTTCTCGTAATGTTTTGTTTACATAATGTTTAAGTTTAAATCTGATCTTTCAGTGAAACATTTAATCTTTCTTGTCCTTTTTAGACCTCAATTTTGACTCACTCAAATGATTCCAGCGTGACCTGCCTGATCCAGAAAGTCAGGAAACTCCAGAAGAGAGTCTTGCACCGCTCAGTCCTACACCTGGCAGTCCTACCCCTGATGTATCTGCTGCTGAGGCCAACATGGTGCCATCTCCTAGAGAGAAGAAGAAGAAACGGAGAAAGAAGAAGGCTAAACAGGGTTTAGAAACTGAAGTTGATGGAGGTAAATATTTGTATTATCATAATTCCAATAACAGTATGGTCGTAAATTCCTGAGATGCAACATTCAGCTCAATATAATTGTACAATCTTAATATCAAAAGTTTATGTTGGATATCTAACAGGGGCAGTCCTATCTGAAAAAGATGAAGATGTCATAATCTCAAACAAAGCAGTGTTATCAGCAGAAGCTGAGGAACCACAGACTCCGGAAAAGCAGAAGACTAGTACCCTCAGGAAATTAATGCCCAATAAAAAGAGCAAAGGAGGGCCGTCTCCGAAGAATGCAGGTAATAGTTTATGAATAAATACCAACCGAAGATACAGCCGATTTAATGTAAAACACGTCACTTTACTTAACAATAATAATAACTAAAAAACCGCTCATAATATAGTTCCAACGTCGTTACTATGCAGCTCCCTTATTTGAACCTAATCTGCACGTGGGCGGTCATACAAACATACACGGAGAAAACTCCGAATTATAATGGAGATGATTTATTATTGACTGATCCATTTCTATCAACATGATAATACAACATACTTGAACTGTTAACCTAGTTTTAACTCCCTCAGAAAAGGAACCAATAGCAACAGTCCTCTCCTCACCAGCTATCAGACAGTTAGACTCAGCTATGAGTGTAAAGGTTCACTACGCCGACCACCTCTACCCTACCCTCTACCTCCTCCATCCACTGGTTAGAATTCACGTGCTGGACAGCAAGACGGGTAAACCTTTACCCTCAACTTTAGGTGAGTTATTGTTTGAGTGCTGGACAGCAAGACGGGTAAACCTTTACCCTCAACTTTAGGTGAGTTATTGTTTGAGTGCTGGACAGCAAGACGGGTAAACCTTTACCCTCAACTTTAGGTAAGTTATTATGTGAGTGCTGGACAGCAAGACAGGTAAACCTTTACCCTCAACTTTAGGTGAGTTATTATTTGAGTGCTGGACAGCAAGACGGGTAAACCTTTACCCTCAACTTTAGGTGAGTTATTATTTGAGTGCTGGACAGCAAGACGGGTAAACCTTTACCCTCAACTTTAGGTGAGTTATTATTTGAGTGCTGGACAGCAAGACGGGTAAACCTTTACCCTCAACTTTAGGTGAGTTATTGTTTGAGTGCTGGACAGCAAGACGGGTAAACCTTTACCCTCAACTTTAGGTGAGTTATTGTTTGAGTGCTGGACAGCAAGACGGGTAAACCTTTACCCTCAACTTTAGGTGAGTTATTATGTGAGTGCTGGACAGCAAGACAGGTAAACCTTTACCCTCAACTTTAGGTGAGTTATTATTTGAGTGCTGGACAGCAAGACGGGTAAACCTTTACCCTCAACTTTAGGTGAGTTATTATTTGAGTGCTGGACAGCAAGACGGGTAAACCTTTACCCTCAACTTTAGGTGAGTTATTGTTTGAGTGCTGAACAGCAAGACGGGTAAACCTTTACCCTCAACTTTAGGTGAGTTATTGTTTGAGTGCTGGATAGCAAGACGAGTAAACCTTTACCCTCAACTTTAGGTGAGTTATTATGTGAGTGCTGGACAGCAAGACGGGTAAACCTTTACCCTCAACTTTAGGTGAGTTATTATTTGAGTGCTGGACAGCAAGACGGGTAAACCTTTACCCTCAACTTTAGGTGAGTTATTATGTGAGTGCTGAACAGCAAGACGGGTAAACCTTTACCCTCAACTTTAGGTGAGTTATTGTTTGAGTGCTGGATAGCAAGACGGGTAAACCTTTACCCTCAACTTTAGGTGAGTTATTATGTGAGTGCTGAACAGCAAGACGGGTAAACCTTTACCCTCAACTTTAGGTGAGTTATTATTTGAGTGCTGGACAGCAAGACGGGTAAACCTTTACCCTCAACTTTAGGTGAGTTATTGTTTGAGTGCTGGATAGCAAGACGGGTAAACCTTTACCCTCAACTTTAGGTGAGTTATTATGTGAGTGCTGAACAGCAAGACGGGTAAACCTTTACCCTCAACTTTAGGTGAGTTATTGTTTGAGTGCTGGATAGCAAGACGGGTAAACCTTTACCCTCAACTTTAGGTGAGTTATTATGTGAGTGCTGAACAGCAAGACGGGTAAACCTTTACCCTCAACTTTAGGTGAGTTATTGTTTGAGTGCTGGACAGCAAGACGGGTAAACCTTTACCCTCAACTTAAGGTGAGTTATTATTTGAGTGCTGGATAGCAAGACGGGTAAACCTTTACCCTCAACTTTGGGTGAGTTATTATTTGAGTGCTGAACAGCAAGACGGGTAAACCTTTACCCTCAACTTTAGGTGAGCTATTATTTGAGTGCTGGATAGCAAGACGGGTAAACCTTTACCCTCAACTTTAGGTGAGTTATTATGTGAGTGCTGAACAGCAAGACGGGTAAACCTTTACCCTCAACTTTAGGTGAGTTATTGTTTGAGTGCTGGACAGCAAGACGGGTAAACCTTTACCCTCAACTTAAGGTGAGTTATTATTTGAGTGCTGGATAGCAAGACGGGTAAACCTTTACCCTCAACTTTGGGTGAGTTATTATTTGAGTGCTGAACAGCAAGACGGGTAAACCTTTACCCTCAACTTTAGGTGAGCTATTATTTGAGTGCTGGATAGCAAGACGGGTAAACCTTTACCCTCAACTTTAGGTGAGTTATTATGTGAGTGCTGAACAGCAAGACGGGTAAACCTTTGCCCTCAACTTTAGGTGAGTTATTATTTGAGTGCTGAACAGCAAGACGGGTAAACCTTTACCCTCAACTTTAGGTGAGTTATTATGTGAGTGCTGAACAGCAAGACGGGTAAACCTTTACCCTCAACTTTAGGTGAGTTATTATTTGAGTGCTGAACAGCAAGACGGGTAAACCTTTACCCTCAACTTTAGGTGAGTTATTATGTGAGTGCTGAACAGCAAGACGGGTAAACCTTTACCCTCAACTTTAGGTGAGTTATTATGTGAGTGCTGGACAGCAAGACGGGTAAACCTTTACCCTCAACTTTAGGTGAGTTATTATTTGAGTGCTGGACAGCAAGACAGGGTAAACCTTTACCCTCAACTTTAGGTGAGTTATTATTTGAGTGCTGGACAGCAAGACGGGTAAACCTTTACCCTCAACTTTAGGTGAGTTATTATTTGAGTGCTGGACAGCAAGACAGGTAAACCTTTACCCTCAACTTTAGGTGAGTTATTATTTGAGTGCTGGACAGCAAGACGGGTAAACCTTTACCCTCAACTTTAGGTGAGTTATTATTTGAGTGCTGGACAGCAAGACGGGTAAACCTTTACCCTCAACTTTAGGTGAGTTATTATTTGAGTGCTGAACAGCAAGACGGGTAAACCTTTACCCTCAACTTTAGGTGAGTTATTATGTGAGTGCTGAACAGCAAGACGGGTAAACCTTTACCCTCAACTTTAGGTGAGTTATTATTTGAGTGCTGAACAGCAAGACGGGTAAACCTTTACCCTCAACTTTAGGTGAGTTATTATGTGAGTGCTGAACAGCAAGACGGGTAAACCTTTACCCTCAACTTTAGGTGAGTTATTATGTGAGTGCTGGACAGCAAGACGGGTAAACCTTTACCCTCAACTTTAGGTGAGTTATTATTTGAGTGCTGGACAGCAAGACGGGTAAACCTTTACCCTCAACTTTAGGTGAGTTATTATTTGAGTGCTGGACAGCAAGACGGGTAAACCTTTACCCTCAACTTTAGGTGAGTTATTATTTGAGTGCTGGACAGCAAGACAGGTAAACCTTTACCCTCAACTTTAGGTGAGTTATTATTTGAGTGCTGGACAGCAAGACGGGTAAACCTTTACCCTCAACTTTAGGTGAGTTATTATTTGAGTGCTGGACAGCAAGACGGGTAAACCTTTACCCTCAACTTTAGGTGAGTTATTATTTGAGTGCTGGACAGCAAGACGGGTAAACCTTTACCCTTAACTTTAGGTGAGTTATTATTTGAGTGCTGGACAGCAAGACGGGTAAACCTTTACCCTTAACTTTAGGTGAGTTATTATTTGAGTGCTAGACAGCAAGACGGGTAAACCTTTACCCTCAACTTTAGGTGAGTTATTATTTGAGTGCTGGACAGCAAGACAGGTAAACCTTTACCCTCAACTTAAGGTGAGTTATTATTTGAGTGCTGGTCTCTCTGGATTTTATGGAGACCATAATTTTCGGTATAACACAATACACATCCCAAGCCTGTGGTTGGTATTCCATGTAAACTCTTCGCCCTTTTCAGAATATTTGGCACTTATTTTAAATTCCCACGACTATGGTATCCTGTATATGTCGTATAATAAGCTGCTTTAAAACATTTTAAATTGCAGGTGATGCACGGTACAGCACTATACAGCCTCTGTTGACAGAGCCGTTTGATTTGAGGATTAATAAGACTATGTCCCCCTGTTGGGAGGAGCAGCTTCTTATTCCCGAGCATTACAATAGTATTATTGGTAATGATAACGCTATGTTGTTTCTCGAGGTAATAGATAATTCCTTGAGGTAATATATAATTATTTATTAATCTAATATAATATGATAAATTAGATCTATTAATTTTATGATACCCATTTCTTTTTCTACGGTCTCACCTCTGCTGAAATTCATGCCTGAAGATGAAGATGTTTTCATTAAAATCTTAACTTCAGATAGTTGATATAGTCCCAGCACGAGCTCTTAAAAAGCACAAGACAGGATGGAATCTCATAGCTTGGGCCTTCTTGAAACTAAAATCAGGACAGGGTGGACACAATGTTAACAGAAAACTGAGACTACAACTGTTCAGATATCCGATCATTGAACAAAGTGTGGGTTGAGTTAAAACCACTTTTACTAATTTCAATGTCGAGACTGCAAATCATGAGTTCAAATTCTTAAAAGCTATATTATTCGATTATTGAAGATGCTCTGATTTATTCGCGTAAAAAACCTTTTTTAATGATATTGAGATGAACAGCCACCAGATAAATTTAATCTGGCAACCAAACCTCTCTCCCTCCAGATATCAGACATCTTCCTAGGACTCAGCCGAACAAAGTACCCCAGTACCATGTACGTGACAGTGGGTAACATCACGGACAAGTCTGTGTTGTCCAGCTTGTACGTGGACCAGGTAGCGGCCCAGAACCCGGCTCTCTCCCAGTATATTGAGCAGGTTGTTCAGGAGTCTACTTCACCGAATGAGCAGGTCAGATGTTGTCAGGATAGTATCTTACTTAAGAAATTTTCATTGTCATGTTATCATCATGACTTACCATCACGACATCAATATATTATGACATATTTTCAATACAAAAAAAAGGTTTTAAAAAAATAGTGAAAGTAAGTCATAAATGACTTACTTTCACTATTTTTTTAAAACCTTTTTTTTCTTAATTTTACTATTAACTTTCATTGTTCATCTAACTTTTACTATGATATGCCTACTGCCACGATCAGTGATCGTCTGAAGTTTTACGATTCCTAGACCATATATTATTGGATTCACATTTATTAATTTTTCTCCGGGGGATATTTCTTATCGTATTAATGTGTTGATTATGATGATACTTAGCCCTACTGAGACCTTAAACCGTTAGATGAGTTTTCTAGATTTCAACCTCTTTTAAATTGTAATCTTATGAAGAATGATTCATGCAGATTGACATAATGAATTAAACTTTAATTCGCCGCATGTTTCATTTACAATAGTATCCAATGGAAACTATTCAGGAAAACAATTGTAATTCAGTAAAAAAAATTTCAAAACGGAAAAGTATGTGAAGATTTTAATTGTAACACAAGTATTCAATCGATCATAATAATGATAGATATTATGTGAGATTTTTCTCTTTTCTTCCTGTGTAAAAATCGAGAATGCAATTCAGATCTGTAAACAAGAGTTAAAATTAAAATTGAAGCGAACTTTAGTATATATACTAAAGTATATTATATATAATTAGGTGTGCCAAAATACATTATCATTATACAAGTCTTGAATCAATCACACATATTTTTTCAAATTACCAATGATATAATGATAATTATTTTTTTTTGTGCTAATGATCAATTCTGGGATGTATTTTAATAATCATTGTATTATTATTATATCAATCTAGAGTTTAAATTAGAAATGAACTTTAGGTATTCCTAATCACAATAATCACACGTAAATCTCAACCTCGAACTCATTTCTTATCTTATTTTTTACTTTTTACGATGTCATTTGAATCAATCACACAAGAATTTTTCTAAACTACTAATTATAATAATGATAACTGTTCCTTTTTTTATATATTTTTCTCGTATTATCAAACAATTCTTGTGAAACAAATTCCATCAGTCTATTAATCACATACACAATACACACACGTTCGCATTTCCAATGATAATAAGGTTTCTATTTTTAACGTTTATTTTGATAGTTTTCAGTTAGATTTATGTGTAATTTAACTGTATCAATCTGGAATGCTTTTCAAAAATCATAACATTTAAAAAAATCATCGATCAACAGTTAAAATCGACATGAACTTTTTTACAATGCAGCTCATATTAGTTATTCTAATAAAAATCTTGAATCGATCACACTTTTTTTTCTCAAATTACCAATAATGATAATGATTTTCATATATTTTTCTCTCTTTTTTTGCGTTTATGTACAAATATGGAAATTTCTATTTCAAGAATCAATGTATTTCAAAATGTCATTATGTCAATCGAGAGTTGAAATTAGCTTCAGTTGTGTCTAATCACATTAATCACACGTGAATCTCTCAATCTTAATGATCTCGAATAGAAGCCATTTTTATCTCTAAATTTACTTTTTACAAAATCATATTTAAAATCAATCACACAATTATTCTCCTAAACTACTAATATAATTTAACAATGATAATTGTCTCTTTTTATACTGTTTTTCTCGTATTTTCAAACAAGTCTTGTAAAACAAATTCCATCAGTCTATTAATCACATTCACACACGTTCACATTTCCAATGATAGTAAGGTTTCTATTTCAACCTTACAATAACAGTACTACTACTCAACCTTTCGTTTTGATAGTTTTCAGTTAGATTTCTGTGTAGCCTCTTCTACACTGACAAACTTTGTGGAAGAGGGTGACAGGTAGGGATATAACTGTCCACATGTACCCTTTGTACGTTGCCCACAGATCTGGTTTACGCACGATTAGGATGGTCGGGAATAGTGCTGAATTTACCAAGGGAAGGGTGTATTTTGTAATCATATATATTTGATAAAATATTTTGAAAAATGTTGTGTTAGGGCTCCCGCTGTAAAAGAATGAACTTAATAACATATAGGAGTAAACCGCGAAGCTCATTAAATAAAGCAAGGATATTATAAGTATTGTGATGGTTACTTGATTCCAACTTCTTTGTCGTGGATCCACACTCTGGAGAGTTTTCTTGACATAAACTATTTGAAGAACCATGCATACAAGTACAATTAAACACGGTATACAGTACTCTAAGAACACTAGGGTAACCCCTATTATTAAAAGATATAAATTTGTCCGTATATATGTAAATAGTATGCCATATCCAATAAATACGTCCGCGGAGTAAAATGGTGACCCATCAATAGTACATTGCACGTTCCCCGGGTGTATTAAATGAGTCGCCAAAGACCATGTATCAACCACGGACAAAATAAGGCCTAAAAATGGGAGTATTATGATAGCAATCATAAGACTCCGTACGCGAATACTATAGAACGGGTTAATTATGTTTATGGTCTTAACAACTGTCAGTACCAATCCAAAGAACGCTGATGTGGTGTAGCAAAGAATTCCGATCGAACTCAATGCTGATAAAATCCAATTGGGCATATTCAAGGAAGAACGGTTCAAGCATAGCAGTACAACAGATCCCCTCACCATTGCACAACAAGCACTTCCTATGTCCACAGCAGCGATCAGAATGAAAAGACAGGCAACTTGGTCGTTTAGCTCCGGACAGTCTATGCAACGTCTATGCAACGTCCATGCAACAACAAAAGAACCGTCTATGCAACGTCTATGCAACGTCCCTGCACAATGAACACTCTATGCACACTCCCTGCACGGTCAGTCTATGCAACGTCTATGCAACGTCTATGCAACGTCTATGCAACGTCCCTGCACAGTACCATATGAACACCGGCTACTAGCCGGCTAGTAGCCACTTTTGTAATAACAGCTCCTCAACTTCACATTACCAACCGGCTACTAACCGGCACTTGAAAAGTGGTCACTAGCCGGCTACTAACCGGCTACTAATAGGTCTGCTTTAGAGCCGGCTAGTGACCGGTTAGTAGCCGGTTCGTAGCCACTTGGTGGTTACTAGCCGGTTAGTAGCCGGTTAGTAGCCGGCTAGTGACCGCTTTTCAAGTGCCGGCTAGTAGCCGGTTTAGAACCGGCTACTAATAGGTCTGCTTTACAGACAGCCTCTTCCAGTCTTTGTAATAATGGTATATTATCATTGAGTTCTGGATCACAATGTAGACTGCTAAGGTAAGATTGACAGGGGAGAAGTATCTAAAGTAATTTTCGGGGTCTGGCATCATCGTGGTAACTGAGGTGTCTGTTGAATTCATTGTCGAGCTTTAAAACTGGCTGAGAGATAATGCAATGATTTTAAATCTATATTTCTGAGAACAAGAAGGACAAAAAGAACAGGTCACGTTACAAAAAGAACAGGTCACGTTATAAAAATTTTCACCGTAAATAACTTGGTCGGTCATTCGATAAAGTCTAAACAAAAATTCTACAGATATAAAATTCTTCCAACAAAATCAATGAGTTCCTGATATATTCTCATCAGAAGAACTTTAATAATTGAATAAAAAAAATTACTTAGGAATTAGCACAGCTGGATGCACAGACGACGACCTCAGGCTAGTAAGACTCCTCTTAACCAACACCATGCTCAAGGTCAGAGTGGAAGGAGAACTATCTGCTGTATTCGAGAGTCTTCTTGGGTCCTTTCAAGGTGACAGTCTCTCCGGCAAGCTTTTCACTCTTGTCCTAGCAGGAGCTCTTATAGAACTACGCCATCGACTAGCAGAGTCTCCCCCACACATACCCAATCCCCCTATTTCAAAAGAAGGTATGCCACTGGAGTCAGCGTATTCAGATGATTGTAACTTCATGAACGTGGAAAAAGAATCCTTAGAAGCTATCCTACCAATAGCTAAGGAAGTCTTCAAGGAGTTTAACCTGTTCATTAACACAGAGAAAACAGAATTTACCCATGTTTTCCTCGCTCCTGTTGGAGAAACAATCCCTGGTCGTGATGATACCATGTTACGTGGAAATGAAGATTGGCGGAAGTGTAAGATTCTTGGGTCATTGTTGTGTAGTGAAAGTGATATAGCTGCTCGATGCATTGCTGGGAACAATGCCTTCTATAAGTTCACCAAGATCTGGTCTCAGCAGAATATCTCCGTTACCAGAAAGATAGCAGTATACGAAGCCCAAATTGTATCAATCATCATGTACAATTGCAGTAGTTGGTGTCCTACTGCAAAGTCACTAGAAAAACTAGACATTTGCCATAGAAAACACCTTAGATCATTACTGAACATTTATTGGCCTCATGGAACAATATCCAATGCAAACTTATACCTAAGATGTAACTCAGTTAAGCTATCAGATCGTGTCCCTAAAGCAAGGTGGAAGCTCCTAGGTCATATCTTGCGTAGTGCTGATGACTCCCCCGCTGCATTAGCGTTAAAGTTTGCTGTCACAACAAACTGTAAAGGGCGCGTCGGTGCGCATCGTAAGAATTTGTTCAAGATTATTGTGAATGATTTGACCCGTAGAGGTTTAAAACTTAACTCTTTGAATGATCTTAATAAGCTTAAGATATTAGCCGATGATAGAGTTGCTTGGAGAAACAAATTTTAACTCTAGCTGTCTTGATCTGTACTGATCACCATTTTAGGATGACTTGATTTCTTTTAGGGGTTTTGAATATTTTAATGGTGTAAACAGTTTCTTAATAACTTAGGAATTAGCTCACTGCTGTAAATTTACAATCCTTTTTAATGGAGACGTGACCTTGACCAGTTACTCAGTTACTGACAGCCTTGTTGTTGATTTAAATTTCTGTTACAGATATAGTAGAATATAAGGACTAAGAACACAATGTTGTAGTTGTGTATAATTTTTGTCTTTGATGTAAAGATGTAATTACCTGCTAAATTCTCTACTTTTTGTCCAACATTTGCTCAGTTTTCGTACTTGTACTCTTAGTTCGTTTTTTTAGTTCGTTTTTCCTAAATCATGGTCCTATTTGTCCTAGGTTCGTCAGGAGGTTAAATTGTGGTACCAAAACACAGGCAGAGAATAACATTACTTAAAATAATCTAAACTTCACGACAAACTGCAGAACAGTGTATTTATTCCTGAGAAAATTATGCAGTGTCTACTAATTGAAATAGTAAAATAAGAATAAAAACTCCTTATTTATTAAAATTAAAACTCCTTATTTCGTTACCCAACATACAAAACGGCAGAAAACAAAACGAAACAGCACACTAGAAAACTGGGCTATATCTTCACAGTGTTGCAACACACAACTACAGTCTTTCTTGGCTCGTTACAAGTCTACTCATTTAACATATTTCCAATATCTGGGCATTTCTTGTCAACTTTATTCAATCATATATCAGGGTTATGGACACGTGATTAATAGACAATCTGATAGTGCCGGCTACTTGGTTCGAGCTGAACTTTGAGTAGACCAATTGTTCTATTATTGGGAAATATGTTGTGATATGCCTTCACCACACTATGTATATACATGTAAGCTGTTTAATGTGCCACACAAATTATAATAAACGTTGGATACAAGCAGACGAATCTAGACAGAGTGTCACCTCTCTTGTACTTTCCTACACTTTTATTTAACAATCTCCGCATCACTGTGTCGTTAAGTCTCTGAGATTAGCGTGTATTGTATGTTACCCCTCTTATCAATACTGACCACTATCACACACATTTAATAAATATTTAATACAACTCTGTCCTCTGAAAATCCTGAGTGTATCTGTGGAACTTTCAATTACTCTAGTAATTAGCAGCTTTTCTGACAGAAACTTACAGTGTTAACTTAGTAATATTAATGTAAGTATCGTGTGCAGTATTATATTAGCAATAATAGTATATATAACTACCACGTGAATCTTCAATTCACTCAACCCAGGACACAACCCACGATAAGGTGTGCATAGTGGTCCGTGTGGATAGGGGTCCGTGGCCTATCCGTTACCAAACATAACTCATTACTTTATTTCTTCAATACTAACAAAACCCCAGATATCGTTCTTTAACCAGGTTGCAACAAAAGTACAGAAGCCCACGTGGAGTCGCGCCCCCGGCCAGATGTGCAAGATTCCAAAAACAGAACATTTTGAGATTCCTACACCAGAGATGGGCTGCCTTCTCATGTGCTTCTCTAATGATGGCAGGTTTATCATTTTGAATTTACTTATAACTTATGTTCAAATATTTTGTCCTTAGTCACGTTTTTACTGGCATTTTCGTGGGTATATAACAAGTCATAGCTTTACGACTGAAATTCGTGTTCCTCTATTTATATAATAGATTTCCGCAAAAAGCATTCTGTTGCCCAACAAATTTATCTACAATTGTGTTGTGGGAACCAGTCCGACACAGAGTTAATCAGCTGTTTGCGTCGCACGCGAACATTTTATTATGATAAAAGCGTAAATTTCTGTAGTGTGTGCAACAGTTTATCGGCTGGTCGCGCGCATTAGACAGCGTGTGGACGTGCAGGTCACCATGAGCTATCAATGTTGACTGTTGCTATTTATTTCTGGCTTCGGGAGTTTTATTAAGACATTTCGGGACAATTAAAAGCTTATGTTTTTATCACGATCTCTAACCCATAAATCTACAGAATAAGTAACTTCACACCCCTACAGATGGCTGGCATGCGGATGTGTGGGTAAAGACAGTCACCCTATTCTGGTTTACAGCATACCCGACGGGATACACCAGTACACCCTTACTGGACACTACAACATTGTATACGATCTCAAGTGGTACAAGCATTCTCTCCTTTCCGCTTCCTCCGGTTAGATTATCATCTTACAAGCTTGATCGAAGGCTGTGGCTTTTTACTACAATTTTCTACTTTTTATCAGATTTTGAGAAAGTCAATTTTTTTTCCTTTATTGAACGTGAACCTGTTAGCTAGTTCAACCTTGTTTCCATGCAGCTCCATGTTGTTTTCCTTAGACCATTGAATGATTCTGTTTAGGTTTTGTTGGAAAAAAATTGCAGTTATAATTTAAAGTTAATAAGTTAAAGTTTAATATTGTTCCGCCTATTCGGGTGTCATCGGCAACGCTGCTCAGTTTTATTTTAAATCTTTCAGTTTTCACGTACTGATCTAAATCATTTAATTTAACAATAAATAAAGTTAAGACTGAGATCAGTCCCTTGCAGTCCTTAACTGATAACCGGCATTGCTCCAGAATGTTTTCCATTAACAATGGCAGTCTGATATGAGAACAAATAATATGCAATATGATAATATGAGAGTATTTAATTCTGCAGTACGTATGAACTATGACCCAATTCCCATACTCAGCTCCGGATATATCTCAAATCTTCCGATAAGTAAAATTTCTTGATGAGATGATAGATTAAAAATAGTTATGTGGAGGTTTTTAAGAAATTTCCGCTTCCTTAGTTGCTCCGGTTAGATTATCATCTTACAAGCTTGATCGTAGGCTGTGGCTTTTTCACTACATTTTTCTACTTTTCTATCAGATTTTGAGATAGTAAATATTTTTTCTTTTGTTGAACGTGAACCTGTTAGCTAGTTCAACCTTGTTTCCATGCAGCTCCGTGTTGTTTTCCTCAGACCATTGAATGATTCTGTTAAGTGTTTGTTGGAGAAAATTGCATTATTTAACGTTAATATTGTACCGCCTATTCGCCATTCGGGTGTCATCGGCAACGCTGCTCAGTTTTATTTTAAATCTTTATGAAAGAAATTTCCGCTTCCTCCGGTTAGATCTAAGAGGAGAAATACGTATCGTACCGGGGGTTAAATACGTACGATACAAACCGTATTTCATTCTTGAAAAATACCATGTAATTTTTCCCCCGAAATATTTATTTTTCGGTAAAACGTAAATAAAATGATTGATTAAATTAACGCTCAGATACTATACTATTTACACTCAATACACGATTAAAATACAATTGTATTATTATTACTTGTATATACACAAGTACGAGAGTTGATCAGCTGTTAATATACAACAGCACTCCTGGTATACACTTACTTGTAGCTTACTTGTAAGTGTTTACCAGGAGTGCTGTTGTATATTAACAGCTGATCAACTCTTGTACTTGTGATTGTATGCCTCGCCCGGAATGAGAGGTTCGTAGTTGTCGGTCATCGGACTGTTTCAAGGCGTACAGTGCGAACCTTGAACGACCTGATGTCGAAGTGGTCGTTGTATACTTAGCTCACTACCTCTACATGTTCTCAAACAGAATAGGAGTCACGCTCATCAGACATATGTTCAATGTAAGTGCACTGCTATCGGGGGGGGGGGGGGGGGGGGGGGGGGGGGGATCATACACTTAGTACGTTGGGTGTATGGTGGATCATATTTTCTTCCAAAACACAGTTAGTGTTACTAAGAAAACTGTGAGATGAGTTTTCTTTCTAGGCGGGGATTCAGCCGTTTTTGAGTCGGTACGTAACAGCTGCATAACAATAGTCCTCGCTTCTTCATTTGCCCCTATAGTTCCCCGTGCATATTAGTCATGAAGGGGATGAGGGAAAGTCGAGACTGAAAACACAAAGACGTGAAACTTATTAAGAGACTACTAGTGCCAAACTTTGAAATTGTTGTTAAAACTTTGAAGGAGAGCTAGGTTTGAGCTAGAATATGAAACAATTGCACTGCCACACGTGACCTGACTCACGACCGTTTATATGTGAACACATGCCGAGAGCTCGAACACTTATATATACACAACTACTTATTAAACTGTCATGTGAACCCTTAGTACTCTGACTCTCTACTGCAAAGTGTAATGCAAGCTGTGCAGGTGAGTTGTTATCACTGCGAGGGACATGTCCGAGCATCCTCTATCGTGCACATGCAACACGCTCACTGAGTGGAACCACTTCACATCTCTTGTAAAGGGTGTCGTTTTTGATTATATTAGGGTAAGTCATTCTGATGATTTGCCTTAGATGCTTTCTGTGGCAAATATCCAGTTTACTCAGTAGCTGCTTTGAAGCAGCCCAGCAGCTACAATTATACATTAAGACGGAGACCACCTGGGCTTCGTAGATCTTAAGTCTGGTCTTAAGAGGTATGCGTTTACCTTGTTCCCAAACTTTCTTGTAGGTTTGGAAAGCAAGATTTGCCAAAATACATCGTCTTTTTATGTCCTCGTTGCTGCACAATTTGGAACCAAGTGAGATAGATGATCTCCAAGGTTCTCTTCCTCGAAGTGGCTCTCCTTTGTCATCAACTTCGTTCTTCTCGGCCAGATAGATAGGTGTGAACTCTGTTTTTGATTCGTTGACAAAAAGATTCCACTCCTCCAATATCTCCTTGCATATTGGTAACATGGACTCCAAATTCTTTTTATCCTCGTCTGTGAAGTCTGCGTCGTCTGCGTACTCCCACTCAAGAGGTAGCAGGTTTTCAGCAAACGGAGGGTTGTGAACCCTATACCCAGGTTTTTGGTTGTCCGGCCGTTAGGATGGCTAGAATAGGGATCACATTACAAATGACACGTCACTGATTGGGCCATGTGATGTGATACCTGCGGGAGCCTGAATGAGAGGTTCTTAGTTGTCGGTCACCGGGTTGGTGTGGTGCATAATCTACGTTTTCAGAATAATTTTGATCCAATGCGCGTGTTCGATTAGTTCCAGAATAATCTTGGTTCTTGCGCTCGCGGCACGTACGATCCTATTATTATGACGATTATAGAAATTATGAAGTTCTTGTTGTAGAAAACATTGAAAAGTACGTATCGTACAGGCGGTTTTATAAGTACGTACGATACGTATTTCTCATCTCAGGGTTAGATTATCATCTATTACAAGCTTGATCGTAGGCTGTGTCTTTTTACTACATTTTTCTACTTTTTATCAGATTTTGATAAAGTCGATTTTTTTCTTTTGTTGAACGTGAACCTGTTAGCTAGTTCAAACTTGTTTCCATGCAGCTCCGTGTTGTTTTCCTCAGACCATTGAATGATTCTGTTTAGGTTTTGTTGGAGAAAATTGCAGTTATTTAACGTTAATATTGTCCCACCTAATCGAGTGTTATCGCCAACGCTGCTCAGTTTTATTTAAAATCTTTCACGTACTGATCTAGATCATTTAATTTAACAGTAAATGAAGTTAAGACCGAGATCAGTCCCTTGCAGTACTTTACTGATAACCGACATTGCTTCAGAATGATTTTGCTCAACAAGGACATAACGTTCTGATAGTGATATTAGAACACAATAATATGTAATATGATATGAGAATATTTAATTCTGCAGTATGAACTATGACCCAATTCCCATTCACAAGTAAATAATATTCCAATCCCAGATTTTACAATTCCCATACTCAGCTCCAGATATATCTCAAATCTTTCAATGAATAAAAAGTCTTGATGAGATTGATTCTGTCCCTTGTGACCGCTTATTTCCTCGTCCCCATGATTTGGTGTTAGAAATCAGCTGTAGAAATCATACCAGCTGCTTATTTCATCTAAATTTGTGTGATATTTGCTCCTCAAGATTGGGGTTTTATTTCAGCCAAAGTTGAAATGACCATCAGTAATGACAAGTATGAACTAGCAAGCTACGATTGCTCCTGACTTATTACTGTACATTTTCAGATCTTACAAGAAAACTGACTCAATCCACGTTTCATGATCTTTATTTGCCCGCACCTCATAAATCTATCATCCTAACAAACATCAATAATATTAAATTAATTTACTTAATTAACAAAAAGTTAATCTATAATATCTCTTAAATGACAGAATGAGCGGCACAAGGAACTCCACTGGATTAGAGTTCAGGCACATGCCACCAGAAGGAGTGGGATGGCATCTCATGATCATATGGACACTAAGTATCATCCTGACAGCATTACCAGGAAACATATTCGTGTTGTGGTCCTCCTTTAAACACAACTCTATCCATCTAGATAATATATCTACGATTCTAATCCGGCACATTGCACTCTCTAACCTGGGTTTCACGGTGTATATAGCCTCCTGGATCACCCTTATAATAAAGAAAGATAACATGTACCCCGCTATTATTTGCGGCTTGTTCAGAACCTGGGCTTATTTCTGCCTCATAACGGAGCTGCTTCTGGTCGCTGCACTGAGTGTCAGCAAGCTAACGTGCATATTGAGCCCTCTCAGGGCGATGGCTCGCTCCAAGGGACTGGGTCGGAAAGTAGCCGGCACCGCGTGGACTGTTTCGGGTGTCTGGTGTTTGAGCAACTTCCTGGCGGTGCAATTCTGTGGAGATCCTAGGGTTGAGTTCCGGAGGCAACTTATGATTGTGTGGTAAATCCTGGTAATTTGGTGCTGAAAAGGATAATACGTTATACGAGAACAGTGATTGTGAGCTGCTCGGAGTTAGTTTTGTTCGTTTCTACCGTGTGGTTGTGCAAATTCGTGAAGAAAATAACGGGACATCTGCATAGACAGTCTCTGATCACAACCTTACTGGTTTCTGCAACCCACTTGATGTCCTATATTCCCTATGCCTTGATATACTACGTTTTGAGACATTACATTTTGACGAATTCTCAGAAAGACTCCAAACATTTCTCCGTTTTCTACAGCATGTGCACGTTCCTGATTCTTTTTAACTGTGCCATCAACCCGGTGTTATACTGCTTCACTGTCAGGAGTTACGGGTTGTTTGTGAGGAAGTTTTTCACGGCTCTTTGTGATTTTGTGAGAAACGGCAAATTTGAACTTCCAGAAGAAAAAAGGTCCGCGTCAAAATTTACTGCTTTACATCAAATAGCCAAGAGTAACGAGAGACTGAGAGTCCACGAACTTTAAAGTCAGACCAGCGAAAAACTATGATCCCATCTTTATGTACTTGGTGGTAGATTGATAAGACATTGTAACACAAATTTTAACTTTCTAAATTCTAAAATCATTGAAGTGTATCATTTATACTCTAATTAAAATTTGGATTGTATTCTCTTGTTTAATACATCACAGACGTCTTTTTCCTGTAATCTGTACTGATTCAATCACAAAGTCGAAGCTCAAAAATGTTGGTGTTTTGAGGCGAATGTTGTTAAGTTAGGAGTCACTATAGTCACTATAGTCACTATAGTTACTATAGTCACTAACTGATACCCACTACCCCCAGATTGTACCGCTCGAGTTTGGAAGAATGGTCAACAAGCAAAACAAATGGCTCACCCCTGTTTTGTGTACAGTGCTAAGTGGGTGGACAAAAGAAAGGTTATAACTGGTGAGTAGTAAGAATGTTAAAATAAAATGACCTCCAGTTCTTTGGAGATGAATTATTTTTCACTGCAATTTCTATTTTCTTGAACCTCATTCAATTTAATAATCTGTCTTGGCGTTTCTCTGCTGAGCACAGATAACTGACCCCACTAAAGCTAAAGGTGACCCCACTAAAGGTGACCCCACTAAAGGTGACCCCACTAAAGGTGACCCCACTAAAGGTGACCCCACTAAAGGTGACCCCACTAAAGGTGACCCCACTAAAGGTGACCCCACTAAAGGTGACCCCACTAAAGGTGACCCCACCGTTCAGGAAGCTACGACAGAACCCTCCGGATCTGGGATACGAACTGTGCGGGAGAGAACTGTGCACTGTTAGCTCAGCTACACGGACACACTGGGCACATCAACTCTATCGTGTTCAAGGGAAACGATACTCTCTACAGGTTGGTTAGGAGAACATGTTAACACTTAACAGACACTTTGCTCTGTTGTCATCCTCAGCTAGATAGATCTAAGTTCAGTTAAGCTCGAATTTTATCTAGATGTATATTAAAGTATTAAGAATATAGTGAAATGAAGAGCAGAGAGGGTGCTTAAATCCACAATTTCAGTGGTGACAGTAAAGGTCAGATTATTGAGTGGAATGGAGGGGGCTCAGCCTGGTCACAGTCCGAAACAGTGCAACCTCCTGAACTAAAGGTTTATTTAGTAATTTTAAGGCTGAATTGTCGTAAACTTGTGTTTCAGACTTCTTTAAGTCTTTAGAATCTTCAACAGTATTTCCATTTTCCACTCTTCATGCCTCTATGAGACCTGAACCCAGCTGATACCACTCATCTTCAGGACGTGCCTATCTCGGTGTTACTGCTGCATCCCAACAAACGGAGAATGTTTGTTCAGTCACGTGACAGTCACGTGAGACTGGTGGATCTGAGGATCAGGGCGGTTACTCAGCGCTACACTGGCCACACCAATACGAGGGAGTACATCCGGGTTAGTGGAACTGTTATCTTGGTGTGTCTGTAGAATAGACAATTTTGAGACTTTTACTTTCTTGAATCAAATATCCAATTGAACAAATGCTATGGTAGCTTCTTCTGCATACATTGAAACTGTCCTTGACGTTATGGTTTGTCTATTAACCTACTATATTTCATGTGCATTGTAAAAGTATATATATATATATATATATATATATATATATATATATATATATATATATATATATATATATATATATATATATATATATATATTATCAGTTAGCCACAACTATCAGTAAAACAACGCCTTGACTTCAAATGTCGGTAAAATGTACCTTTACAGTCATCCTGATATAAAGACATGTTAGTAAATTTATTCAAAATATCAATCCATCAATCAATCAAATAAAAGAAATTTAAAATTTAGAAATTTATGTAACTCAGCAATTCAAGTTATGGTGGGTTGAAATCCCAAAAGAGTGGTAGAGGTGAGAAAATAAAATATGCAAGAAGAAAATCATCTTTCTTCTCTAACGTTCATCCCTCCAAAGTGCTTTAAAGGACGTCCTAAAAGGACGAAACACTGTGTCTATGGATATATATATATATATTATTAGTTAGCCACAACTATCAGTAAAACAACGCCTTGACTAATATATATATATATCCATAGACACAGTGTTTCGTCCTATTAGGACTCATCAGTATGGCTCAAATCACCAGGGTTGGTTTTTGCTGATGGCGGGTATCGATCCGGCAACCTTCGATTACTGGCTCGAAACCACGCCACTGAGCTACCAAGCCCCTAATGATGAGGGAATTACATAGGTACCAGACTGCTCTACAAACTCATTACATATATATATATATATATATAGTATGTATACTTATAGCTGTTCCTTCAGTGTTCGGTATCACCCTGTGGTACATATCTCTTATCTGCATCTGAAGATGGTAACGTCTTTGTCTGGCTCGTAGAAACTGGTACGTCACTACGTATTTTACGTTGTAAACTATGGTGAAATAATTTGAATCGGTCGTTAAAACAAACTATTACAATATTTAGTTATACGCTTTTGTAGCCGTGCCTCTAGATTATTGGGAAAAGTTTTGTTGTTCACTTGTTCTGCTGCGTCTAAGAACTAGAACTCCCCTTAATCTTGTTTAATTTTTTCACATCTTCACCCCAAAGTTCCTCAACAGTATTCTACAACATCCACAAGACTTGTAACAATTCCCTAATACTTTCAGGGGAGCTGAGTTACACCTACAAACTGGGTCTCCCACACAGCACATCTGACGTCAAGTTTCATCCTCATGATAATTTTGTGGCCATCTCCGCATTTGGATCCTCTCTCTCTGTTCAGTTTTACAACAGACAGGATACTGTCCAGGAGCTGGCAAATGTTCCTGGTGAGGGTGAAGATTTAGTGTTGGTTCGTCAACAATTTTTTGATTCAAAATTCCGAACTTCGAAGAACTCCAAAATGCAATCAAGTAATTTTCTTAATCTATAAAGTTAACGATCTAGTTGCAGGGGCTGGTATGAAGATGGAGGTGATTAAAGAGAAGCTGCTGACTGTCTCACCCTCTAAAGGAAGTCTTAACGGTAATTCTAGTAAGATTTCAGTTTAATATTTCGACTGTGATCTGTGAGATCGATACTCACTCTAAATATTTTAGATAATGAACCGATTCTACCTGTTTTCATCTGATCGTATTATAATTTTCTGCAAACCTAGAATTTCCCACTCATGTGGTTTAATGAACAAAAATAAAACAATTGTATCTAACCCGTAAGAACCTGCAGCTGCTCTAGCAGAGACGAGAAACAAGCTGAAACTACCCGGTGACAAGAGCGGTCTGGTTCAGAGCACACCCATTAACCCTGGTATGTCTATCACCCTGACTCCTGGTATAGCGCAGATATCAGGCCTTCCTCGGGATAACTTCATCAAGGTAAGAACTGAAAATGCCACGTGATACCATACCCTGATACTCTGCAATTTTTGATACTTTCCAACGCTCAACTTAAATGCAGACTAGTTCTTCTTTCTAATATATTTCGTATATTTGTAAGATTTTAATTCTATTTTTCCGTAAGAAAGTTGATCCGAAATGAGTTGCTCAATGTGATTATATTGTCGACAGACTCAGCTGGTTCGAATTCGGTCTGGTTTGTGACGATGTTTACTTTTTACTCTCCCAGTTACGAGTATTGCACGACTACGCTGCTCAGCGTAGTGATGAGATAGGACTGAGGGCTGGAGAGTTTGTTAAACTAGTATACATGGACACTGACGGGTGAGGGATATTATTGTTTCCGGTACAATTTATTAGAGAGAATATCTTACCACTTTTAAGATTGGTCCACATCAGCATTCAGCGTTGTATATGAACGTTCCTAGCAAAACAGTCATCATTACTTTGGTATTTTCAGATGGTGGGTAGGGGAGAACAAGGCCGGACAACAGGGCTACTTTCCTGCCAACCACGTGGACCAGCCGACCCCCGCTCAGTCCCTCCCTTTCAAGTCACTCAATAACTCTACTCTACAGCAGACTGCTTCTACTCCTAGAGCTAGACGAAGTGAGATTCCTTGCGAGTTATTTTATCTCTAGTTAGAATGCTCCGAGAATGTTTCATCAGTGATATTGAATTATTTGATAAGTATAAAAACCTTATACTTATTTTTAAATTAACATGCTCTGTTTCAGAGATTGATTTCAATATGTCGCTTACGAACGGAGAAAAAGAGTGGCAAACATTCGACTCTACAATGCAGTGAGTAGCACTAACAAATTGTGGAAATGTTTCAAACTTTCCTTAGTTTCGTGTCTTGGTGCTTTCAGCTGCCGGCTGCCACTTGCAGAGGAAATTATATAAATTGTATTCCTTTAACATTGGATGTAAGTATTATTGATATTTTGCATCTGTTATTTGCTTCTCCCTCGTTATTTCATACCACTATCTCAGTGTGCAGACAACAAGGTCCCCTGGTAACTTATCTCCAAGAATGTCAGATAACGAGAGTTTAGCTTCCTCAACCAGGTCCGCTTCAAGGAGACGACATACCTCTGGTAAATAGATATTTTGTTTATTGTTCAACCCATGCATATTGCAATTACCGTGTATTTCTCAATTCCCCATTCAAAGATGGTATTCTTGGATTTAACTGTATATCCCTGCTTTTTTATTACCTTCTAGAATAGATGACTTGAATCTTGATATTACACACGTCATCCATACATATTATCATCATTTTACCATTTACAGTAATTTAATTTCACGCGGACTCTTCAAGATCAGTACCGTACGTTATTAACACCACCGTCTTCTCAGCTAAAGTGGGTGCTGGATCAGATAGAGAGGGATGATAACCAAGAGAGAATACCCCTCCACATTCCTCCTCATCCTGTGCTACAAGTCATCTTAATCCTGACTCATCTCGACCTCTCATTGTTATCGAATAGACAGATGTAGTATCTAGAGACCAGCTCAGCACCAGACATTCCAACCATGATATTGATATTTTGAGTGGCTGGCTATTAATATCCCTCCTCCATTATAATATCTCCTCTTCTCTAAGATATTATCCCACAGAACACAGAGTCTCGTTAGAGAGAGAACTGCTCCGCAGCTCGGCACATTGTTCACAAGCCCATAATGTGTTGCCATTTGGTAGGATCATGACGCCGCCTACACACCAACCATCATAAACACAGTTCAGGAACGATTAATTAGTTCCTTTAGGTTAGCCCGCAGTACATCCTGCTAACCAGCATATTGGCGCCCATTTTCCGCTCCAGCTTAGTGTAGCTCAAGACTACTATCTTTATTTCACATCAGTGGCTTGTATTATGATTATAGAGTACAATGTGAGGCCCTTCGTCATGTTGTGTTCCAAGTACATCAGGTCTCTTACCGGCTTTACCAGGTGGCACTCATGATGACTCACCTGATCTGAACACGCACGCACGCACACACGCACACACCCACACACCCACACACCCACACACCCACACACCCACACACCCACACACACACACACACACACACACACACACACACACACACACACACACACACACACACACACACACACACACACACACACACACACACACACACACACACACACACACACACACACACACACACACACACACACACACACACACACACACACACACACACACACACACACACACACACACACACACACACACACACACACACACACACACACACACACACACACACACACTGCAACTGATCTCCGTTCAGTTCCACTATATATCTGTGTTTAATGACTGATCCTAAGCGGTCTTGTAATATCGGATTGATATTTTACTGAGCCGTTATATTTCTTGGAAAATGTAAAATCGGATTGATCTTTTCTTGGGAGTATAATGACCATTTTGACCATTGTTAAGAAGAGTAGATTGACGGCTAATCCCGGACCACTCCTTTGTGATGACAAGAGTAATGCTTATACCAGCTGTGCATTTTTCTGTATAATGTTATTTATGTATTATATTTATGTGTGATTATGCTTTTTTGTAACATTATATTTAGTGCGGGATGTGTAAATTGTCACACATTTTATTTTTTATTTTCACATTTATTTATTGTTACAATATGCGATGAATTTGTTTGTCATAGATTTTACAGTACTGATTTATTATTATTTATAACCAGAAACAGAATAGTTTATTTTTATGTTGGAAACAGTATTTAATTATGGTTGTTGTAAAACTGCGGGTTAACTTAGTCTGACATGTGATTAAAGACGTTATACTTTCGGAAGTTATTGAAGCCAAAATATGGCTGTATCGGAAAATTAATCGGAACAGGCCAAATGAGGTTGGTAATGGCCCTACAGTACACACAGAACACAGAAGCTGTTTTCGTTTAATTCTACGCAGGCAACCCATGATTTCCCGGTAAAGTCATAATATAACTGGACTAAGTTTAGCAAATCATTATTTTGAAAATTATTTGGCAGCCGCGGTGAAATATTTTCGAGTTCGAATGTCACGTGACCTCACGATCTATCGTGTATCAGGTAGAACATCAGTCTGCAGTTGGTGTGAGAGAGATACGATCGTGTTGCACACTTTTGTGGTATTAATAATGTTATAGTAAAACTTACGAGTAATACGATTGCTTTGTCAATTGTCCAAAATAATTTAATTTTTAGTGTGCAGTATCGGATTCGATCACAATGTATAAACTATTAATTACCGTGTATATTGTGCAAAATTAAAAATATATTGTAATTTATACAATACATGGACAAAATACATTGAAATATACACACTATATTATAATATATACAATATATTATAATGTATATAATTTGCAAGCGCTTCATTGGAGACTTCAATACACTAATTAGATTGCCTATATTGTTTCGCTGTGCTTGTTTTTGTGTGTAATAAGCACTTTTATAACTCAGTTTTACTATAATAGTATAAGTACTTGTGTTGTACATTTCTAATTGTACTTATTCTTACTGGGCCGCGCTCAGCCTGTCATTCCGCCAAATCTTTAATGTTTATGAACATAATAGCCTGGGGTCCCCAGGTAATACTTATTCTTGTCATTTATGTGCCGTTTGATGTATTCTGTACACTTTTGTTGTTTAATGTACAGTTCATTTCGTTTATATATTGGTAAATGAATAGTTCGTGTAGTTTACATGTTGTTAAATGTATAGTTAAGTTGTTTAACATATAGCCTAAAGTATAGTTAAGTTGTTTAACATATAGCCTAGTAATGTATAGTTAAGTTGTTTAACATATAGCCTAGTAATGTATAGTTAAGTTGTTTAACATATAGCCTAGTAATGTATAGTTAAGTTGTTTAACATATAGCCTAATGTATAGTTAGGTTGTTTAACATATAGCCTAGTAATGTATAGTTAAGTTGTTTAACATATAGCCTAGTAATGTATAGTTAAGTTGTTTAACATATAGCCTAGTAATGTATAGTTAAGTTGTTTAACATATAGCCTAGTAATGTATAGTTAAGTTGTTTAACATATAGCCTAGTAATGTATAGTTAAGTTGTTTAACATATAGCCTAGTAATGTATAGTTAAGTTGTTTAACATATAGCCTAATGTATAGTTAAGTTGTTTAACATATAGCCTAATGTATAGTTAAGTTGTTTAACATATAGCCTAGTAATGTATAGTTAAGTTGTTTAACATATAGCCTAATGTATAGTTAAGTTGTTTTACATATAACCTAAAGTATAGTTAAGTTGTTTAACATATAGCCTAGTAATGTATAGTTAAGTTGTTTAACATATAGCCTAGTAATGTATAGTTAAGTTGCTAATATCGTATAGTTGAGCCGGTGCTTGGTTACCTGCTTATTATAATTTATAGTCTACATTGTAGTATAGTTTGCTCTCGAGGGAGTGTGTGGTTATTATAATGTCTTTCTTTCTACGAGAGCAGAGTAGAGAGCGTCGCTGTAGTTTTATTGTTGGAGAACGTGTAAGGTAAATGTGTACAGTTTGCACATCATGGTCATTGATCATGTGATATGTATATGCAGGCAGATTTAATCGATAAAAATTGCGGTTGTGCTATGATCACGACGTTGAAATTGCTAAATGCTTAAATGCTACTTTTTCTGTTAAATTAGAGATTGTTTAGCCAGCCTTGTGTTTTTCCCTGCTGACATTTGTTATGCATACCCAAACAAATGGGTTGTGGGTTTCAGTAGTTTATCTATTGTCGCATAACTTAGATACTCATTTGCCTGTATCTAGGCTATTAGAGGTTTGTGTCATATAGTTACTATTTCTTGATCCATCGTTTATAGTCGTGTAAGCTGGATGCAGCTTCAATTCGTTGTTATTAATTAAGTTTGTTTGCAAGAAGTTGGCCAGAAGTCTTCGTTTCTCTAATCTCATACTCTCATAACAACAAACATAAAATATCCATATCATTGTAACTAAACACCTTACGAGACATATTTATATTCGACATAATTCCGGTGACCTTAATGATTTGGGAACGAAAATATGGGATTTTTTTCCGAAGACCACCGCATTTCATACCCCAAATTAAATCATGGTATTTGGGGATTTTTTTCATTTCTTTATTTTACAAAAATAAAACCCAATATTTGAGAAAATCAATTAAATAAAACATGAAATTTGAAAAATTACAAGTCAATTTCTTCTTGATTATCTTGATCTCCTGGTTCACTGTTCAGGGACGTTTCTCTCTCCAGTGAGTCCCAGGTGTAGGCACCTCTAACAAGCGGTTTCATCTTATAAAAAGTTTTTCCAGCGCCTTTGAAAGTTAGTTTTAACTTGACTTCCGATCCTCCAGACGGAATAGGAGACCGCCGGTGTTTTTTATCCTCCACCACTCCCGAAATTTCTTAAAATAAGTTTTAAAGCAATTCCTGATCGAATACTAGTGTTCATTTGTCAGATGCATCATATTTATAACTTACTATATTGATATAGTAAATCGACAGTCATAATTAAAGAAAATTTCGTACCTTTTAAATATGTCTCATAAGGTATCTAGTATCTACCTTATCGACTTCACTGTGACTTGATATCATCAATTGACATACTACAAACTAGAAAAGAAAAATAATCAATCCCCCACGTACGCACGGTTACAAAGACCACGTGACACACTCCCACCACCACGTGGCTCACTCCCACACCACGTGACACACACGCAATGATACAGCTACAATCCGTGAGGTGAATAATCCCCATGAGCTGTATGAGTACTCAACACGGCTTAGTGTCACTATGCTCCGTTATTTAATATGTTACACTCCATCACTCCATCTACAATCTGCATGTGCATGTGTGTGTGAGCTGTCCCTCTACTTGGAGAGGAGGAGAAGGATCGGTCCGCGGGTTACAAACACATACGCAGATTTTCTTACACTTTCGTTTGCTATAATCCCGTGAGATCAACGATCATCACGGAGAGGCTGAGTCTTTCGGTAAACACTTGTGAGGTAATTAGAGCAATTTTTGAGTGATTAACTAGTAATTAAGCGATTAATTATCGTAATTACGAGCGGTCTATCGCACCGTGCAGTGCTCGTTAGTTTCACGACCAGATAGCTCGTGCATGTGTAGAAGAGGAGAGATTAGTAGTACACTGTTGTTGAGTGCATTATATTCTGCTTGCTTGCTTTCTCACAAGCACGCCATTCGTCTGTTGGACTTTTTTCTACGTTTTCTACATTAGCGTTATTCGTGTAGCGTCTTTTTTACTTTGATATAATAAGGAATAATGAATAATATGTAGTTTTAGAGAATCACGACAGTCAACAAGGCTACTAGCTATAAATACAATTTGACTGTAAACAGTCTGTCCATCATTTTCCTTTCAGCTTATAATATGTGTAAACTTAGTCTACTAATTTCAAAACTGAATTTACTGTGCGTGTGTTTGTGTGTGTCTGTGCATAAACACACCACACAGTCTAAAACGAGTTCTGATAACAAGTTCTGTTCGTAGTAAATGTTGAGGAAGAAACACCAACCCACTTCAGTTATCCTTCAACTCTGAAGTCACTCTATTTGAGTCGTTCCTGATCCGGCAAGGTGTAAGTTTAAGGGTCAATCTGAAAGTTGATCTGTCTTCCGAACCTTCTGAAGATCATGCTAGTACCAGTGCCACTTTGAAAGTGGCAGTGTTTCCTTCTTCATCCAAATCAGATGAGACCTGTGATATTCCGAAGAGTGCTAATGGTACCCAGATGAATACTAATGATACCCAAAATATCACTGCTAATGCCTCCACAAGCAGTGACCATGCCTCCACGAGCTGTGCTCATGACACCCTACAGAGTGCTGATGCTTCCACGTACAGTACTGTCGAGACAACTGCAGTGCCAGCCACCAGGCAGGGTATCATCAAGAAGCGTCCATCTAGTTCATTAAAGCAGAAAAGCACTCGCTCTTCACTCAAGAACGGCAAAATGAAAGTTAAACACTCCAAATTAGAGTCAAACGAACTGAACAGAACACCCCCACAAGATACTCCCTCAAGTACAATCCTAAAACCTTCAACCACCACCCCCACTACCAACCCAGCCCCAAAACCCCACCACAGACCCGTCTCAGTTCACTTCAGCAGTCCGACCTGCACTACCTTCAGTGAGCCAGCCCTGCACCTGACTGCTCCAGTAGAGCTTGATAACATCAAGTGTGATGCGGAAACTCAGACAAACTCCCGGGGGAAGAGACGGAGGAAGAAAAGTGAGTGCTGCATGGCCGTGTGCTTGTAACGATGTGTAACCATGTGTAACCATGTGTAACCAATATGAGTAACCATGTGTTACCATGAGTATAAACCATTTGTATTGTGTAACCATGTGTAACCATGTGTAACAAATATGTGTAACCACATGTTACCATGAGTAACCATGTGCTACTGCTACTGCTAGTGCTACATGAATGTGCATTTTGACTGTTTGTGTCAACGTGGTATTCTATTTTAGTGATTGTGACTTTTGCATGATACGTTTATAGTTTTGTATACGATTCTTATGCCATGAATATGATTTATCTGCTGTTTTACGAGCTCTGCATGTTTGTGTGACCATACTTTGCTCATGAACTGGTTGTTGGATTTGCTCAACTGGTTGTTGGATTTGAGTACTGGGTTTTAAATTTCTTCAACAAATTGTTATCATTTGCGATTTCCATTTTGTCCCGAGTCTAACTGATAACAGTAAATTGATCAGGCTCCTGCCTGATGTTAACGGAAATAGTTGTTGCAATGATTGGACGGGACCCAGAAAAATGAAATTAGAACCGTGTCTGATGTCCTTATCATCAAACATTTTAATTTTCCGATAAGTTTCGAGTTACGCTCAATATTGTTTATCCGCTGTTTATCCGCATGGTTTGTGTCGATCATACTCATAACGTTTGATTCTTTCCTATTACCTAATCTATAAGTTGATATTTTGGATTTCTGTCTACTTAAAATGTCACTATCTTCGTACGGTAAAAGGTAAAAGGGTCATTTGAAAATGTATACCAATTTTATTAGAGAAACCATATCACTTAACGAATCATGGTTTGATAATCTAACTTGGCTGGCAATCTCTAAAAAGCATTTCTGGTAACCATCGACCGATGCGAACATATAGCACTTATATTACTTATTTTACTTATTGAACAATATCACTTACTAAACAATAGTGCATCATTGTATGAGAGCTACATCTGGTGGTACCATTGTAAAAGATTACACTATTGAATCTGGTACACAAAAGTATAAATAGTATATACGTGATGTAGGTGTACAATAGTATAAATAGAAAATAAACTTAACAGGCTCTCGTAAAGTCATTCGTCGAAGCTTGTTAAAACTCCCAAGTTAAAAACTCCTAAGAACCCATTATACCGCCCCTTAAAGTTATATTTAGCAACACATCGTCACCCCACTTTCAGCCCACAACAACAGCGCGCGCGGCGTGCGAGTGTGACGTGACAACAGATGTTCAACAAACACTCCACCTCTCTCCCTTTGTTTCGGTGAGGGTGTGGTCACTTACAGGGAGGGTTAGAGCCATGATGGTCGGTTTAGCTCTGTTTTACATGTGTGTGTGTGTGAGATACACTCCACCCCCAGTCTGGCTCGAGACACCTGTCAGGTTGTTGTAGGGGTTTCTGTCAGATTGTGAGTTGTCGGAGGGTGGTGGTACCTTGTTGTATCATTGGTCGTTGGTAACCGTTCCGTCCGCATGAGAAGTAGTCTAAGATCGTATTGTTTTCATTCGCATATGAACTAATTTTATTAGTAATAACAACTTATTTATACCTTTCTAATGTATCCGTTTTTTTATTGGACTGAAATTTCATTCGTGTATTTTAGTTTCAGTGCCGTCGATTGTCAATCGTTTTTTAAAAGTTTTTAGCATCAAGGTTCACAATTTATACAGAGCCCTTTCTTATGATCCAACACTTAGCAACTTAACGTGGACACTTATCATTACACATTTTCCTGGTACACAATTTAATCTCTAAAATTTAATTGATCTTAAACAATAGAGAGTATATTATATAGCAGCCCACTTACAATTACACACACTGTGAGCCAACCCTCTCATGTCTGACAATAGGAAACCTTGCTATACAACCCAATTATATTGTGATGACGTGTGAACGTGGTTGACATGGCCGGATTGAGTTTATGCCAGACGTTGAGTGTGGTAACACAGAACACTTGGAGTGGCGGGTGTCGAATCTTTGGCTTTGTTTTAGGTTTGGATTGCTTTAGTTTGTTGTCTGGAGTTTGTTTAAAGACTTTTCAATCCGAGATTTTAAAATCGTACTGGGGGCCATCTTATACTTAGGACGTCCGCCAAAATCGCAGATTTTCAGACCACCCCTCCCCCATGTCCGGGTGTGTCCGAATTTTCAAAACCACCCCCCGCCCCCCCCCCCCCCCCCTCCCCCGGACGTCCGGATTTGCAGCTACTTTTAAGAGTACAAATAAAACCAACTCAAATTCATTGTTAATAAAATGTGTAGTTACTTAAAATAGACAATAATACATTTAGTGTCGAGCAAGTTTAGCACAGTTACATTTAAGTACTTAAGTAGCCGTCCAATCGAATAAGTTTTAAGGCTGTAGGAGAATATGCGAGTTGTGTCTCGGCTCTCATGAGCTGCTCTGGGAATCGTCTTCTCGTTCAAAATACAGGATCTAAAGTTAAACCTACAGAGTAATTATAGTGTCAAAGAGTTGAAATAAATGGTACTTTTTCGTTAATTCTGCCAAAATTTCCGGACGTCCGGATTTTCAGAAACCACCCTCCCCGGCCTGACCGGATTTGTCCGAAATTCAAAAACCACCCACCCCCTCCCCCCTTCCTATTTGCCGGACGTCCTAAGTAGATGGCCCCTAGGAGTTTTAATTATCCGTGCTCTATATTTTTCTGTTCAAGTTAAAATTGGGATTGTACTTTTTCAAAAGAGAACAGATTGCCTTACTCCAGTTTGGGTAACCTAGCATCCGATTATCAAGCATATTCCCTCCCCGAAATCCCTTTCACACATAGCCGATCATGTATAGAAATGTAAGTTGCTTAATATTATGTAAATGATCCCATATTCAGTACCGATTTCCCAATATATCTACACCACCTTGATAAAGCCATCTACTGATTGCTCCCCGTTATTATGAGTTATTGAATTTGCTTGTATGTCTACCTGCTTTCTCCCACAGTACTTAGCACCCGTCAGATCAATATATAGTAGATATAGTTGTTTTGATCTCGGATTGAGCTCTCAAAGACTTTTTAGTATGACAATTTAAAAGTTGGTCCTCCATTTGATATGCTGCTTGCTTGTATTAAGAGGAATCAACTGTTAATTCTTCTAGGTACACTTCTAGGTACACTGTACACTTGAGCAATAATTTATTTATTATTTAAATTAAATGGGTGCTGATTTTTCACAGTTTAAAGTGTGTGCAATACGAAAAGGGTCACTCAAGAAACCAGAGAGATTGCATCGTCCATAATCACAGTCAAATCGTGAACCACTATTGGTGCTAGCGAGTTTCACCCAGCGGCATGATTCAATCCGTTGCATCTTAATGTGTCTATATAGATGCCAACAGTTGTAAGGTTATCGTCTGTTTAGTACCAAAATCGCAAAGTTGCGCAAATGCCCACTGCCCATGTGAGATACAGGTCCTGTATTTCAGGCAGATTCCATGTTGTAATCCATCACATGAAGCTCTGCAACAGCAGCTCCTCTTGTAATGGTTACCTGACATAGACCTCATCATGATCCCCACTATGTGTCAGGACTGCAGATCTGCAGTGGGGCGTGGCTCTCGAGGAGAGTTAGGAGCATTATAGCGCATATTATTCAAGAATCAAGATGCGATGACGCTGCAGTGATTAATATAACTCGGGGTTCAATACACTATACAAGGTAGGTAATCGTGGTTTCATGATTTGGGGCTCATAAGGTCTAATAGTTGCCTCTGAGGAGGGCAGACTGGTCGGCTCAGAATGGGCACATAATGATCACAATTCATGCATAATTACGATAATAAATAGTATAACAAACTCAATTTACAAACTATACACTATATACAGAATACCATGTATATGCACTTACACACCAAAACACAATCGTACAATTCTAAAATTCACTTCCTCGCAAAAACACCACCTCACAGAAAATAACCAATAACATAGTATAAAATTACACACATGAACAACTTACTTATTATGCAAATTTAAGACGAGCTCACCGGCCCTCTCTCTCTCATAAATTACATCAACATAATATACTAAATATATCCAGTGTAAAACGTAACACAATAAAGCAGAGAGAGCTGCCTACCAATCCCCTAAATAACATGCCCCATTTCTGTTGAGGCATCTTGTGTAGTGTTATATTACATCTCGCTCTCAAGTCTTTGAGTGATAGAGCGTTGTTTGATTGTGTGTGAAGCTGTTTCAGTATATTGCGGCCGGCTAGTGTATAGATTGTTTACAGATCTGGTCAGTGGTACTGATGTAGCTGATCTGGGAGGTTTCTTCTTCTTCTTCTCCTTGGATGTGCGTTAAAGATCACGGTGAGAAACTTTGCTTATCTCTTCTTTTAGTGTGAAGGACATTTGTTTTGTTGTAGATAGTGTGAAGACCCGGAAATGGTGCCAATCATGACCGTGTATTGTATGCACTGTATATGTCTGTATACCTTAGTCGGTAATATTAAGGGGGGGGGGGGGGGGGGGTTAAATAATGGACTGTTATAAATATGGTTTTTTGGCCCGAAAAGAACCAAATTTGACCCCCATAATATTTCCGCCTAAGGTATCTCGTATAGTCTATAAACTGTACAAAATTGTATAAAGGATATTATATGCTCATACAGTGCTTTCAAACAGCTGACAATCGTATATTTAATACGAGGTGGGCCGTGCATGAAGCGGCACCTCCAACTCAATTTAGTGACTGCATCCTCAGGATAATTTCGCAACCATATATATATTGCGTAACACGGTGGGGTACTATTTGCACAAGATCACGTGACGTCATCACGTGACGTCATCACGTGACGTCACGCAGCTACTACCAGCTATCTGTTCTGTTAGATTGTATTGTCTGGTGTATTGTTGGATTTAGTACTGCTTTGTGTGGTTATACAGAGCCAATCATAGTGTCATCAGTGTATATACTCCCTGATACAGGATATTATTCACGATATTATAGCTGCTGTGCTGTTGCGTTATGTTGTTGTGAATTTGTAAAGCTAAAAGCAAATCTTCCTCGTCTTGATAAATGTTGTTAGGAGTGTCGGGATAGTTTTGAGTGTTTATGTTTGAAGCAATCTGGCTATTTGCCTGTAGTAATGTTATTAAAGAGAGGCATGACATCAAAAATGTTGCATCATCGAAATATTAAATGCTGGTATAACGGGTCGTTCACATATTACGTAATCAGCTGAGGGGGGGGGGGGGGGTAGTTTTCCGAATGATTACGCTAGTGTAATTTTGACACAATAGCTATATGTGTAAAACTGATTACAGAGGGGGGGGGGGGGGGGGTAAAAATGTTCCAAAAAATGATTACGTAATATGTGAACGACCCCTAAGGAATGTGCATGATCCGATGTTTCACATAGAGTTACATGTTTAATGTTTGTTCCTCCTTGAGTTGTGCTCTCCTTACAAATACAATTAATAGTCTCCAATGTTGTTTTTGTACAAATCGTCTCCGTACAAATCGTCTCCATACTGCCGCCTCTAGATCAGTCATCAAGTACAATTATGAAAGGTGGTTTCTAAAAATAGATCTTAATATTCACCTTTTTAAATCAGCAACACTTTGCCATTTTAAACTCATCTTACTTCAGCAAGTTTATCCCTTGTTCATTGTGTGCAAATTTATACATTAACGTCATCATTTCAGCCAATTATTACGAAATCCCCTCCCCTAGGATCCTAACGTTACATGTGAACCAATTATACACTAAATTTAAACACTGTGTAGTGTGCACATTGTACAAATTACAATATAAGGTATACATCCGGATGCTTTTGAAAGAACATGATTGAAAGTTGGCACTAGCCGCCATAGTGCCTCGAGAGTGCCACGGGAGTGCCTCGAGAGTGCCGCGACAGTGCCATCGGGATCCGGATGTATGACCCAATATAATAAATCGTACGGTAATATTACTATAAAAAAAAGTAGACCACACTCCACATCACAAGTGTACACCTATAACGGATACCTTATGTAAGTGTGGAATTTTAAGTGACCTCTTGGAAATTAATCCCGCACATCAGCCATTTTGCAATCCTTTTATCGACGTTGATGTTGAACTGTAGTAACTGTGAGATTGTAGTCAAATTTTCCTTGCTGTGTTTTTGATACAGCAATAAAAGCTCCACAAACTTTCGCACTTTCACTTGATTGCTGATCTTGATTCTCGCTCATCGCATGGCGTCTGTGGCATCTTGTGTGGCAAAATTTGACTTCAAAAATGGAACTTCAATAACATTAACTCAACGTTAGTAGCAACTCCAAATATGTACATCATTAAGGGGGCATACCCCAAATCTGTCCAGACCTAATGACCTCATAGGCAGTTCAGTGACCTTCTAGCGCACCGTTTCCACACAAAAAAAAATTATTTTGAGAATTCCCATTTTTGTAATCGACCATTTCCTGGTTAAGAGTGCAATTTTCGGAAAAAATTATTTTGTGGTTGAGACGCTATAAGTTAATCATTTCTTGCGGTATCGGGTTGAAATTTTGCTCGCCGTTTATTCACATCTATGTCAAGGTGTGTGTAAAATCTTGATATCGTATCTAAAAAGGCTGGTGTGTTATGAATTTTTAAAGTCAAAAAGCTAAAATTGTCCTTTTCAGGCTTATTTTAACAATAAGTCAGTCAGGGAAGATCGGATTATTTGATACTTGACATCAAATTGTTCTCTGAATTCTGGCGCAGTTTTTGATGCCCTCAAAAATGTTTTTACTCATTCACCTTCTGATCTATTGGACCTCAAAGCCAAACAACAAATTTAGGCACATTTTTCGTTTTTAATATTTACTGATTTTTCTAAAATTTTGATAGGAATGTGCTAGTGACTTTTTGAAGGGTGCAAAATAACCGCAACTAGCACATTTATATATAAGTTATGAACAACAAAACACCCTAAAATGCTTCCCTTTGAAGTTATGGGAGAAAATGTGATTTTTTATCTGCAAAGCCAAAAAATCACATTTTCTCCCATAACTTCAAAGGGAAGCATTTTAGGGTGTTTTGTTGTTCATAACTCATATATAAATGTGCTAGTTGCGGTTATTTTGCTCCCTTCAAAAAGTCACTAGCACATTCCTATCAAAATTTTAGAAAAATCAGTAAATATTAAAAACGAAAAATGTGCCTAAATTTGTTGTTTGGCTTTGAGGTCCAATAGATCAGAAGGTGAATGAGTAAAAACATTTTTGAGGGCATCAAAAACTGCGCCAGAATTCAGAGAACAATTTGATGTCAAGTATCAAATAATCCGATCTTCTCTGACTGACTTATTGTTAAAATAAGCCTGAAAAGGACAATTTTAGCTTTTTGACTTTAAAAATTCATAACACACCAGCCTTTTTAGATACGATATCAAGATTTTACACACACCTTGACATAGATGTGAATAAACGGCGAGCAAAATTTCAACCCGATACCGCAAGAAATGATTAACTTATAGCGTCTCAACCACAAAATAATTTTTTCCGAAAATTGCACTCTTAACCAGGAAATGGTCGATTACAAAAATGGGAATTCTCAAAATAATTTTTTTTGTGTGGAAACGGTGCGCTAGAAGGTCACTGAACTGCCTATGAGGTCATTTGGTCTGGACGGCACAAACCACTGTTTTGGGGTATGCCCCCTTAATTAGTCCCGAAAAAGAAATAAATTAAAGAAATGAACTTTCCTCAGTATTGTAATACAAGTAGCTGGTTTATATGCTGGGCAAACACTAAACACAATAACTGTAAATCCTCCTCGTTAGTTAAAAGTTTTAATTTAATGTAGTTTGAGGAGTCCTCACTCTCCTCACGTCCAACAATGACGGTTCTCTTGTCGCTAATATAATAGCTGGCGGTGCTTAAGCTTCTGCACCTTCATTAACATTTCTAGCTGGTCATGCTCCTACCGCTCCTACCGCTCGTGTTATCAATGATCCTTTTGCAAAATTTCCCTTCAATTTCATTCCAACAATCAAGGAAGCTGTTTAAAAAACTCGCCGATTTATAAGTTTATTTAGTTTATGTAAACTAACAAGCTCCCTTTTTATTTTAAGGATGCTGTAGATGGATGCTCGCAGCAACACTGAGGTCGTGTTTCGGCCCCTGTTTTAAGAGACTCGGCACACCGTCAGGCTATGATAGCATCGAAGAGTCTCCAAGGGCCGGAGATTTAGATAGTCTCAACGGAATATCAAATCCAGGTAGATTTCTACTCTTATTATCTGAATTGGTTGATTGTTTGATTATTGCTATAGCTTCACCTCGATATTGCACAGTGTGCTCCAAGTATTGCATCCGTCTTTAAATTAGTGGTCTGCTAATAAATTAATTTGCAATATTATTTGTGGTAGGTCGCCGAGATAACGGATACGACACAGTGGAACCACCATTCCAGACACATGGCCTAGATTACAGATCTAAATCTACCAGCGAAATCTTCAGAAGGTTTGTTCGTAAATCCCCGATTATCAACAATGATGGCTCCAACTGTAGCTCTCCAATATAATTTGTATAAGAAGAGGATTATAAGTATAATTTAATTAAGTAATTCTTGATAACTATTCCATTTTAAGCATATAAAACCGTATTTCAGTACCGATTACTACTATGCTAACGACTTCATGAAGCCAGACAAAAGATCATTTAGCGCCAGTTTTGGGTATCTGAATGATACCGATTTGTTTGAGACCCTCTCCCAAGGGATGAGGAGTACCCTTACCTCCGCCAACGACCTCAGGTATTTTACTATCCTTATTCTATCTTTATAATTCTGTCTGAGATTACTATGTTTACACCTACCTTACTCTTCTCATGAATTAACGATTTAATTTTACAGCTGTTACCTCAGTAAAACCACAGTATATCTTACAAATCGTCGCCTTCAAAATTCAAATTTTACAGCAACTAACTTATATCAGAAATTAAATAAATCCTAAATCCAATTCCAAATACGACGATATCATGATCTTATATTTTAGGTCAGACGTGAGCGAAGCATTCTGGAGTTGCAGAGGTAGCAATAGTACGAGAGGTAGTACTTGTTTAGATAGCGAGCAGGACTTTTACAGCGACGATTCAGAGGAACCTCACAAGGTACAGGGAGGGTAATATCTGATGTGATATTATCTGGTTGTAATATCTGATGTGATAATATCTGGTTGTTATATCTGATGTGATACTATCTGGGATTGTAATATCTGGATAGGAGCATTATTTATTGTGCTGAAGTATTGACCCTAGTTTCAGTCTTCACATACTGTCTTTTATAGTCGTTTTTAGTATTTATTGGTGTAGATATAGTGGTGCTGGGGACTTGGCACAAGTTTTATTATCATACTTGACTCTGAATAACCTAGCAGCTGACAGTATCGACCAATCAAATCGTCGAATCATATACATGTACCAAAACAAACTTGTGCCACATCCCCAATTCCCATGAAGGTCCACAGCGTGACCTTGTAATACCTACCATTTCATGTTTAACTTATTACCTAATCCTCAAATGCATTGCAGGAGTACACAGTGCGGCCCGTCTGTGAGAACTGTGGCTGTGCTGGTAAACACCACACTTACGACGAACACGACAAGTGTAATTGGAGAGAAACGTCATTAACTAGCAGCCTTCCCATTCCTAAGAGTCAGAAATGGATTCAACTGGATTAGAGGCACGGATGGGAATTTAGTATTTGTTAATTGATCTAGTCAGATGGTGGACATGTGTTCAATTTTCTATCAGATTTTAGAATGGGGTGAAGATATGGAAAAGATGTAAAATATTCGCAGAGCGACTGATCTAAGTTGGAATTCTACCTGATCTAGCGATTCAAGACAATTTGAATTATTATACTTACACAATGATTCTTTGTGATATTTTGATATGAACTGAGTTTAAATCTCTTTCTAGACTCTAATGTATATTTCCGTGCGCAGTCATTATCCTGGTAAACGTATAATAAAAGAATAAACGCCCATTTTACTATAAAACATTCTTTGTAAACTTTTATAGCGGGCCCAACCTGGCCCCTCGCTATTGGTATGTTATAAGTTATTTGTCATAAAATTTCTGCTATCAATTGTTTTAATATAACGAGGACAATTTTTGGACATTGTCAGACTTTGAGTGAACCTTGTTTTTATGTAGAATATTCTATTTAATGCTATTTTTAACTTGTTTCGTTTCCACTCACGATATGGGATGTGTACTTTGTTGCTACGTGAAACTATAAATTTTACCAAAAATTATAAAGAATCTTTCGCCGGCTTCATTATTAATGACCTCAAATTTGCTAAACACCCACCCTATAATATAACTTGTAACTTACATGAACAACTTATATAGTCTTGACCACGCCTTTTATTGCTCAACAATCAGATGTTAAGGCACAAACCTCTGCCTTGAAGCATGCTTTTAAATAGTCGATTGGCGACAAATACTTAACCTAATATTAAAGCTACGACGCCCTGTTTATCAGCTCTCACTGTACCACTCCATGACAAAGACGTCCCGCTAAATTAACCTCACTAAAAAGCCGTCATCTTGTCTGTCACTTAGTGCTCTCTTCTTTATCTCCAGTACTGACCGTCTGGTGGCTTTAGTTTACGTCTAGACAAAAAGAAAAGCTCCACACCTGGCGACATTGTCTCACGTTGCAACTCAACCTGTCTCATGCGGCAGTGAGATGAGGGCGTTGGCAGAGGGCCGGATATCTACGAAACTAACGGTTGTTAGCCTCCCCTCCCAAGACAATGTGCTGATTCAAATTTTCTTGGGTATGAGGTTGGTTAATTTTGTCACACCCTTTTAGAACCGTCTCACCAAATTGAACATGATATCAAGAGATGAGAAATTGTATAAGCCTGACAATAACGTGATATCAGTCATCAGCACTGTTCAGCACAGTTGATCACAAAAGTTGTTTACCAAAATCTGTGAGTCATATCCTCTCCTTTCTATAAAGTATTTAAGTGGTTAAGTAAATTTTGATTGTTATGTGGACTTCAAAGAGAGAGAGGAGATAAGCTCAGAAGTGGAGGATTTGGTTTTGCATCAACAGATAAGGCATATTATTGACGTACCCGTGATCAATTTTAAGTGGCAAATCTCGTTGTACTCCTAGAAGGCGAACGGAGAAGCAAAATACGGAATACCACTGGTAGAGATTTCTGTTCGCAGTTTAACCCTAATATATAATGTTTAAATTAAATTAAAGAACGTACGTGCATTTGCCGCTAACTAATGTACTATCTCTACATCATAGAACATTTCGCGCGTTACATCCAAACAGCTGCGGTCGAAGCCTCAGAAAGTCGGACCTTTTCAAGGCCAACAGTGGATCCAGAGGGCAGAGACTAGAAAGAAAAGGTAAGTTCCGTTTTTCGCATATCAACGAAATTGTTATCATACTGACATTGACGCATGAAGGAAATTGAGACCCCAAAAGAAATGAAACTCGGGAATTGTGAAATATTTAATGTTTGCCAAACACTTTGTACAAGGAGACATTGCACACTTTCATCCGGTAAACAGCATGGTGTTAGAGTTCGGGGAATCATATTGAATAAAACATACAATAAAATGTAATATAATAAATCACATCACTTCAAATAGTCATTAATAATATTATTATTGTTATCAATCATTATTATATTTTAACAGGTCATATTTTAACAGTCGAATTAATAAATAAATATTAACTCAAATTAATCGTCAATGCATCTCTAGAATTTGGTTCAATAAAATTAAAGATTATCTGCAACCTTCGAAGGCAAGAAAAGTTCCATCCTTAGAAGTTAAATAAAGTTAAATGTTAATAAACTGTGAAATTGTCGGTTGAATTAATTGCAATGATAAATTCTATTTAGCCATTTATTCAAGAAATAGTCAATTAAGTCATCAAATCATAACTTTAAACAGAATATGGAAATTAAGGAATCAAATTCATCAAATTCATGCCTAGTATTCCAATCGTATTTCTAATTTCACCCAATGTTATTAAATATAAATGTGTTATCGTTATGTTGTTGCCAGATGACACAGATGATTGCACCCGGTGTATTATACCTAGAAATATTCAAAATGCTAAAATGGGCATAAAAAACAAGAAGAGGGAAAATTTTTGCAAGTTTCATAAAATAAGAACATAACTTCACAAGAACTTTTATACACTTGTTTAATACCAGGATTCAGGCATGCCTATTTGCTGATAATTCTGGCCATAATATGAGCAATACAGTGACCATGCGCATTTAATTTCTAGGACAAAGTAAATGTTTTGTAGCATTAAACATATAATTCTTCAAATTACAGTGTTTCTAAATATAGCCCCCATTGTAGCTAAACTTGCTTACCTCTTGATACTGGCCACTACTAGGAAGCCTGCAATTTGTGTACTGTTCTCTAATCATTGTACTATGCAGACGCACAACACCACACACACACACACACACACACACACACGCGTGCTTTAGGTCTGTACAGTAAATAGTATAGCGTACTCTAGCACACTCTACCGTTTACTGTTCTTATAACCCACACACACACACACACACACACACGCCACTGTGTACAGACATAACCCAACTATCCTGCCTCTTTTAAAGCTGCAATTAAATCCGGAAAGTCGGACGTGATTACACCCAATTAGAAAGCAAGCGGTCAGATCATTACTGTAATTGTGCACGATTTACTGTCCTTCTGTTCTTCTCTAACCAGCATGTCGCATAACCACGTGGTGCATCCCATCATCCAATTTGAGAAGGATCAGCTGCCCACGTGCACTCACCCACCCAATGACAGGCCAGCACGTGGGCACGTGACCGAGCACGTGACCTAGGGCGACAGGTAAATGAGTCAGTGAGTATGATGGGTGTGTGACAGCCACCAACACAGCACAACACATGTGGGAGAGCGTGTGTTTGAGGTGTACCAACTTGTTTATGGTGGTGTGTGGTGTATAATATAAACCAAGGTTTTATAACAACACCTGCTCAGTGCTCACTATTGAGTAGGGCTCCTTACTGGCTCCTTACTGGCTCCTTACTGGCTCCTTACTGGCTCCTTACTGGCTCCTTACCTGGCTCATTGTGAGTGTGTAACTGTGGTGCTCCTGTGGAAGTGTACTCATAGTGCACCCGTGCGAGAGTATAAAGCAAGTAAATATATACTTTCATTAGCTGCTCGCCACTAAACTTCAGGATCACGCACCTTAACACTTAGTTAAGGGACACTTCTTGAAATAAACATATCAAAGATATTTAACATTTATTTTGCCTGGCATTATCACAAAACTTTAGTCAAATCTCCACAGTCCAGAGTACGGTTTTTTCAAAATTTGTAGAAATTATCACAAAAAAGTCACACCCTTTAACTTTAGCTATAATAGCTCCTGATTCGCTTGAAACCAACCCGGTTTATTTGAAATATTGGCTCCGCCATGTCAAAAATTTAGCCAATAGAATTATAATGAGCCTGCTGAAATCTTATATAGTAATAATATGGGACAATTAGTTTTAAAGCACACAGATCATAATAATCACCAGCGCATTCAATTCGTCTAAATAATTTAACAATTTCTCACGTGCTTACACATGAAATGCTCCAAGGGAGGACGATCTATTTTATTTATTTACAAGCACTATAATTATATGTTGAATAATTTACTGCACGAGGAGAAATATCATCATTATTATTATTTTAAAAGCCTATATATTACAAGGGCACGGAGTCAAAACGCCGTCTCTCAATTCACTTTACAGCTAATAAAACATCGGTAGATAAAGTCCAGTATTAAAGGTTCACACAGCCATACCGCACGCACGCGCAGCCATGCCGCGCGCACGCACACCATGTTACCCTCAGCAGCAGGAAGCGGCCGGTTTGCTCTGCAAATTTTGGGTTGTGTTGATGTTTCTTATCAGAGTCGGATCCTTATCTACACACTCGGACATCTTATCGCAAATTATGTCAACTAGTTTGTCGAACGTTGCCTTGACGTGCTTGTCCTCCTTGGCGCTCGTCTCGAAGAACGGGAAGCCAAGCTCGTCAGCTAGCTGTTGTCCACGATCACAGGATACCACTCGCTGGTCTTCCATGTCACTCTTGTTTCCTACCAGCACTACCTGATTGGAGTAATTAGTGTAATTAAAACTAATTTAATGAGTGGAATGGAGTAATTACATACGAGAGATTAAAGCTGAGGATAAATTAATGATTTTATTCATGAGCGACGTCAGTATTCTCAGTAAGCAAAATATTTAGTTTCCTTTTAAAAGTTTAGATTTGAAGAATGGATTACCTGGGCGTTGTCCCAAGAGTATGTCTTGACTTGTGTTGACCTGGAAAGATAATTCAGTTAAATAATTGTGAATTACTTATAAATTATATTATATTATACTTATATTATCATAATATTATATATTATATTAAGATAAAGTTTCGAGAGTAGTGACCAAAACAAGACCATAAACACAACAAAAAGGTTAACTAAACAATAAACATGACATGTTACAGTACATAATTATAGTAAATACTTTATGATAGAAAAGTAGAATGATGCAGGTGGGGTGATTATTTAATGAACAAATGTTTATTACCCTCATAGAATACTGTTGAATATTTATTATTCCTTTCAGCAGCTTGACGGTCCAACAATTAATTCAACGACTAGATTGCAAGGTATAATATAATAGGTGAACAAATTTCTCTGTAAGAACAGATTCTTCAGAACTCAACCCTCTATCAGACAATAAGCACACTAGGGACTACTGGTGGAGGATGAATTCTCCGCATTCCTACAGCATCCTGTTCTGTTCATTATGCTGATTCCGGGAAGCATTCTCTTCACGCTCACATCATATTCAAGCACACTCGATATAATAAAAACCCCTGCAGTCACATCTGCATTAGCCTGCATGACGATCTACAGACAGTCGCGCAAAAAAGCTAATTCATCATCTGCAGCACAATGCTGCCGTCATGGTAGCACAATACCATCAGACTAGTAGGCGTGCGAGGCGTGTGATATGATATGATGATGACAAACTGATGCAATAAACAACACGAAAAACAATAGAAAAGTAAATGCTCTGACCTCACTTACCCCTACTAATACGTTATGGAGACAATACTTCAATTATATATAATCCGACAGAACGCACCGCCTAGGCACGTGTGTGTAATATTTTTGTGATATTTGTTATGTCCAGAGCAAGAAGTAAAGCGGATCTGCACTTAACAATACCATCATCAATGTAAGTTAAGTGACGACATGATTAAATAAACAATATTTATCTACTCAACGAACGTATTCGATCTGATTTCATGTACGCAATTATAAAAACATATCCGAGCAACACTGAGAGGCCAGTTTTTCTAGCACGGTTTGACTTACTTACTTAACTGCTTGATCATTTTGTTCAGTATTTCAATCAAAAGTTTCCATGAAGTTTCTAATACTTTTCCCGCTTGCTTTCATATTAGTTTCTAACAGTGAAACTTTGGAAGGAGAAGTCAATACTGATGTCAAAAGTAAGTGCGTTATAAGATTAGAAGTTACTCTTACGATAAAATAAATGGAAAGTAATTTGTTTTATAGTTTTGACTAGCTTAATTGATAAATACCACAGATATTCCCATTTCCCGTACTAGAGAAAACAGTCCCAACCTCCGTACACTGTGATATTATCTTAATAATTTTCATAAATTATGTAACAGTAATTCCTAAGGCGCTAACCTTTTACCCCAAATTACAGTAGAGAGGGTAGTGCTAGAGTGTAGTGCAATACACATCCTACACAGTGACTGCAGGTGTCTAAGTGAGCGGTTCATGTGGAACTACCACGGCCACATTTGCCTGGAACATGACTTTGGGATCCCAGGTAATTTCCCAGGTAATTTCCCAGACTAGACTAGACACTTTCAGTTCATCTTTTATACTGTATCAAAGTCAAAATGCAAGCACAGACATATGCAGTATGCACATTGTAGTACAATGATTGCACTGTCTAGACATGTTCACCGGAATTCATTCGCAGTCAATATTCGGAATACTTTGCTTGTGAATGCACTGTATTATAGCAATATTAGGGTGGAATTTAGTGTTTTTCCTTTGTTCGCTGCTTAGAATCAGAGTCAGATTATAATTAATTCAGGGCTGTTTACACTGTTGGCTGTGAAGCCGATCAATTTGAGATCAGTGCAGCATTAGCCTGTTTGAATAAGTTATGTGCACACCAATAATTAATTAATATTTAATAATTGTGCAACGTTTAGTCAACATCACAAATTACTGCACTCGAGATAATATGAATAATGAATATAATCATATTCCCCAATTAACGAGTGAGTAACTTAGTAAATTTAAACTGTATAATGTTTGTTACAACATTTTCTGATAATCATGACGTGATATTTGTTTCAGACGTCACGAAATGCCAGAAATACCGACATTACTGTGAATCACCCACGATGAAGAACAAGAAACGACAGAGTAAACACTGCTGCATGGCTATTATCTGCGAAATCTTGGTTAAAAACTGTCAATAGATTGATGTTGAAAATAACATAGAAGATTTTGTGAAAATAATAAAGATTTTGTAAGCCTATATTAAAATGTTGGTTTTCTTGTCTGTAACTATATCTGGCATTGTCTTACTTATACTGAAATAACAATTAGATCAGATTAAGGAATTGTCTCTTGTTATAGTTCCTTTAATAAAGCTACCTAACCATCATTTCTTACATTCACAGCTGTGACCAATTATTAACAACAATAGTATCTATTGCATTGCACTTTCTGTTTTCACATACTATCCAAGAAAAAAACTCTTTTAAAATTTCATTAACAAGTTTCTTTTATATTCCATAGCTCAGAACGTTATCAAGTTACACACTGCATATCAATCCCAAATTTCTAACCTCAGAATCATTATTATAAGTATAAACCACATGGTATGGACAGTTGATTACAGTTGTGTGTTTGTTTTTATTCGCATTGTTAACAAGCTTATCCGCAAGCTTGCGTTACTATTGAAAGCAATGATAAACTTGATACACTATAAAATATTTCAGTGAGTTCTTGATCCAGTGCCAAGTAAAGGTACAACATCAGGTAGCTCTTGCTCCATACCCTTACAAGAAAACACCGGCCAGTTCTAGGATACAGTCAACGGAACAAATTTCAACAAATTCTTGACACTTAGAACAGTAAAGAAAACAACTCCTTAGTCCCTGATACAGTGACCAGGGGAGAGTAAAAGAGAGATATTAGCTAATTAGTAATTATAGCTCCAGTATAGTGCACAGATAACTCAAGAGTTGTTGCTCCAGGTACCCTCCTCAATCCAATATCAGCCGCAGTTCATAACACACAGCACAGTAAACCCTAGTTAGTTCCTGACAATTTGCACAGAACCAGACAGTCCTTGGTCCACTGCACACATTACATAGTAAGGTAACTCCAGTGAGTCCCTCACACTCAGCACAATAGTAAACTCCAGTGTTGTGCGTTGTTGATCCAGATTCCAGGTACCCTCTTGAAGTTACTGTTGCGATATGTCGGCGGTGTAGTGGCGGTAAAAAGTGGGCCCTCTTGTGCAAGGGACAGTGGACACGGTTTGCGTGCGGTAACGGTTACAAGATGGCTAAAGTTAGGGCGGGTAAACTTTCTCATTCTGGACGAGTTTTTGAGTCTTGAAATGTACACTTGAAATATTAGGAATGTGAACTTGAAATATTAGGAATGTTAAAACTCTTTGTTTTGTATTCAAGCACAAGATCTCTCGAGACAGAATTCTCGAGTTTGAGAGTCGTATAATAATGTTTTATTCTAAAGAAATGACCACGAATACACAATTATGTCATCAACCATTGTAACGAAGTTTCCATATAATTTGTCTGGACAAGACCATCCTATCCTATCCGGATCATCTACAATATTAATGAAATGCCCCAACAGAGGATTATAACAGGTTATATAGGTAACGGTTTTCTCTCTTAATTAGATTTCGGACTTTGAATTTTTTTGTAGAAACGCCGATCTAACATTATTATACTGTAATATATAGATCTATCTTTGTAAACCTTGTAAACCTTGTATAGCTCTGTTATGTAGCTCTGTGTATTAAAGTAGAGGTTAGGAGAAGCTATACGCTAATTGTATACTATTCTCTGGGGATACGAGGTGTTGACATACAGATAACCTAATTATATACACTGCTGCTTGCTGCACTCTGGCACTGAGCACTGACCACTGAGCACTCAGCGTACTGCTTAACCCCGGAAATATGACCACAAATTTGGTGAATTTCTGTATCAAGATTATCATCCTTTCAAAAAAAAGCACGGAATATTTAATCGATTTCAGTCTTATCTTAAATTGGGACTTCACACCCCTTTCGAAGAGAAAAGTTGGGATGTTTTAAACGGAATTTCACACCTGTGAGGAATCTTAAGCCATAATTAATTTAACTTTAAACGATCAAAGATCGAAATTCTATCCGTCGTTTACAAACCCAGCACAATTATTTCTTGTCAATATTCATGATCATCAGCCACTGCTTTCTACAGAAATCGTACTACTGGAGCAATGATCTACATTCTTCACACAGTCCACTATTGTCAAATTACATGCAGTTCATCTGCCACAACCAAATACAGTACAAATATCCGCAAACAGAGAACCCCATCTGTAAATAACTAATTACGTTGCTAAGCAACAAATTTCGATGTTTATTTCATACCGAAATTTCAACGATCCACCACATTGCCTTTAGAATCTGCACTCTTCATTTCCCCGTTGTATTTATATATTTATATATATACTAATTGTTGTATGCAGCGCTCTACTTATCTCCAAATATGGTATAATTAGTGCTTGTGCAATAAATCTTGTGGTGTGATTATCCAGATTATGTGGCCGTCATTCTACATCTGATCTCTCTGGTGATCTCTGGTCATGCCAATATATACGAGTACCAATATATACGAGTGTCAGAAGATGTTCTACTGACATCTTCTGACAAATACAGATAGAATTGCTTTCTTACATCCGTTATTATAGGTATGTGCTTCAGCCAGCAGATGTCAGTCTACACTCGGATAGCAGCTATATAAAGATACACAAACTTTCTGAGCGATCCAATTTGTTGCTGCAAAAAAACTTGCAAACTGATAAAATCGCCAAGGCCACGATCGGGTTATTAGGATGCAGTCAAACTATCGGACTGCGATGAATGGGGACTTGCCACCCCATGGCATCAATACTGTAGTAGGACAAAGCAATTCGCGATCAGTGTTTAGAATCCTAATAAATGGTAGCTTATAATTTCAGCAAGTCATCATGCTCCAAGATCAAGATCGTCTCTAGTTGTAACTTACACTTGCACTTGTAAGGGCGTGGATCTGAATTACAAAGACATAACATTGCTCCTACATACCTTTTACACAATTCCTACATACCTTTTACACAATTCCTACATACCTTTTACACAATTCCTACATACCTTTTACACAATTCCTACATACCTTTTACACAATTCCTACATACCTTTTACACAATTCCTACATACCTTTTACATAATTCCTACATACCTTTTACATAATTCCTACATAACAAGCCAGTTGTTAGCAGTTATAAAAGTTACAATTATAATAGAGTTACAGTTACAGACCATGCTTCCGTGTGGGTACATTTAAATCATGACATCTAGATAGTTTAGCTAGTTGTGTAGAATGTTGATCCATCTGTGTGTGTGTATGTGTTTAGGTACACGAAGATGAGTGTAGATTTTATAAGCGTACAGTGGAAACTATTTAGGGTTGCTGTTAGAATCGATGGTTTGGAAAGGGGCCTGGAGTTAGAGGAAGGATCAAACTTCAGGGGCGCAAAATATGGAGCAAAACATCTGCAGGTTCTAGATGATATAAACTGGTAGAACTCTCTCTCCCCTTGAAGAAAACATCATGGAACTACGATATTAATTTCCATAAGTGACCATATTGGGGAATGTACAACATAGTGTGTAGTGCTTCTTAGGAATTTAGCATTCTACCTCATACCTGAGTAGTTAGAATTACAGCTATTTAAGCCACTAGGTGCATAAATCATAATGTTGTTTTTCTACACTACCAACTAGGTCACGCTTGAACGGCTAGAATACATCTTTTTGGGGTAGGTTTGTAATGGTGAGGCGTGGTTTAAATACTAGGACTAATTTTTTTATCTATACATAGTACATATTATAAACATTTCGCATGGACCAATAGTTTTGGATAAAGAAGTAGTTATTGTTCTATCATTCTATTATACTTTAATGTATAGTAGTAGCAGTAGTAGAACTGTAGTATAGTAGTACGATGATCTTCACGCTAACTTTACTGAGCCTTAACATAATATTCGATTGTCAGCTCAACAACAGATTGACTCAATGTGTACACAGTAAACTACTACTACATATACTATACGCAAATAGAAGCAAGACAAAGGGGTAACACTAACAATGCTGGACGGATAGGGCTGCTGCTGCTGCTGCAGACACAGATCTCCACAGTGTAAACAATGAGACAAAACAAACATGTCACGTGACTGGCTTTAAAGAGATACTGTTTTAAACTTGTTCTTAAACTATTTACATGATGTAAGCTACACAACTGGTGAAAAGCACTTGACAAACTAAGAATTTTAGAGTTTGAACAAAAAAAGTAAGAATTTTAACAGTTGAATTCAAGGAGATCTTACCAGTCCCTGACGGCATTAAAACTTTCTTCATTAGTGATATCGTACATAAGAAGGAAGCCCATAGCTCCCCTATAATATGCAGTTGTTATCGTTCTGTATCTCTCCTGGCCAGCAGTGTCCCATATCTGAAGCTTTACCCGTTTATCGTGCCTGAAAGTTACAATTCGTGTAATATAGCAATATGTAGCAACAGTTACTGTGTTACATAGCAATGTAAGAGTGAGCTAAGTGATTTAGCCTCCTCCTATTCTCACAGTAATACTCTTCTAGTATTATACTTATAGAAGAGGTAGTTCACAATATGTATATTATATATAGTGTGCTTATGAGATCTGTGTGCATTGTTTTCTTGTGTATATTATACTCCGTAACCCACTTCCAAACATTCTTCCCCTATTTACAGTTATAGTTACAGTTACAGCCAACAACAAATAAAAGGAATTGTTTTATAAATAAAGAATCAAACACCGTACATTTTCAAAATGCCAATAGTAAAATTTTACCTGTAAACAGTTTTAACTTTAAAGTCTATTCCAACGGTAGAAACAAATGCTTGTGTAAAAGAGTTATCACAATATCTAAACAGAAATGATGTCTTGCCAACACTTGAATTTCCTGAAGATTGACCGGTTATAAGTTTGAAATATCTTCAATTCAAATCCGTTCAAACCACAACTTAGATGATTTTCTAGGAGTATCAAAAAACAACACAGATATAAAACCAACATTTTACCAAATACAAGTTTGCAACTTACCTATAATTAACAGTTTGAACATATAATCGAATGTCTGGTCGTTGGCATCCATCTTCACTACTTTCTATCAAGAAATAAAAGTTAGGGATAAAAGAGTAAGTTAACTGAAATAAATTGACTTTTCTCATCACTTTTAGATCATAACAAAGACTGCATTGCAATACAGTATCTAGCTATTATGAAAGTAAGGAAATAACATAATACAAAGGTATAAAAAGGAAGCAATGAAATTATATCAAACAGTGAACTGCCAAGAGAGTACAGTGCTATTATGTCATATGGGAGAGTTCACATATTATGTCAGCAAGTTTTTCGCCATTTTGAGTTTTGACCCCCCTTCACCAGCAATTCAGCATCAATTGCCCCCCTCCCCCCCCCCCCCCCCCCCCCCCCCCCCCAGACCGAATTTCAAAATAACATTCACCCTTTTCGAGGCCATCCAAGTGCAAAGGGGAGGCCTGCCTTCCAATATTGCATCACAAAAGGGAAGCCTTGATTATAACTCAAGGGATAAATAATAGTTGGGTGACTATTTCATTATGTTTCACCTCAATTCCATACCATACTGTTTGGTAATTATATTACTGAGGTATTATTATACTTTATAGTCATTCATTAGTTATTCATAATTGCCAAAAAAGTGGGAATAAAATTATCGTCTGATAGTCCAGAAATCGTGTAATATTTATATCTATAATCTCATTGGACTCTTTAGCGTGTTCCTGCAAAATGCTGGACTGGAAACAAGTTGCGACTAGAAAAACTAGTCGTAGATTCTTGTGGATTCCTGCGAATGACGAATTACAGGGAATTACTAGGAATACGTTTTGCGGGACTTTCATCAAATCAGTATAAAATGTAAAATTATTCAATTATAGCACAATTTCGCACCATGAGGCGTCATCAGGTCACTTGGCGATAATAAGGTGCTACTCAAATGAGATTGAAAAACTGAGATTGACAAAACTAGATTACAAACAAATCAATCTGAGATTTAAAAGAAGCTTAATGCAATGTATAGTTGTCACTTGTCACTCTTTAACTAACTTAGATATACGTTAACAGGGCAAAGAGGGTGTGTGTTCTGTGCGCTATTATATAATTAGAATAAATGTGTGTTCTGAACATGAAATTTCAGTTGCCATAATCTAGGTCCTTTCAGGGAAACATGGAAGAATACTGATAATTCTTATTGCAGTCCAGTGGCTTACCAAATGTTTTATGGGAAACTGGTAGCATAAATAGTAATATTGCTAGCAAGAACCAGTTTTTAGTTACTCAACAGAAATTCATGGATGTTTTCAATGACAGTGGTTTAACTTGGTATTTCACCAACGAGACAACTAGAAGACGGCTTGTGAAGGATACTCTCCAGGAGAGTCTTCTTGATCAGGTCCTGTATACAAATGATGCTCTTGTCAACGGTTGTAAGATCGTTTCTCCGCTTGGTAAGAGTGATCATGTTGGGATACTTGTCGAACTAGTTGTTTCGCCGGATACTAGCAAATGTTTAAAAGAGAAGATTATCAAACCTATATGGGGTAAGATTTCCTCTGAAGAGTTATTAAATTTTAGTTGCTGTCTTATCAAATTCATGTACGTTTGTTAATTGCTCTTGTTATCAGCATCGCACAGCCTTGCTTAAATCGAGTACAACGTGTACATCGCTACTTGTACATAATGAGCTATACATTGGAATCCCTGCATCGATTGGAGAAGGACATTCGGGGAACTTTCGATTCGTTGACTGGAGCAGCTAAGTGTAAAAACATCACTGAAGTTACGAAGCATGTTCTTATGAAAGGGAACAATGTCAGCAAAGACTCACTTGCTGGATTTGTCATGGAATTTGTTAAGATTGTAAACTGCAGCACAGACATTCTTAAATCTGCGTCATCAAATATTGACACTTTGAAATCTGATCAGATTGTAAATCAGAAACTTATGTTGGAGCTTAAGGACGAAATTATTCAGAAGAAGGACAATCATGTTCAGAAAGTTCAGGAGGTCGTCAAAACAGAAGTTAAATCGTTTAGCGACATAGTGAAGCAGAACAGTCCACAGATCCCAGGCAAAACTTTGCAAGCGGCTGTGAAATCAGCAGTTGACAATGATAATCGCAGTCGCTGTGTGATGGTATACGGACTCAGGGAGGATCCTAAAACCAATCTTGATACAGTTGTGGGAGGTATGCTTAGTGAAATTGCTGGAGCAGAAAAACCCTTCGTGAGGGAATGTTACCGTCTGGGAACTGCGAAGCCTGGCCAACATCGTCCAGTCAGAGTTTGCTTCAGCCGATCAGACTCAGTTTCTGTTGTGCTCAGTAATGCTAAGAACTTGAAGCAGTCGTCACAGTTCAATAAAACATTTCTGAGTCCTGATCGATCTCCTGAGGAGAGGCTGATACGGAGAAAACTTGTTGAATCTTTAAAAGCAAAGATTGAGAAAGAGCCAGAAAAGTATCACTTCATACGAGGAGGAGAGATCTGCACCACTGAAAGAAAAGTGACCCCGCAACACAGCACGGAAAAGAAGACGATTCCACAACACTCAGGATTCTCGATTCCGCAACATTCAGGATTCTCCACTTCGAGTAATCGTGCTGCTGGCCTCAACAAATCTTTTACGCAGGGACCATGGATTCCAGGAACACTGTCCATTAGTACTCCGATGAAAAAGCGATGAATGTCGATTTGCCGTGATTCTAGCTTTGTGTGTTATTGTGTGATTTCAATGCACGGCAATGAAGGGACTCAGGTACCACGATCTGGCAGACAAACATGTCTGAACAGACATAGCGAGTCAGATCTGGTTCAGGAAATTTTATCGTTAAAGAGATATTCATATTTCATATGAATCAATACTCAGGTTTCTAATTTTGGACTCGCCCGGGGTTTGATTATGATACTTTGAGGAATGATGTTTTTGCTGACATTTGATTTATAAGTTGATTTCAAATCCCCTATGGGTACCAGAAATACTGGTTTCACAACAAAAAGTTTGAAAAATATCGGGATTATAGTTCTACCAATGATGTTCAAGATATGTGGGCTGAATTACATGGTAAACTGGAGACTGTTGCTGCAGCTGTTCCGACTGCTTCGGTTTATCTCGACAACAGACCTGTCAAGTTGCCATGGAGTACATCTGCACTTAAACGAATGAGAAAGAATAAAGATAAAGCATGGGCTGAGTTTGATATTAATCCATCTGATGTTAATTTTAGTTATGCAAGTAGCAAACAACATACTTATGAATTAGCAGAAATTAAAGCTAAAGTTAATTATGAAAAGAAAATTACATCTAATCTGAAGCAGAATTGTAAGTCTTTTTACTCTTATTTACGAAATAAACGTCAAGTTAAGTCTAGTGTGGTTTCTTTAGATAGAGGAGATGGTACACGCACAGATAGTTCGACTGAGTCAGCTGAGGTACTCGCAAGTGCCTTTAGCTCTGTTTTTGTGCGTGAACCACCTGGCCCTCTCCCTACAACTGAGAATTTAAGACCTGACAATGAGAGTATTGATGATATTGATGATATGGAAGTCAACAGTTCAGATATAAAAAAGCAACTTTTAAAGCTTAACATTTTTAAGAGTTCTGGTCCGGATGGTGTTCATCCGAAGTTGTTGAAATCGCTAGCTTATGACAACAATTTTGTTGAAGCAATAACTAAATTATTTCAAAAGTGTTCAGATACAGGATCTTTACCTGCAGTGTGGAAATCTGCATCTGCTGTAGCATTGTTTAAAAAGGGTATTAAATCAGACCCCTTAAATTATAGACCAGTTTCATTAACTTGTATTTTGTGCAAAGTGTATGAAAAGTTGGTGAGAGCACATGTTTTAAATTTTCTAGAACATCGAATTTCGAAGCATCAGCATGGATTTGTTAAGGGTAAATCGTGTTTATCTAATCTTTTAGAGACATTTGATGACATTCTTGACATTTTAGATGAAGGTGCCCTGGTTGATCTTCTATACTTTGATTTTAGTAAGGCGTTCGACACAGTCCCCCACTTTAGACTTCTGTCTAAATTGGAAGGCTTTGGTGTCAAAGGAAAGGTTTTAGATGTTATTAAAGATTTTCTGACAGACAGGACTATGAGGGTTTCTGTAGAAGGACAATGGTCCGAGGTTAAACATGTTTTATCTGGTGTTCCTCAGGGGTCAGTTCTAGGCCCTCTCCTATTCATTCTGTATATTAATGATTTGCCTGACCTTGTAAAAAATAAGATAAAGTTATTTGCTGATGATCTTAAATTAATTGGTAATGCAGCTAACCACGGTAGTGTTGCTGAAGATATCGAAGAATTAGAAGTTTGGGAAAGTATTTGGCTTTTACAATTTAATCCTGCCAAGTGCAAAGTAGTGCACATTAATTTTAACAACAATCCTAATTTAAATTATAAGGTAAATGGTATAGAACTTGAAGTATCTGATCAGGAAAAAGATTTGGGGGTTATTACCCATAGCTCCCTGCTTTGGAACGAACAGATCAAAGCATGTATCGCTAAGGCAAATCGTATGATTTGTTGGATTGTAAGGAATTTAGTTATTAGAGAAAAGGTTGTTATGATTGCTATATATAAAGCTTTAATAAGACCTCATCTTGAGTATTGTGTCCAATTGTGGAATCCACCTGCGGCTCATGGAAGTTGGGGGACTGTTTTGGAGCTGGAGAGCGTCCAGAGGCGGTTTACCCGTCTGATTGATGAGGTGGGTACTCTTCCTTACAGCCGTAGACTGGAAATCCTCAATTTGACAACGCTGGCAGAGCGGCGAATACGTGGGGACCTTATTGAAGCTTTTAAGGTTATTAATGCTATGACTGATTATGGTTCAGACTTGTTCAGACCAAGCAGATCAGGTCTTAATCTGGTTTCATCCAATAGATGTAGTAAAAGTGTGACAAAGGTCAAGAATATCCAGAAGTCTTTTCTCCCGGAGCGAGTTATTCCATATTGGAACAAACTCCCTCCGGACGTCAAGAACTCTGTGACAGTTTTAGGTTTTAAAATTAAATTAGAAGGATATAAGATAGATATGATTTCTAAAAGTATTACAAATGATTGCTTTTTTTGG